TAATTACTTGGTTGATTTAATATTCAAGTTGATATACTGCAATTATCTATAGGATTCATGTTCATCTGATGACAACTCCAACCTTCTCTTATGTTCATCATTGTCCAAATTTTATGCTAAGAACTTCATTATCATAAACTCCAACACCTTTTCATCCTCTACTCTATCATCCAACTCTTTTCCTGCCATCAAAGCCAAATCTACTGGAAACTAATCTTTATCATTCGAGAACATCACTACAATTTCAATTCATTTATTACTTAAACAAGGTTCCACAGACATCAATAATTTTGTAGTTTTTAAGTCTCCAAAATAACAAGTCCAATGTAAAGGGTTATTTATTCCATGTTTCTTGAATTCTTAAAGAGATGCCCCTCTATCCAAAAGCAATGCACATATAGCAAACTTAGAACCTTATTTAAGAATTGAGATATCCTAATTATATCCTCTTACGCAAGCTAACATAAGCGCTGTATTGCCTTATTCATAGTTTCTATTTCTATACCTTTATTATCCTTGGAATTTATGTTTATACACTATAAATCAAGAAAATATTCAACTACGTCGTAATGTCCTCGATAAGCAGCCTATTTTAGTAATCCATTTACATAATGTAAAGCGTTTCGACCATAATAATCTGTCTTTTTGCAAGCATCCTATAATTGCTTTGATGTCAAAGATATTAACTGTTTATTTATGAACTCTAACTTTCCATCTTAAGCGGCCTAGCAATCCTCTATTTGGATACCTCCAATAAATTAATTTCATCATGGCTAAACAAATGCATCTAAAATCAATTGTAAAATAATAATAATAATAAATTGTTCCTTCAATTTCTAATTTTTCTGATAGCCCCATATTCATATTTGTGTTAGATATAATAAAAATATACAACATTAGGTAAATTTGATATATATAAATGAAATGAGAAGTTTTATAATTTTTAGACTGAACATTGTAATCACTATCTTCTATCTAATTTTAAATATTTTTTATGTAAAATAATTAATAACTTAATCTCTAATAATTTATTATAACTAATAAAACATCAAATCACATAATCTTTAATATTCTCAATAAATAGGCTATTATTTTCACTTAACATTATATGCAATTATCAACACCAACTAATAAAATCCTATTAGAATATATATGAAACTTATTAAACTACTGAAATATACTCCATAGTGTTTTATTTCCAATCCTTTAAATTAAAAAAAATCATAAATCTGTCTAAATTTAATAGCTCTAATAAAAATTAAAGAAATATAATAATCAATAAATATTATAATTTCTGATTGATGCTTATATAAAATTGAAGGCAGTATCAAAATACATTAAAAACAAAAATCATCATCTTATTTAAAAAATGCAAAATTATATTTGTCTAGAGTCTCAATACTTTTATTATCTCAAAATTCTATCTATAATTTTGGATGAATGAACTTTCTTATATTGAATAATCAACAATCAGTTAGAGGATTTAGATGAGAATAAATAAATTTTGATTCATTTAGAAAATAATATTTAATCATTACACATACTTTTTTAATATCAGATAAATGGGACACAACTTTTTGAAATATTTCAATTGAAAAATATGAATATTTGGAACCATTATAGACATAGCCATATTAATTTAATTTTAATAACAAACATGAATACCCCTAAATCGCAATTTTATTAAGCAAGTTCAACAGGGCGGTTTCAATTTAAATTTAAGCCAAGTGTTGAAATAGGAGGATTTCCTAGTTTGACACCTTGTCATTCAGACAACAGAGGAGCAAAATTAGATTGGTTTGCTGGTCCATCTGATCTGCTAGGTAATTTATATTTTATTCTGCGATTAGAAAAATAAAAAAAGCATTGTACATCAAAAGAAAGCATGCATCACGAAGATTTATCAATCGGTAAACGAACCTTCATTTAAGCAAATAAAGAAACAGATGGATTGGTTAGCTTAGAAGATATAATGCAAAGAAAATCTCGAGTGCCTACATTATAAAAGAAAAGAAATCTGTAAGAATTCTTATTTAATCTAAGCATCCCCATTCACTATTTAGGAGATAAGAATTATCCCTATCCAGAAATAGAATCAAATTTTTATAAATAAAATGATGGACTAGTCGCAGGATCAAATATCAAATCTCGGTTTCGACATCCTTACAAAGNCCATATTCATATTTGTGTTAGATATAATAAAAATATACAACATTAGGTAAATTTGATATATATAAATGAAATGAGAAGTTTTATAATTTTTAGACTGAACATTGTAATCACTATCTTCTATCTAATTTTAAATATTTTTTATGTAAAATAATTAATAACTTAATCTCTAATAATTTATTATAACTAATAAAACATCAAATCACATAATCTTTAATATTCTCAATAAATAGGCTATTATTTTCACTTAACATTATATGCAATTATCAACACCAACTAATAAAATCCTATTAGAATATATATGAAACTTATTAAACTACTGAAATATACTCCATAGTGTTTTATTTCCAATCCTTTAAATTAAAAAAAATCATAAATCTGTCTAAATTTAATAGCTCTAATAAAAATTAAAGAAATATAATAATCAATAAATATTATAATTTCTGATTGATGCTTATATAAAATTGAAGGCAGTATCAAAATACATTAAAAACAAAAATCATCATCTTATTTAAAAAATGCAAAATTATATTTGTCTAGAGTCTCAATACTTTTATTATCTCAAAATTCTATCTATAATTTTGGATGAATGAACTTTCTTATATTGAATAATCAACAATCAGTTAGAGGATTTAGATGAGAATAAATAAATTTTGATTCATTTAGAAAATAATATTTAATCATTACACATACTTTTTTAATATCAGATAAATGGGACACAACTTTTTGAAATATTTCAATTGAAAAATATGAATATTTGGAACCATTATAGACATAGCCATATTAATTTAATTTTAATAACAAACATGAATACCCCTAAATCGCAATTTTATTAAGCAAGTTCAACAGGGCGGTTTCAATTTAAATTTAAGCCAAGTGTTGAAATAGGAGGATTTCCTAGTTTGACACCTTGTCATTCAGACAACAGAGGAGCAAAATTAGATTGGTTTGCTGGTCCATCTGATCTGCTAGGTAATTTATATTTTATTCTGCGATTAGAAAAATAAAAAAAGCATTGTACATCAAAAGAAAGCATGCATCACGAAGATTTATCAATCGGTAAACGAACCTTCATTTAAGCAAATAAAGAAACAGATGGATTGGTTAGCTTAGAAGATATAATGCAAAGAAAATCTCGAGTGCCTACATTATAAAAGAAAAGAAATCTGTAAGAATTCTTATTTAATCTAAGCATCCCCATTCACTATTTAGGAGATAAGAATTATCCCTATCCAGAAATAGAATCAAATTTTTATAAATAAAATGATGGACTAGTCGCAGGATCAAATATCAAATCTCGGTTTCGACATCCTTACAAAGTATCAAAAAAGTTTCATGGTTGAGTATTTATAAGATCATATTTTATCTACTAGAAAAACAACAATCTTCAATCTAAAATTATTTTTTAATTTATCGCAAACGCATTAATTACAATAATTCATCATGAAATAATTAATTGATCATTAGCTTATATAAGTATGCGAGTGTTTACCTCTATGTTTCATCTTTCTAATGTTATGATGCTGTGTATGAATAAGTTTAAATTACTTTGTATAATTAAATAATTTTTAGATTATAGTAACGACATTATTAAATATAATATAATATTTATCAAACATGTAAATATTCTTAGAAAGTTGGGATGATTATTAAAAAACCAAAAATTAACCTATTCGTAGAACTATAATGGACATGATTCAAGAATAGAGGATTCGGAAGGGAGCGAAGCAATTTCAATCAAAAATAAATTCTATTAAAATGATTAGTGAGAGGTAGTTGCAATCAATTCAAAGAAGAGAGATAACAATTCAAGTAATGTTCCTTTTTAAATAATTTTAAAGATTATATTAATAGGCAGGGGATGAGTTTGTAGAAAGATAGGTTAAAAGAATTCTTTTTAAGAGGACTCTCAGGTTTAAGGTTAATCAAATATTAAAATACTTTGAATGCTATAAGACATTCTAAATTTTTTTTATAATAATATCAAAAAAAAAGATGAAAAATTATTTGACAATCATATACCAAATTTATTCGATTTTCAATTATTATATTTAATATCACTGTTAAATAGAGCAAATAAAGCATAGATGTAAATAATAATATAATTTTAATGTTGTATTATTATCAATTTATAGATAGCTTTGTTTATCACATTAACCAAGCTTATATTTTGTATATGAATAAATATTTAAATTAATTACTATGAGATTTTCTAATTATCATTAAATAAATTAATATTTTTTTTCCATTGTTATACTATTCTTCTTTAGTTTTTGAATCTTTTGCATATTGTTTAGTTTTTTTATGCTATCACAACACCTATTTAATTATGATAAATCAATTTATTTGAAATCATTGGTAAGTTAGAAGTAAATTTTAAATTTGAATCTTACTTATTATTCAAGACTTTTGGTTAAAAATAACGAATTGTAATATTATCATAGAGAGAGTTCATAATTCTTAGACACATTAATATTAAATATCAGAGAGAAAAGTCTGGTTTAAAAATGAAATCTGTACTTCTATTTTAATATGTATTATTCGTAATTAATGAATAAAATAGTCTTGTTGTGGGTCTTGTTCTTGAGGACATTATTTCACTACAATGAATTACAACATATCTTTTTATCCATAACTATATATAAGAATATATACAATAGTCATAACATTCAAAAGAATCTTTTATTAATTAGAAGAACAGTAATAATATACTTTGTGCTTGACTGTTTCATCTTGCTGAGGTAATAAATATGATAGTGCATCATGTAGATAATACATAAGGAGAAAACAATTGTTATGTCAATTGAGATTTCGTTGTATCAGAGAAGATATGAAAGGAATTATGATTTGAATAATTAAATGAATATGCTCATTTTCACTTGGGCTTAGTGCAGCCTTCAATTGGGACTCTTCCCTTGCAGACCAATGAACTTCCATACCAATTGTCTTCTTCCTCGCATTTATCTGGTTTACAGCAATTTTATTGAGCTTTTCCACAACTTACACCCTTAGCGTCTTTGCATTTCTATTGGCAGCCTTTATCATATGGAGTATATCCGTCAAATCCCCATTCATGATTCTTTGAAGCGGAGAATGAGTGGCTCTTTTTCAATTTCAATTCGGCATCTTTGAAATAACTTAAATATAGTACCTGCTGGGGCGAATGAAAACATGAGTGTTGCAACACAAACAACACATGCTAATAATACCAAAATTGTGATTTTTCTATTCATTAATTTAAATTAAGATTTTTATTTGCAGTTATTTATTTATATAGTGAGTATTTCAAAGAAATATCCACTTAATTTTGGATAGAAGAAATATAATGTTATTTTTAGAATGCAAAAATATGTTATAATGTTTCATTTAAATTAGTGTGAACCTATTGGATGTAAAAATAGATAATGAATTAATGTTATCATTTTTTTATAATTATTTTCTGTTATTTTTTTACAAAATTCTAATTATGATAAAATACTATTGTATTCTTGTTATTATTAATCTAATTTTCTTTTTTGAATTCCCTCTTACAATTTAAGATTTTCCATTTGCTATTTGTAGAATTAGACAATAGATTTTTATTTACTCTTTATATGATAAGAATTTATACTTAAGAGTCTTAAATTTGTTTGTTTAAATTTACAACTAAAGCATTCTCATTCTTTAATTAATCAGTATATACTTTCTACTCATCCTCAATCACAGCAATTTAATTCCAAAGAAATTTATCCAAATTCAATTACTATATCGTCAATTGTTACGCTTCCTCTCTCAATTTAATCATTCTCTCCTCCACAGTTTAAGTACGTTCCTTGGCTCCCTATTAACATAAAACTACTTGAGATTAAGCAAACTTAAAATCCTTTTCAGCCTGAACCTTCTTGACAAAAAGCTGTTCCTTTCTCTTGTCAACATAATCCTATTATTCTCTATAATTGGTCATTCCTTAAACCTTATGCCGCAGGTGAGGAATGACATTTCTCTTCCGATCCTAAATGTTCTCAAGCAGCAGTTTTTCAATTTAATTGTTTGTCTCATAAGAATTGAGGTTTTTTTTAAAGTTCATTTTGATGATATCCTTATTCTTCTTAATCAATTAAATCGCATACATTGCAGTTTAGTCTCCCATGAGATTATTTGAGAAATCAAACTCCTAAATGTTGGATTTAAGAAATATTTTAAATAATTCTAAGCCACTGAGATCAGTCATACCACACCTTTTCATGATAATACTTTTCAGATTGCATGAACCCTAGAAGCCTTGTACCAATGCTAAAACCCCTTGATCTCCGATGATATTCTTACTGATGTCCAAAGTCTTCAAACTTCCATTTCTACATAATCCAGATGCCAATTGCTCTATAAAGTTCTAGGTCAATGAACAATTCCTTAATGAAAGGTATTCCAGATGATTGTTGTAGACAAGATAATTGCATATGCAAATATTGTTTTCGCTAATGAATGTATTTTCATCTAATATTAATTTATTTAGATGAGTATTTCTTTCAATTTGTTCTAGAATAGCAAATAGTTGATTAATCGTCAATTTATTTCTTTTGAGATTGATTTCTCTGGCATGAACAGAATCAGAGCCTTGTCTCAATTATTCGCATATTTAAACTACCTATTATCCAAACATGTTATTTTGGGCTTCCAATCTCTCAAGATATGATGGCAAAATCAACGTGTCTTTGAGTTCATTATCAGAAACATTTATGTGCAAAAGATTCCTGTTTTCTGCAAAAGCACTGTTCAATTTTCTTAAATCATAGATTCCACAACCACTTATGTCTAAGATTGCCAAAATTCTATTCTTCTTCAATGCCTCTGCCAATTGATTTAATGCTAATCCAAGTCTATTCCTCTCATTAGAGAAAGGATTACCAATATTGAGATGGTAGAGTGTTTGATTTATTGAAAGAGTTTGGAAAAGAACTGCAAAACCCCTGGGGCCGATTCCGCAATTACACAAGGTCAAACTAACCATAGGGAGTTACAGATTTCTGACCCCGTCATAAAGGGGATTTTGTGAAAGAACAACAAAGGGGACATTCTTAACAACTTTATTGATTAGGGGTGTGCAATTGGCAGGTAAGGATAGCTCCGATAAATCAATGGTGTGTCCTGAGTATTGGCTCAAGACCTTCTCTTGAAATCTCCCCATTTGGTCTGGTTGTAAATGAATCCTCAATTCTTCACATTTCTTTGTATACAAGGTTTCAAGAAGGTTGTGCATGCTCGGCACGATCTTTCTGGCTGAGGGAGGCATGGGTATTTCCAGGACCTGGGATTGGGTCTTAGGAATGGTAGACAAAGGTCTTTTAGAATTAGCACTCCTGACACTTCTCATTTATAATTAATCATGAAGTATATAATCATTTTTGAACACGCTGTTTATTAAGAATGACAAAGTTTTTGCCTTTGGGTTTTCTAATTTGTTCGTCTTTTTCAGCTTACCATAAGGCACTGGGTGGAACCAGATCCTTTTTCTGTTTGTCATTTAAGGAGTCATGCAATAAACAAATAATTTCATTTTCATTACTAAAAGTGACATAGCACCTATAGCCATTGATTTTGAGTTCATCAAGTTAAACGAAGTAGAGTTTCTTTTTATCTGAAATTCCAACGACACACACTTCGCCATCATCATCTTAAAATATAAGAACTGGATCTCCATCCAACGTGGTGATATGATCTCTGCATTTCAAACAAATGTGTCTTTCACCATGATATGTGACACTAATATTTGGACCTCCACATGTGATACAGCCTTTGTCATAGAGAGCTGCTCTTTGGAGAGAATAGGGTTCAAACTTAATGGGATTTCCCTTTTCTTCAGGCACAGCAAAGGATTCGATTTGCTCATCCACTGAAAGTTTCAATTGATTGCCCATCATCTACAAAGCCTTAGATTTACGAGCTGCTTAGACTGCACATCTCCTGCCTTTAGCAATGGCATTTTCAGGAGTGGAAAGTTACACTTGGACTGCATCTGATTGTGCAATTTTCTTAAAGTCAACGTATGGCTCGAACATGTAATAAAAGAAGGAGGGAGCCATTCTATCTGCGACGATGGCAGGTAAAAGATTTTACATTTTTTTGGTTCTTTCTCTCCTCAAATTTTCAAGTTTCTTTCTAATCATTAAATTAATGAATCAATCGCCTTTAAAATATGATGAGAATGTCACAGCTAGAGAAGAAGAGATAAGACTCAATATGGGAGGATTCAAGTTCTCAGCTCAACAATTGCAGAATATCTTCACACTGAATCAAAGAAGAAGGATGTGCGAAGAAATAGACTTCCTCCAGTAACTAGGAGGATTAGGTACGAGTACATAATGACAATTGTAGACAGCTTATTGGATGGATTGTGTACATCCATTAGTAGTGGCATAGTGAGTAATGACATCAGCAAAAGGACAGAATTGTATGGCCACAACAAACGAGAAGTACGATCACCCTAAACCTATTGTGAATTATTGATGGATGCTATGGGAGACTTCACTATGAGAATATTGACAGTTGCAGCCTTTGCAAGCATTGTTATACAGGTTGCAACTTCAGATGACGAACACAGATCCTTAGCTTGGATTGAAGGTTTTGCCATCTTTGTGGCTGTGCTTGTATGTACTAATGTGGCTGCTTTGAATGATTACTCAAAAGAGAAACAATTCCGTAAATTGAATGCTGTAAGTGAGAAGTCTAAAATTGTGACTATCATTCGTGATGGTAAAGAACACAGAATGCATGAAGAAAATTGTTTAGTTGGAGATATCGTCAAGTTAGTAGAAGGTATGGAGATACCAGCTGATGGAATACTGATAGAGGCTTCTGAAATTAAGATGGATGAATCTTCCATGACAGGAGAAACCAACTCAATTAAGAAAGGAACTATTTAACAATGTTTGTTGAAAAAGGATGAACTAATTAGCGAAGGTGCTGAATTTGGAGAGAAGGATAGATTTCTTATCCCATCTCCAGCATTATTGTCAGGTACTAGAGTCTTGGAGGGAGAAGGACTTTTCGTTGTCTGCGTCGTCGGAGATCTATCTTGTTTAGGTTAGATCAAGGCTTCGTTGGAACAGGAGGAGGATGAGGAGACACCTTTATAATAAAAACTAACTATTATAGCTGAAGATATTGGTAAATTTGGATTGTATGCTGCCATATTGATCGTGATTGTATTGATGATTAGATTGGCCATCGAAAGAGGTATTGAAGACGAATGGGATCACAGTAAACATTGGATGGAAATACTGAATTTTATCATATTAGGAATTACTGTTTTAGCAGTTGCCATTCCTGAAGGGTTACCCTTGTCTGTGACCATATCATTAGCTTATTCGGTTCAGAAGATGATGAATGATAGGAATTTAGTGAGGAAGATGTATGCTTGTGAAACTATGGGAGGAGCAGATTCTATTTGTTCTGACAAGACTGGAACTTTGACCATGAATAAGATGACTTTGACTAAAATGTGGAATCAGAATTATATTGAAGTCAATTATCTGGCCAGGGAGTAAGATTTAGGAGTCTTTGGCAAAATCAAATAATTGATGATTGAATCTATATGTTGCAATTCTTCAGCAGAGTTGGATCCAGAATAAGGATCAAAAACTGAAGTAGCATTATTAGAATACATCAGAAAAGGATAGGTTGATTATAAAAATGTAAAAAGTTCAATCAAATATCTTCAAAAAATACCTTTTAATTCAGGTAGAAAGAGAATGAGTGTGATTGTAACCACTTAGAAGAATGGTTCACCTGTAAATCGACTTTATATTAAAGGTGCTAGTGAAATAATCATAAAATGTCTCAGTCATCAACATACGTTCAATGATGAAATTATACCCTTAAAAGAACAAGATATCAAATAAATTGAAAATATCATCAGTGAAATGGCTAAATAATCACTTAGAACTATATGTGTTGCATATAAAGATTTGAATGGGAGTGAAGATTTAGTTAGCAATGATGGAAAAGTGTATGAGGTTGAGAAAAATAACTTGACCTTCTTGTGTCTATTAGGCATTATGGATAACTTAAGAGAAGGAGTCAAAGAAGCAGTTACTCAATGCAAGAAAGCAGGCATCAAAGTCAGAATGGTGACTGGAGATAACTCTGAAACAGCAAGAGCAATAGCATTATCATGTGGTATTATTGAACCAGGAGATAGTAGAGCTATAGTAATGGAGGGTGCCGAATTTATGAATAAAATAGGAGGAGTAGTATGCAAGAACTGTCAAACTGAATCTTGCAAATGTGCAAGAACTCAAAATGAGGCTGAGAAGAATGGAACTCAATTGAGAGTAGATACTCTAGGAGATATGGGAGCATTCAAAACATTATATCCATAAATTGCAGTGTTGGCACGATCTAGACCTACTGATAAATATGCTATGATTGTTGGTCTCAAGGAATGCGAACACATTGTGGCTGTCACTGGAGATGGCACCAATGATGCACCCGCTTTAAAAAAGGCTGATGTGGGATTTGCAATGGGAATCTCAGGAACACAGGTTGCCAAAGATGCTGCTGCTATTATTCTTATGGAAGACAACTTCAGTGATATTGTCAAGGCTGTGATGTGGGGTAGAAACATATTCTAATCAATTCGTAAGTTCCTTCAATTTCAATTGACTGTAAATGTAGTGGCTGTGGGATTGACTCTAATTGTTTCGGCTGTGCTTAAATAAGAAGTTCTTAAGCCTATTTAAATGTTGTGGGTCAACTTAATCATGGATTCTTTTGCCTCTTTGGCATTAGCTACTGAACCTCCAAGTCCAGTATTGTTAGATGATCGCCCTTATTCAAGAGCACAATCTATAATTACGAGAAAGATGCTCAAACATATTATTGGTTAAGCAGCATTTCAGATTGCCATTATGTTGATTGCAGTATTTTTGGCTCCTCAATTCATTCCTGAATACAAGGATGGATTCGATGATAGACTAGATGATTGGTTAGTAGATAATAATTATAATGAATTTCCATCGAATTTAGATCATCCAAAATACAATTTGGATTACTATCCTGAATAGTTAATGGTTAGAAGTGGAAGAATGTTGACTGTTGATGGCAAGGAGGATTATGAACCTGTCTATAGAGAATTTATGGTACCTAGTAGACATTTCACTTTCATCTTCAATATGTTTGTAATGATGCAGTTATTCAATTTCTTGAATAGTAGAAAATTGAATGATGAATTCAATATCTTCTAGAATATTGGCAATAAGTATTCTTATGAATAATTTATCGTAGTTCTCTATTCATCATCATTGTGTTCTTTATCTTTGCTCTCCAAATCATTTTGATTACCTTTGCAGGCATAGCCTTTTCCTGTTACACTTATTACGGTTTGACAATCCAGTAATGGCTGATTAGTATACTAATTGGGTCAATTGGATGGGTTGTTAGTGCCCTATTAAAATTAATCCCAGAATAAGCTGTAATTATATAGATGTTATGCATTTAGATATGCCCAGAATCCATTGAGTCACCATTGAAATAGGAAGAATAACGAAAACCTTCTGGTGTTTTGGAATTGCGTCGTGGTTCCTCGATTAGACGTTCGCAAAGACACTAAGAGATTTAACTTTGATATTCAATAATAAAATTATCATTATAAAATGTCAAAATATTAATCAGAATTTAGCGATATCAAGTCAAAATCTCTCGTGTTGCCTTCAATCAAATAACCACATACCATCATCACTGCTGCTGAACTCGAATAAATAAAGTCTCACATCACCTACACGGAATAGAAGCCATAGAAAGTATAACTTATATTAAATGTGGGCTCAGAGTTTTGACAGTCAAAAGGTTTGGGCACAACGCATCGAGAAATAGAGACAGTAGAAAGAGAAGGAGAAGTTCCAGAAATTCATCCTTGAGGAGGAGGAGAGACGCAAGATAGATAGAGAAGAAGCAGATTATCAAGAAAAACTAAAAATTGATTAAATAGGAGATGCCAATAACAAAATATTTGGATAGAGAGCTGAGTATTATAGTATCAATTATCTTTAAGTGTGAGAAACATGAAATCGAAAATGTTATGGTCAGAGATAGACAAAGCCAATTAGAAACTGATTAAGTTGAACAAGGACAAATAGGAAATGCAATTGATGTTTGAAGCATAAAAAACTAGAGAAATTGAAACCCAAAAATTTTTATCCGAATAAGCAGAATTAGAAAAAAGCTAGTTCAAAGAGTAATTGAAAAAATAAACTTATGATTCCTTAGCCAAACAACATCATGAGGTTAAAGAGAGGTATCTCAAGGAATATGTTTAACTTAAAAAAGAAGGGGAAATAATCAAGAAATAGGCTGAAGAAGAGGAGATCAAGAAAGAGTATAATTTATTGGTAATACAATTTTAGAAAATAAAAAGAAGAAGATAAATTAAAAAAGTAAAAATTATTAGCTGAACATTAACAATTCCTTCAAATTAAATAAAAAAAGTAGTATGATGAATAGAAATTCGATGAGAATGAATCAAAGGAAAGAGATAAATATCATTAATAAAAGGATAGAGTTCTAGAAATGAGAAGAGAAAGAGTAATTTCTAATTATTTAAATAGGAAATAGAAAAGAAGCAAAGATAATTAAATATCAGGCAGCAGATCTATGACATTAGAGTCTAAGAATTGAAAAAATAAGATGATGATTACATGTAAAGAGTGCAAAAACATGCTGAGGAGTTGTAAAAGCATGAGGAAGAAGTGGCCAAATAAAAGGAATTAGAAAAATCATAGATGATCTAAGATGGGGAACAATTTCGATAATAGCAACTAAAATTGAAAGAGAAACAAAAAGAGAAGGAACAATTAGAACTACAATAGGAACATCAATTGAAAATAAGTGCTTTACAATAATTGTCTACTGTGGAGGATCAATAAAAGGAAATCTTGAAACGAAGAAACAAAGAGATTCAAGAATACCAAAAGATGCAAATTGTAATTATGATCAGTAAACTATTAAGGAACTTAAAAAATAAATGAGAAGAAACCAATTTCTAAATGAATTGAAAGAGTCTAAATAAATGGAACTTCGCTCCTAAATAGAAAAGGACGCTTTTAACAATTGGGCACAATCTTAGATTTCAGAACTCAAGGAATCGGGATTAAATATGTACCCATTAACAAAATCATTTAAAGTATGAATTTGATAAGAGTTATTAATAATAACATAATAACTATTAGTAATCAACATTGCTCACTCTCCTTTCTACTAGTATTATTAGACATCAACAATTATTCAAATCTATCCTACTTTCTACAAACTGATATAAATATTTTTAATCGACTATTTATCAATTCACTCAATACCTTTTACAGTTGTTCATTACCAAATCATCTCTTTTGAAGTTCAGTTTCCTTCCGAATATTTTATAAAGATGATGAAATCTCTATAAATCGAACCTTGTAGATTAATCTAGTTTTTCTAGAAATTAGCTTTCTACACTTACTTGGATGCAAAGGAACCATCAATTTCAATTCTTTGAATTGCTTTTCTACGAATTCCCTCTATTCTACAAGATCAATACATTCATTATGTAAAAACTAACATTTAGGTCCAAAACAGCAAAACCCACTAAAATAGCGCTTACAAGGCTTAGTCTTAGTAGAGGCTGTGGAATAACTGTTGTTTTCAGTTTTTGCGGGGGTATGTATAAAAAAACACTAATTAAGATTTAAACAAAATTACTTGATCTCCATATTTACAACTACCATTAATTTAATAATTTCGGCAAAGGTCCTTCTTCTTTTTCAGAGGTTCCTCCTCTTAATAGCACTTTTTGTTTCTAAATTTTCGCTAGACGATCTCAAAAGATTCTTCTGAATTTTGATCAGACAAATTTTCAATTGAATGATCTGTGCTGTTCGATTAATGATCGATGATTGGATTGTGAGCCATAAGTTTTTAAAAACAAATTATAATTTATAAATTTCTGAAGGAAAAAAAGAGCAAAAAAATTATTAATTATAGATATAAATATACTATAAAGTCTCTCTCCAAAATTTCAATTGTAATAGAATTCTCCAAAAACTTTTCCACCGCTTGATAAAGCAATATCTCACATTAACTGATCAATGAAGTCTTGAATTTTCGATCTGATTATCTACCTGATTAGATCAATTAGATTGATGATAATAAAATCATGCAATATCAATATTATATTATCTTAAAGATTACAACACACACCATTGGGTTATCTACATCTCTTGATTAAGCAATTCATCAAAATAAATATAGTATCTGAGATCAATTTATGATCTTTCAAAATAATAAATTATTTCTTAGCAAATCTAAAATTATTTGAATAGTCAATAATTATAATTATTAATGATTCCAATTGAGTAGAATTTAACAAATTCAGGACTCAATATGAATTGATTAATTAGTAGAATTAATTATAACTTATAGAGCGCATTCTTTATTTAGATAGATAAAATCAATATTTAAAAATTTAAGTCTATTTGAAGGAGGATTAGAATGGTAAAATTATAATAAAAAGCTGAACTTGTTTTTTAAAAGTAATAACTGAAAAATTTGGTTAAATAAAATAAAATGAAAATGAAAAAGTAAATCCTTTTCATATTGATTTTGTTTAGCAAATCTGTGATTTTATAAAAAAAGCGAAGACATTAAGTAAAATAAATCAGTTTAAATAAATACATTTAAAGTTTACAAAAATATATAAAATATAAGCAAAAGATAATAAGCTTTATTTCATTATGAGATTTATGCTTTCTACAAAGTATTAAAGAAAAGGATTGAAAACTTTAATATGCAGGAAAGATTATAGTAATTAGTGGATTAAGGAAAGTATAAGAGGATGTTTAATTCACTAATATCACAGTAAAAAAAAATTAAATTAAAAAAATTTAAATGTGAGGATGGTGTTAATATTGAAATCTTTAAATTAGTTTACCGAAATGAGAAAGAACCCACATTTAAGAGAATTAAAAACACCGAAAAAGTCATTGCTCCAACTAATGAGGCTTCAAATTTTTACTTATAAAAATTTTATTAAACATAAAATTGTTATCAGATTCATATCATATCAAGATTTCAAGGTAGACATGACAGTTCTATAAAATAAATTCAATGATTTTATTCTATAAAAGCTTCATATTGTGTTCAGAAGGGAAAGGATTTTAGTAATTTTATTATTGATATATTATTATAATGTAAGTTTCTATAGAGATTGCAACTTGGACTTAAAATAACCATGGGCTGTTTGATTATGAATCGTAGGACCTAAAGATTTCTAAAATTGTGGTCTAAAATTCAGTGTACTTAATCCTTAATAGTATAATTTTTGCTTATGTTGAAAATAGAGGATGTAGTTGAATAGTCAAATGATCAGAATGAAAGGTGTATAGGCAAAATAAGTTTTGAGAACGGTTAAATATGTATTAATAGTTTTGAAAATAGATTATTAGAGCAACCCAAAGTTTTCAGACTCATACGTGAAATTGGACCCTAAATATAAATAATAGTTATAGGTTGGAGACCTGTTTAAATTTGGAAGACTGTATATAACATATAATGATTTAGTGAATATTTTATATCAGAACTAAACAATGGAGAGAAGGTTCAGACTGCACAGGATCATTATCATTTGGATCGTCACATCAAACCTGGAAAAATTTAAGGGAATAGACAATGCAAGTTTTGTTTGATGGAAGAGGTGGACTAGGCTGAAGATCCAACTAATCCATATTTAACGAATTTGTGTGGTTGTTTAGGCAACATGTCCTATGTTCATTATGACTGCTTGAAGTCATGGATCAATTTCAGTAACCGTATTGCATATAAGTAAACCGTAAATACTGTGTAATATAACTGGAACTAAGCATTAGAATGTGAAGTAATGTTATTATGAATTATGTAATCCAGATATGTAAAGTTCCTTTGCCAGCAAGAATTTATCTAGAGAATTAACCATAACCACTTCAATTGGTTTCAATAGAGAAACTAGATGGGCCATACGTGATTCTTGAATAGATAACTCGTCAGGATAATTTATCAAAAAGTTTAATATTCATTCACTCCTTTGGAACAAATGCTATATCTATTGGTAGAGGTCACAACAGCGAAGTCAGGTGTCAGGACATATCTGTATCTAGAAATCACGCTAATATTTCATTTAATAATGATGGTTGGCAAATATAGGATCAGATGAGTAAATTTGGGACTCTGAGAATAATACGAGATAAATTATTAATAGATGACGAAATAAAAGAAATTCAAATAGGTAGAGTGCTACTGAAAATTAAATTAATCTGATATAGGAAAAACCTTATCACAACAAATTTTTGTTATTTAAAATAAATATTTAATTAATGATAAAATAGATAAATTGTAAACATTATTAAAGAAATTGCGACAAGAAAGCTCCATGCTGTTAGATTTATTATCCTTGCAGATTATGTCATGATCAAAACTACAAAGGACCTAAATCTGAGGGATGCAAGGTTGAAACTATGGATAGATATAATGTTAAGGAAATTCGTTGCAGAAAGTGTTTAACAGAATAAGCACCTTCTAATTAATGCACAAATTGTGGAATTCAATTTGCAAGGTACTATTGTGAAATTTGTATATTATACTAAGATGATTAGAAAAAGAATCAATTTCATTGTGAAAAATGCAATATGTGCAGATTAGGAAAAAAAGAAGAATATTTTCATTGTGAAATATGTGATGTTTGTTTATCACTTTCAATAAAATCAACACATTTTTGCACTCAAAAAGCATTTGAATAAAATTGCGCTGTTTGTTAGGATTATCTCAAAAATTCAACTTAACTTGTACAATAACTAACTAATTGTGCTCATTTTATGCATGTTAAATGTTTGGAAAAATAATTGAAGAAGGGTTTGCGAAATTGTCCCATTTGTAATATCGCTATTTATGTAAGTATGTATTTAATAAAGTTAGAAAATGAGTTAAGCTGAAATCTAAGAGTTAGATGAGATTAGTCAATAGATTTAGATAGAAATTAATAAAGAACAGAAAGAAACTAAATTTGTTAATATAATATGTTCTGATTGCTAAGCCAAAAGCAACAATGTCTAATTTAACATTTATTTAAAATGTTAAAATTGTGGCTCATATAATACTAGATAATGATAAATAATAACCTTAAATTAAAAATGCATAACTCTTTACATTCTATTCATCATGATGTCGTTTCTCTAAATATCAGCAGTTTGTTCTTTTTACTTATTAAATTGATAAATATTCTTAATTTACCAAATTTGCTCATCTATTACATTATTCCGTTTTGAAGGGTATAATTATGATTTCAATTATTATAGAGACTAGAGTATCTGTAACCCTCAAAAGTACCTTTTTATGATGAATTGTGTTAAAATTAAATTTAATATAATATTTGATTTTCAGACAATTATTTAAATATGAATTAAATATAATAAGACACTGAACATCCAATCTCAAAATTGAATTAGCTAATGTTAACTGATGAACCTATTGGTGAAATTCAGGATTTCCTCAATTATTCTCTATCAGAGGGCAATTTTTCAATACAAGGTTCAAAAATACAAAGCAATAACAATTAGAATAGTCTAAGTTCTAAGGATAAAGTTAATAAAGGCAAAAGAGTTTAATTTGATTCGACTCTCAATAGTCCCTCCACTCATTTCCTAGTTAATAAGACCAATACCAGACTCTCAGAACCTCCTCAACAATTACATCAATAATAGCAAATATACAGTGTCATCTAATTCTGCTTTATCAAGAGGTTCATCAATCGAATAAGTTGGAAGAAGAAAATAAATGCTCAATTTAATTTCTATCAATACAAAATACTGAAGGATTTAGGGTCATCGTTCAATCTGAAACTCTTTAGAGACAGTGCTCTCAATCTCAAACCTATGATTAGTCAATTTAGTAATTCTCATGATAACTTAAATTAAAATCTCAAAAAGAAGTAATGATCATAAAATTATTAGTCCTAGAGAATTCACAACAAAATTTTAAAAACATTATTCTCAATTAAAAAATTGCACTAATAATTTATATAAGAAGATAGAATCAGAATTAGAAAAGATACCTTTGATCACGCCTGAATCTAGATCTAAAATTGTATGGGATTGTGTGGTTATGATAAGCAGACTATATTTCTTATTTACCATTCCATTGGATCTGGCTTGGAATCAATAGCAAATTATTTATGGTCAACTCTTTGCAACTACCATTTTTATGATAATGCTATTGGTCGTAGACTTCATTCTTAGCTTTAATAATTCATTTTATCAATTTGGACAAATTGTTAGTAACAGAGCGACAATAGCCAAAAATGTAATTAGCAAGAGTTATGGTTTAGAAGCAATTTCAATACTAATATTGGTTATTTATGCTATAATTTTTAATTCCTCCAAACATGGATTCAACCTTATGAATTCATGGTGGGATCTATTAATGTTGTTATTTTATGTACAAAGCAGAAATATCCCTAAATTAATAAGTTAAATAGAAGAGACGTTAAATTTATCCAAGCCTAGTAGTTCTTTATTAGAATTATTCAAATTGTTGTTGCTTTTATTCTTTGTTCTGCATTGTTACTCATGTCTTTGGTACTTTGTAATTTATAATATTAATACTTTATTAGGTTGGATATTATAGTTTACAGTACTCTGAAAAAGGTTGCTGGTTAGAGTTTTATCACATTTAGAATGAGACTTGGTAAGTCTAATATTTGTATTCCTTCTATTTCTCGACTGTCACGATGTTCACTATAGGTTATGGAGATGTTGTGCCAATTAGTTATTTAGAAAGAATAGTTGCTATTCTGTATATGATGATTTGCAGTATTCAACTAAGTTACAGTGTCAGTACTGTGGGAGCAATCATAGATACGATATCTGCTTATGGATAAGAGAAGATGAGAAAGATGAGGAAGATAAATACGTATATGTAAAATAAAAAGATTGAATACTAATTACAATATTAAATTAGAGAATATTTAAATTATTACTGGGAATCATAAAATTAAGTAGAGAATGATGAATTAAATGAGATAATAAATTAATTATCAGAGGATTTAAGGGAAAAATTAATGAATTAATCAAATTCAATGATTTTAAATGAATGTCCTTTGTTTAAAAACAATTTTAGTGATGCTTTAAAGTCCAAACTGGTTCATAAAATTAAACCAGTAGTTATTTAACCAGAGAACATAATAAATTTTGATTCAATATTCCCCTAAATTCCTGCTGGTTAATTATATGTATGCTTTGTTGAATTCGGAGACATTTAAATCTTCATTTAGAATGATTAAATTGATTAAATATTGGAAAGTCCATAGATTGCAGAAGTCAGCAAGGTTGGAAAAGGTTCAAGTCTTGGAATAATAAGTTTTATAAGTGGAAAATAATCATAAGAAAGATTCAGAAGCATAGGATTCTCTAAATTATTGATGTTATCGAGAGATGACTTTTTGAAAATCATTTAAGACTTTCCAGAAGATTATGAAAGATTTAGAAATCTATATGATAGTATTTAATTTGATGATGTGAGTGCATTACATATGAAGTGTTTCAGTTGCAATTCGAGTTATCATAGAGTACTCTAATGTCCTTTATTGCATTATATCCCAGATAGAGAATTAATTATTAAGAGGCATTAATTTAGTAATCAATAAATAAGAAACTCACATTTCTTGAGAAACCCTTACCGTCAAAAAGGATACTTTGCAGCTAGATATGATTAAGAAGTTATTGAATATGAAGCCTCCTCATTTAATAATAATAATTGGAAATGGGCTGAATTCTATGAAGAACCAGAAGATGAAACCTTAAAAAAGAGCGATGTTTAAATTAACTAAACTAATCTTGAATAAAGTAGTTCTAATCTTTAAACTATTAATTAGCCGTAATTATTTACTTCTACTGCTTTCCTCTCTGTAATAGATTAATCAGCAAAATTGAATTTAGAACCACCAATCGTAAAAAAGAGGCCAACTCTTTTCAAATAAAGAACAAGAACTATCGAATAGATGGATTTAGATGATTAATCAATGAAAGCATCTATAATGAGTAAAGCCAGGAATAATTTGATGATCATTAAAGAAGAGGAATAAACCAAAAGTTCTATTTTTCGTAAATACTAAAAGATGAAGCCTTCTGTAACTATAGAATTAAATCAAAATAGAGTTAAAGAGAATATTTAAAGAATGAAAAAGGTTGTAAAAGCAATCACCAACATGTATAGAATGAAAAAAAAGTAAAAATAAAAAAAGGAGACTAAATCTATTTTGAATTCATTTTTAGAGGTCATTTAAGATTAAGCATTTCTGAAAGGAGTTCTAAATAAAGTGAGAATTCGATTAAAATAGATACAAGACGGCAAAAAATAAATCTTATCAGAGAAAGACATTGCAGATACTATGATCTTGGAAATCAAATTAAAAATGGAAATAAATCTATTAAATGAATATCAAAAAAAAGACTAGTAGTTGGTGATGGAATCATATAAAAAGTTTAAACATTACTAAGTTCAAAATAACCTAGATTCGATCTTGGAAAGAATGTATTTCTACAAGTAGTAGCATCTATTGAATCCTCAATTAAAAGATAATTAGTCATAATTGTTAAAATACATGATACACCCTGAAATATTCTTTGAGAAATACAGATATCAATAGATCATAGTTCCCAAATTCGACATCACCGAATCGAGTCGAGATTCTGCTCTTGAGACTGAACACACTTTAAGACGCAGTAAATTGCTTAAAAAAAGTATTAGAAATGTAAAATCGGCATAAGTAAGACCTGCATCAGAAGGTGCTGGCAAACTCCAATTTTGACTTATTATTCACATTACAATTTATATACGTCTTCAATTTAATAATAATTGAGAGGTTTAAAAAACTATTGCATTTAGTTTATTTCTAAAAATATTAATTCAAATTTAAAAATGGAAGAGCATTATGAAAAATTGAATATTCTAGGCAAAGGGTCTTTTGGAGTTGTTTATAAGGTGATGAGGAAAAGCGATTAAAAAATACTTGCTTGTAAAGAATTACATTATGGAATCATGACTGAGAAGGAAAAGAATTAATTAGTTAATGAGGTAAATATACTAAGAGAATTAACACATTCAAACATTGTTTAATATTATGAAAGGTATCGAGTTAATTGAATACAATTAGAATTATTGATAAAAAACAAGCTAAAATTTATATCATCACTGAATACTGTTCTGGAGGGGATCTTAGTTAGTTACTTAAGAAATGTAAAAAGGATAAAGATTACATTGCAGAAGATGTAATTTGGAAGATATTCACTCAGTTGTCTTTGGCAATTAATGAATGTCATAATAGAACTCCTAAAATTTTGCATAGAGATGTTAAGCCTGCTAATATATTCTTAGATGAAAACAACAATATCAAACTCGGAGATTTCGGGTTATCAAGAATTTTAGGTGAAAACTCCCAATTTTGTAAAACTCATGTTGGAACACCCTATTATATGTCTCCAGAATAAATCACTGAAGCCTATTATGACGAAAGCAGCGACATTTGGTCGTGCGGATGCTTGCTTTACGAATTGGCAGCCTTAAAACCACCTTTTGAAGCAACCAATCATTTGAGTTTAGCTATAAAAATCAAAAGTGGTCAATTTGATAGAATTCCTCTAAGATTTTCTGAGGATCTTCATCAATTAATTACTTCTATGCTTGATGCCGGTTCTAATTTATGTTTATCATTTTAGATCCGTCTAAAAGACCTAGTGTCATGGAGATTCTCAAATTACCTCTAATTAGTTTGAGGATCAAGGAGAAGAAGTTAAAAGAGAGACATGCTCAAATAAAATTGAAAGAAGAGGAACTTCGATAGAAGGAATAACAGTTGAAGATGTGGGAGCAAAGCTTGGTTAAATAACTTAATTGAGGAGAAAGTCTCAATTTATGATAGTGATAATTAATTTTATGTATGAATTTATTAAAATTAGAGTTTATATATTAATTAATTATTCTTTAATTTAAAAATGAACAAATTTATTTTTTAGATGAAAAGCTATTACGTTCAAGAATTTTTGAATGCAAAAGAAACTTGGAGGAAATCTTTTAAAATAGCTGTTGTGATTTTGTTGATTGAAAATATTCAAATGCTGTCAGTTTATACTTAGAAACTAAATGCGTTTGAATATGATTAGTTTTTAAACCATATAAGAAATTTTATAGATTACTTTAGGTCAAGTTATTTTATATATATTAGATTTTACACAATAATTGGAAATTCGATCAACCTTAGAATTATATTTGTTATTTTTGGATTTCTATTGTAAAGCATACTCATTTTACTACTGCTGTGCTAGATTTTCAAATTGAAGGTGGTTAGGATGAAAAACTAAGGCCTTTAATTTTTGGCAATAGAACAAGTAAAACTAAAATAACTATATAAGAATCTTGAAACAATTGTTGAGTAGAATCATCTAATAAATATGATATTGTCCTTCTTTTTCTAGATTCATCATGGATTATTATAGGTCCCATTACTCTTTTGTGGATTCAGTTTAGTTACTGAATTATTCAATTTTAGTATGAAATTAAAATATGAAAGAAAATTACTCTTATTTTGAATTGGCTGGGTTCATCTTTGCCATAATAACTATCGGTTAACAAATAACAATAGGATTATTAATAAATTTGCATTAGTTCGATCATCGGATGAAGAACTACGACTATTTGGGCAAATTTTAATCATAGAAATTGCATCTACTTTATGCATTCTAATTAATGTATATATTTATAATAATTAGTAATTTAGAGTCATATTTTTGTCTGGTATTCAAGCATCACTATTACTTGTTTAATTGTTTGGAATAATCAAATCAGTAATTCAAATTCTTTGCGATTATCATTAATAAATATATATAGATTATCGGATATCAAGATTGAATCTGAGAATTGTTGTTTTTACAATAATATATTAATTGCTGTTGATAATATGCCAATATGGTTAACCGGCTTTAAAAATTAGCATAGTGCTATTGATATTGCTATGTTATCCCCCGTTGATATTTCTGACAAATGAAATTTTAATTAGATAAGATTTGAAAAACACTAACTATTAGTCTAGAGATTTGGAGAAATACATTAGAAGATTGTACATAATCTTCAAATAATAAGTGGAACTGAAAAAACAACAAAGACTGCTTGATCCAAAATAATCATTAGAGATTTACACATTCATCTCAAGACATTTGAGAGAATGTAAAATGTAAAGAGAAAGAAAAATGTTGAAGAATATTAAGCTTAAATATAAGTGTTTTTGCCAAGACTTCTTTCTTGGAATTGATTCCTTCTAAAGTTTGGAGTCTATGAAACAATTTGCTAAAGGATTGATTGGATAAACACTTGAAGATGAAATCATTGAAAAGGCAAATACTAACCTAGCATTAATCTATATATACTTTTTAGTTTAAATTAAAAAAGTACCAACCTAAGCAATCTATGAAGTTATTAGGTTCTCTATGGTTGAAAAAGTATTTATTTGAATTTAATATTATAAGGAATAACCTCTAAAACAATAAGCAATTGTACATAAATTAAAATAGGATGCTTTATATAAGTTCAGCGAATTAGTAAAAAAAAATGATTTAGTAAATCAAAAATTCGTGTTTAAGAAAGTTTATCAATATGAAGAATCACTGAATGTTTTGAAATAAAATTTATGTTTAGTTGTTAAAGAAGAAAAGGTATATCAATTTAAAATATTGAAGGACTTTTATGGTTGTATTCTTACTTAGATTATTGACATTGATATGCTTTTGGATATTGGATTCAAGTTAATTAAAAATATTAAAATACTTGAGAAGTAGTTTTAATTGTTATTTAAAACAAATCCTTAAAATAATGAATGTGATACTATTTTTAACATATTCCACAAATATGTCCACTATAATAAATTCAGGCCAAAATTATATAGAAGAGAAGGTCAAATAATGATGCAATTTTTATAATCAGCAGAGAAAATAATCTATGACCCAGGGAGCTGCGTGATATAAATAACCTTACTATAACCAAGAGGAAATGTTATCAGATACACAAGATCATTTTAGAAGGCTATTGGGTTTAAAGATGAGGAGATTTAAAATCAGAACATTAACAGATTTATGCCTCAAATAATAGCAAATGATCATGATTTATATCTGGACAATTTTGTCGAGAGAGGCAGAATAAATGTGGTTAGAAGTGCTGTGAGAGTAATTTTGGGAAAGACCAAATCCTAATTTGTAGTCCCTATCAATACTAGACTAAGAATAGAAGCAAGTCCAACTGAATTTGGAGCTACTGCCTTAATAACCCCAGTAAATCTGACGTATGGTTATATGATGTTAAATGAATAAGGTTAGATTGAGGAATTGACTTAGAATTTATTTGAGAGTGTTTTTGAGAAACATTTAGGATTAGAACTTAGTTAACTCAAAGGATTGGATTGTTTGTTTTTCATTCCTGAATTAGCAAAGATTTGGGATACTTTATTCGATGATCATTTTGATAGATTAGACAAAAGATTTGATTGCTAATTAATTCTTCCAATGATCAATAAATAAATGAGTAGGAGTCTAGTTCGAACAAGATCCAATATATTTTCTAGAACTACTATTCAATCAAAAATTGCTAAATAATTTGAAAGTCTACCTCATGAAAATGTGGTTTATTAGATTTCTGTCCATTTAATGAGTCTAATAACTATAAATCTTAGGTAGAATGTATATTTATGTTTAGATTAGTTATTGTTGAAATCCCTGAATTTAAATAATTAATGAATCAAAAGATAACCAGTAGACAACTAGTTCAATTAAGAAATAGATCTTCATAATTAATTAACATCTCTTCACAGAATGAAATTCCAACTCAGAAAACAGATCTCATATCTTCATTGAATTCTCCTCCTGGAAATGGTCCTCTAAACGAATGCGATTTGGAATATGAAAATTTAATCGAAGATATTAAGATGATTGAAGAATTAAGGAACTAATTAGCAACAATTAATATTAATAGCACAACTCAAAATAATCAAAAAGATCCCTTTTTATTATAAAATAGTGAAAATTAACTTGAAGGAAGAATAATAGAATTTCAAAATGATCCATCAGAAAAGAGTAATGAATTTAGTGAAGCAGAATCTGATCTTAAAGACAATGCATAAGAACAGCAAAATGTGCAATATAATAATGGTTCAGTAGGGAGTAGATCATCTTAAAATAATACAACAGCACTTAAAAGGTAAATTAAAGATTGTCTATCTGATTCTAAGGGATTGACTGTAAGAACCAAATTGTTTCTGCTTTTCATCTATGTGTTAATATTATCAGGATTTTTGATTAATTTCCTGATATTGTATTTTAATTTTGAGAAAATACACGAAAATTAAAATTATGAAAATTTACCATTCCAATTCTCTTACTATTACAATGAATTCATTATCGATTAATCTTATTTAGATGAGGTTCAATTTGATTTTAATCAATTAAGTAAAATAGCCTTCCAATATTTCCTAATTAACATTAAAAATATTGACAAAACTATTGCTTTGTTACCTCATATTAATGTTGTCAGTAACCTTACTATGGAAAGCAGAACATTGAATATTGTGTCTCAACTTACAAAAGTGTTAAATATGAATGATTAAATTAATTATTCTGAATTCTATAATAATACTGATGCTTTCAATATTTAGATTAGTGAGATTTAGAACACTGATTCAACCAAAAACTTACTCAGTTTATCAGTCTTGTAATTTTTATAGTTTTAAATCTTAGTGTAATTGTCGAATAGATAATCTTATTGATTTTACTTGGAAACTACATATACTTATGTTTTTAAATTATATAGATGAAATAGAAGATTTACAAATTGTTTTGTACTTTTTCTAAAGAAGTTATCTAAGAATAATTTGTTTAATTCAGTTCCCTTTATACTTAATTAAACAACACTAGATTTAGAAATCATGAAACTGATGAAGAATAATTTGAAACTACAATGATGCGTTAATATTAGAAAACAGTTACTTCAAATATGTTAGATAAACATAATAGAGTTGGGAAGTAAATTTCGCAGAAATGTATGGTATTTAAACTACTATTCTAGAAACTAATTCAGCTTAAATCTTTTTCTTCTTATTCATTTTTATATATGCCTTTATTTGTTCATGTTATTTTGTTGGAAGTTTCATCTTATAATAGATCACTCAATCAAATGTATCTGCAAGATATCAAGAAAAAACATCATTCTCAATTACCTTTAATTCTTTAGCATCCACTTATGCTCAACAAGCCATTCTCCTAAATAATACAATCACATCCGACATGATTGATTATTATGATGTCGCTGTTGAATAATTAGGGCAGTTAACTACAAGTCTCTCATTGTACTAAGAAGATTAAAATCTTTAAGTCTATGGAATTTTAGTTGAAAATTTGTGCAATCTGTTTCTGAGCGAATTGTAAGTATATTAACTTATTGTAGATCCTATAGTTATGAAGACTTTTAGAATCTTTTTACTCTTTAGTAGTGTTAATCTATTTCTATTCTTCAGAAGGGGTTAAGTTCAGTAGTCTAAGACTTATATTCACATTAATTAGACTTCCTATAAGGAATTACCATAAATTAATTAAATGGCTTTAAGGAATCATATCAAGATTCATAGATCTAGATACAAAGGTTATATGCACAATACGGATTTTAAGTTATTATCGAACTGCTTACAAATTAAATTAAATCTTTAATAGATTCGACATTTTTAATCAATGCAGTCATGTTTGCCTTTGCGTGCATCATTATGAGCATATCATTGATTGCAACTAAACTGTCAATAGAGAAAGTTAAATAATAATATCAGGAAAGTAAGCAATTGTTAACATTGTTCCCGTTTGACAGATTGATGGAGAATGCTTATGTAATTAGTTTCATTACGCATGATTTGCATTTTTCAGTCTGAATTAATAAGCTATATATAACTTAAAATTAAATTTAAAATTATTCTTAGCTCCAACATTTATTTATTTCATTATTATTTGTTAAATAAGAGAGAAAAGAAAGAAGTCTTTTCTCTAATTTTATTATTATGATCTGATTTAATAACCTATGTTTTTAATTAAGCTTATTAACTATTATGACAGTTGAAGAAGTCTATGTACTTTTTGCTTAAAATATTGATTAGTTTTTAAAGAATTATTTTTACATTGATGTCTTAATTTATGAAAGGTAAATATGAATTAAAATCTAATTAGGATTATCAAAATGTGACATATTTGGTCAGACAATTACATTAAGAATGAATAAATAAAATTTTTATAAGACTGCATTTGGGGGATGCGTATCACTTATTTTGTTTATTGTGATGCTGTTGATTTTTTCTCAAAATTTAATCTCATTTTTGAACAAAGAAAATTTGACTGCAACAGTATTAACCACATTTGAAGAATTTCCATCTTTAGCTACATTGAATGATGACACTTTTGCATTTGCTATTCAAATTGAATAAAATGATTTTATTGAGAAACCTTACTTTAACATTTAAGTTGAATAGAAGCATACTACTAGATTTTTAAATGGATCAAAAATGGAAAATACTTCACAACTTGTTCTCATACCATGTACATTAGATAGATTCACCAATATTTTTAGTAAATATGATGTTAATATAACAAAATAATTTTATGATCTTGATTTATAGAATTTCTTGTGCTTCGAGTAAATAATATAAATTACTTTAGTTATAATTCAACATTTACTATTCAAGGTACTAATTCAAGTAATTATTATGAAATAATTTAAAGATTAACAATTTTGGTATTTGAAAATTTCAGTAAATAATTGTGTTACAAATTAATCGTGTGCTTCAGAAACTGAAAGATAAAATGAAATCGAAAAGAATGGCTCCTTTAAATTGAGACTCTACACTGTTAATCAAGTTAATACTTTTACTTATTTATTAGATATTAAATCCTTAAAATCCTGACGATTAATACTTATAAACATTCATAGATGATTCATTTTACCTAAAATTTCTACCCTCAGATGTTTACAAAACTGTAGATATATTCCTTAAAGAATATGAAGTCTTAAACGATTTGAGTTTAACTCCTTTTAGTGATATCGAATTGTCAAAATTTTACATCTTAGATCAATCTGAAATGAAAGAGAGAATTGAATACCAATCCAAAAGCTCAGATGATATTGCTACTATATTCTTTCGTAAAAGTCCTTACAAGACTACTATTTACAGAAGTTACTTAAAAATCGATGAATTACTATCAAATTTGGGTGGCATCTAATAGATTTTCTTCTTTTTTCTTGGCATAATTCTGTCACTCTACAACAGATTCTAATGTATCATTTTAAGTTAAATTAAGTACTGGTTGAATTGGCTAATAAACTGTATGAATTTTCTTTAATTCAATTACAACAAGAAAAAATTCATGAAGAAAATTTAGAATAGATAAACCATTTAACAACAGAAAGATAAGAAGAACTAAGAACGAGAAGATTAACTGATTAAGATTTAGAGATTAAGCTTGTTAATCCGAGTTAGATTAAGCAGAAGGAAAAAAACGGAATATTGAAATTTGGCTTAAAACAGTAGGAAGATGATTAAGAAATCAATTACCAAGATGATGAAGATAGAAATGTGAAAGAAGCTCACGGCAAATTCTAGAGATCATCCACTCGATTTATTAGAAATCCATTTGGAAATAAAATTAGACCAGAAAACGGCCTATAATATTTCAAATAATAAATCATTACAATTATTAATAGATCTTAACCAGTCTTATTAAGTTTCAGCATGATTATCAATTTCATCACTTGTAATCAGTGTTGCTCAAATAAAAAAAATATATAGTTAATGAATAAAGCCATGTAAATTTGTATTTCATTGTAGAGACTAAATTACAGATTAGATAGATTTATTTAATATATTAACTAAATTAAATGAATTAGACAAAATGAAAGAAGTTATTTTCACACCTGAACAGTTATTGGTCTTTAATTTCACTCCTAAGCCTATGATTTCATTAGATACTACAAAAAAAACAATAAATCGATCCTATTTTGAATAGAGATCCAAATGTGACATTGAGATATAGTAATGCATCACATATATATTAAGACCTAAACAAAAAGAGGAAAATAAATATGAAACTAGATTACCTTCTCAGAGAGGAATGCATTTAAGAGGAGATGCTTAATTGTATTAGGATATATATAACGTAGAATTATTTACAATAATAAATTAGGCATACGATGAAGTTCTTTAGGATTAAGAAGAGAATATTATTAATAAACAATTAATAAAAAAGTTAGGTCCTGAAGTTTAAGCTATTTTCAAACTGTCCAAATTCATTGATCAGTAAAAATTATCCGCAAGGGGATAGAAAAGAAAGCATTAATTAAAATATAACGAACCTCCTAGTATTGATTGATTTTGATGATATTAGCACGATTTTATTTTTATCTTTCTCAACTCTAATCATTAATTTAATTTATTAAAAATATGTAAATTTCTTAAAATATTAAATGGAAAACAATCACATTATAGATTAAATTACTTATATTTCAATTTGTTCTACATGACTTTCTATTTAAAAAAGAATCGTAAAATAATTGTTTAAATAATATTATAATAAAAATATTACTTTATACTTGAATCCAAGTAATTATCGCGCTAATACACATTATTTAATTTATGATTTAGTAAGGGTGCTTAAACATATATATTCCGATTAAGTTATTATTGTTTAATTAAATTAAAAAAAACTCTTCTAATCTAATAATTAAAGTAAATCCAAATAATTGAATAGATATAATAGATAACTAGATTAATTATTTATTATAGAGTAAGGCAAAGAGCTTATTTTACTAAAATTGGATGATGTAGAATTAAGATTAACTTCAAGTATTATTATATTGATAAAATTATTGAATTATTTCTTTTGGTTTATTAATAGTCAATATGCAAAATTGAATTGCAGCAATTTGTGTTTATTCCATTTATATGACCTTAAGGATTATAGTTAAATTTTAGATTCTAAATAATAGAGAAAAGGTAATATTTTAACTAAAATAATTAATTGTGATAATTTGTGTGTTTATTCTATTTATTTTCATTCTTAAAGGAATGATGGCAAAAGAAATAGAAATTGATTGTTATTTCATGTATTTATTTGTATTGTACTTAAATATTATTGCTCATTATTTTCTTTAGACTTTCTTGCTTGCACCTCTTTTTGAATAGAAAACATCATCTCTTCTAAATTCAAATTCTAAATCTCTTGTTGTTAATAATTTATAGACAGCTTTAACGGCATCAAGTCTGGGCTCTAATTCTGCTTTGTCTTATTCATCCAAGAAGCTAAAATTATTGAAGTTGTCTTTACATTCTATAAAACTTAGTGCCATCAACTCTGACTCTTGTTCTTCTGCCTAAAATGAATGTTGGTGCAACAAGGTCTTCAAGAATTGCATCATATACTGAGGTGAGTGTTCTTGAATTTGGTCTTGTTTATGATCTGTGACTCTTGACCCATTTGCTTTCGATTGTTCTTTTGGCAACAACAAGAATTGTGGCTTTGAGTCTCTTTTCTAATTCTGGTAATAATTTTGAGCTATTATATTTTCACATTTGGAGTACCTAACCTTATTGAAAACGGATAAGCAAGGATGAGGAATGTATACCAAATAAACTTGCTTCTTGGCATTAATTTTAGCTGTATAATCAACCACTGAGGAGAGTTTAAGATTCTTAGCATCAGCCAATGATTGCTCAATTTGAGTCAATGCAACACCAACTTATTATTCCAAATTAGATAACTTATAATTAAACAAATGACATACTTCTGTCTTTTTCCAAAACTTATTAGCTGCCATTCCTGATAAAAATTTGATTTTTTATTTAAATCTTTTTTATTAATAATTCAGACGACTTTCTTTTACAACGATCCACACCAATCCCCTTATTTTTATGATAAGATCATTCAAATTGATTAACAATTTATTCAAATAATATACATTCTCACTTCAAATTCAAAATCTTATTAAATAAAATTCTATTCATATGTAATCATAACATAATTAGTAAAAAAGAGAGATTAATTATTATTATTAATACTAAAAAAAGGTGAAATAAATTTTATTTTAATATAAACACATATTTAATTTGATTAAACTAACTCTAATCATGAGTATTGCTCATTTCTATAGCTTGGATTGCCTATGACTCTGGATCTTGCAGTTCTAAACTAAAAATCATTTGACTAAATCTTTCTCATAGATAGAATATAAGAAATAGATTGAGGGGGAATATAAAAAGTTATAACATGAATTTAATAGATGTATTTTTTGAAATGCAATTAAATAAATTTAAAGAAATTAAAAATGGAAATAAATTTTTTTTTTATTAATTCGAAACTTCTAGAAATAAAAATTGAGTATAAATTAAGTTCGATTCACAGATAATTTTTAAGTTTAAAATTAAAAAATGGCAACAGAGTAAAAGAAGGAAGAGTAATTCCACTTCAATGCAGATATCCAACAATTGATGGGTTTAATTATCAACACATTCTATTCAAACAAAGAAATTTTCTTGAGAGAATTGATCTCTAATGCATCAGATGCTTTAGACAAGATTAGATATAAGTCTATTACAGACCCAGATAGTGCTGGCTTGAACGTTGAACCAAATTTCAAGATCAAGATTGTCCCAGATAAAAATAACAATACTTTGACCATCCAGGACACAGGTATTGGTATGACTAGAGATGAAATGATCAACAACTTGGGTACCATTGCTAAGTCAGGTACCAAGGCCTTCATGGAAGCTTTGAGCTCAGGAGCTGATATTTCTATGATTGGACAATTTGGTGTCGGTTTCTACTCTGCCTATTTGGTCGCTGATAAGGTTGTTGTCATCTCCAAGGCTGTTGGTGAATAATAATACAGATGGGAATCATAAGCTGGTGGTACATTCTTCGTCTATGATGATGCTGAAAACCCAGTCTAATTGACCAGAGGTTCAATCATCATCTTACACATGAAGTAAGATAACTTAGAATTCTTGGAAGAAAAGAGAATTAAGGATTTAGTCAAGAAACACTCAGAATTCATTGGATTCCCAATTGAATTATAAATTGAAAAGACCACAGAGAAGGAAGTCAGTGATGATGAAGATGAAAACAAGGAAAAGAAGGCTGAAGAAGGTGAAGTCTAAGAAGAGAAGGACAAGGCTGAAAAGAAGAAGAAGAAGATCAAGGAAGTCAGCACAGAATTCGAATAAGTTAACAAGAACAAGCCATTGTGGATGAAAAAACCAGAAGAAATCACAAAGGAAGAATATGCTAACTTCTACAAATAATTGACCAACGATTGGGAAGAACATTTGTCAGTCAAATAATTCTCAGTTGAAGGAGGTTTGGAATTCAAGGCAGTCCTCTTCATTCCAAAGAGAGCACCATTCGATTTGTTCGAAACAAAGAAGAAGAAGAACAACATCAAATTGTATGTCAGAAGAGTTTTCATTATGGATGACTGTGAAGAATTGATCCCAGAATATTTGGGATTCGTTAAGGGAGTCGTCGATTCTGAAGATTTACCTTTGAACATTTCAAGAGAATTCTTGTAACACAACAAGATCTTGAAAGTCATCAAGAAGAACATCACCAAGAAATGCATTGAAATGATCACAGAAATCAGTGAAAATGCTGAAGACTACAAGAAATTCTATGAACAATTCTCAAAGAATCTCAAATTAGGTATCCATGAAGATTCAGCCAACAGAACCAAATTGAGTGAATTCCTCAGATTCCACACATCAAAGAGTGGTGAAGAATTGATCTCACTCAAGGACTATGTCGGAAAAATGAAGGAAGGATAGAAGGATATCTTCTTCATTACCGGAGAATCCAAAGCCTCAGTTGCTGCATCACCATTTGTTGAAGCCTTGAAGAAGAAGGATTATGAAGTCATCTATATGATTGACCCAATTGATGAATATGTCATCCAATAATTGAAGGAATTCGATGGAAAGAAATTGAAGAATTGCACAAAGGAAGGCTTAGACTTAGATTAAACTGAAGATGAAAAGAAGAAATTTGAAGAATAAAAGTCTTCATTTGAAGGATTATGCAAATTGATCAAGGAAATCTTGGGAGACAAGGTTGAAAAGGTCTAATTAGGATAAAGACTTGACTAATCACCATGTGTCTTAGTCACCGGTGAATACGGATGGTCTGCCAATATGGAAAGAATCATGAAAGCTTAAGCCTTGAGAGATCCATCAATGAGCAGCTATATGATGTCCAAGAAGACCTTAGAAATCAATGCCAATCACCCAATCCTCACTGAATTAAAGAAGAAATCAGACAAGGATAAGAGTGACAAGACCGTCAAGGACCTCATCTGGTTACTCTATGAAACTGCTCTTCTCACTTCTGGATTCAGTCTTGATGACCCAACTCACTTCGCCAACAGAATCCACAAGATGATTAAACTCGGTTTATCCATTGATGATGCTGGTATTGAGGAGGAAGATGAAAAACTTCCATAATTAGAGGTATTATTAATCATTTATATTTTTCTTAGAAAAAGGAAGATGCCAACACTGAAGCCACCAAATCAAAGATGGAAGAGGTTGATTGATTAATGTTCATTGTGTGTTTTAAATATACAGTAATTTAACATTAAATAACTTTATTATTATAAACTATAAATGTTGATCATTTATATTTACATCAACTTTATTTATCTAAGATAATTGAGTTGTCAAATATCTAATGCTACTTCTCATAATAACAAGTTTCATAAATGAAGGATAATCTATAAATAGAAGGTATTAGTTATAAACTAACTACTAATAACTATTTCTCAACTTAAAAGGGTTATTTTTTATAAGTGCTTGGATATTTGCTCCCAAATGATTTTTTAAGTTCTTTATTATAAAAGATCTCCCTTTTATTTTTATTTACAAGTTGGATACGAAGTGATTATTTAGAAATTGAGAATCTCGAAATTTTAAGCTATCTTAGTATTATAAATGGAATCTGTTAAATTAAATTAATGAATAAGGAGGAAGAAAATAAAGGGAATTAGAATTTTAATCATAACAGAATTGAATTGGCTATCTTCAATAATATAAATATTCTTGATGGGAAATCTATGGTTCCTATTATATTACTTGTCTAAAATCAGTTGATATTGATTTCTCGATCCTGATTCAAATCAATTCATTTTATGACTGTCAAAGTTAGAACTAAGTTTTAAAGTCATGCAACCAAATAATTGCTAAAATTTAAGTAGAAACTCAAATTATAAATTTGATTTTATTTGACATAATTACTGGGGAACTAGAAAGAATAATATACGTTGTCTGAATCAGTTTAAATAAAGAATATAAATTAGTTACATTTGAAGGCATTGTCAAGAAAATGCTGAGTCTCAAATTTAACAACATTATCTATAAACTATTCACATTTCTGAAGTTAATTGAATCAGAAAGATAGCTTTGATAAATAGTGTCTATTTTTGTGTCTGCTGTCCCCAGTATACATAGATCATTTATAATAAATGATTTTTTTGCTATTAGCTTATATTATGGAGAAATTAATGGTAGAATAGCCTATCAAAAAGTTATTTGGAGGTACTTTTAGATAATAGACACAGGACCTAACCAATTTAATTAGAAGTAATTGAATTGTTTTATGTTCTGCTTTTTCTCCTATTTTAGGGGTTATCATTTACAAGAAACAAAATGGATCAAAAACCTCATCTTTAGATCGATTAGTAGAAAATCACTAAAATTAACTTATCTGATTTGCTTAAAATTAATAATACTGTTAATGACATAGTAAAAAAATTGTTAAAGGAAAAAAAGAAAAATCATTTCTATTCTAAAAGTGAAATATGTGTCAAGAGATTTTGGAGTTGTTGTACTATAAAGATATTGAAAAGATTAATTCTCAACGGAATCCTCTTAGAGGCTTTCCTTATTAATTTGTAATATAATTTCCAAACAAATTAAAGAATTTGGAAATAAAATGCTCTAATTAGAATTGTCAATTTTCATTATTATTTGACGAATTTAAAAGTCTACTCTCTATAAAATTTAGGCGGTCTCACTGTCACATGTTACCCAAAAGGTTTTGTTAATAAGTGAAAAATTTATATAAAAAAAAAAATTTTATCTTTGACAAATAAAAAAATTAAATATATATTTTTAGAAATTAAATAATCAAACTTAATAATCAACTTTAAAACTTCATTCTTATACTTTTAAGTATGGGTGTTGCTCACCTTAATATTTTTTTAGAATAGTGTAATAAAAACGATTTTTAACTTAGTTTTCCTAAAAATAGAATGATTATATTACCGATCTATTTTTAAGCATTTTGGCAATGACAGCCCATCTTGCTCCACCTTTATTATATTCTTCTAAAATAATTCTATCCTCCTCTTTTGACCATTCTTCATGTGTTATCGATGGGTCTATTTAATTCACATATCTGTCACGCACCTATTTTGAAGTTCGACCTGGCAATCCTTGAAATTACAAAATATATGTACTTTCACTTATTTTAATCCATTGTCTTCCAAATTCTTTATACGCCTCTATTAAGATTTGATCTTCGGCTAAAGACCATTTCTTTTTTGTTCTTTTCTCTTAATCTTAGAGCTTTCTGTATTTTTGGGAACATTACGAGATATTTCTTCCTTTGAGATGTTTGATGATTTATTTCCAATTACCCTTGTACTTTTTATAATAAGAGACGAGATTATTTATTTCCTTTTAAGTCCATAATTAGCCTTTTCCTCTTACAATTCCACTAGCGTTAGTATGATATTCATCTTTGAGTGGTTTAGTCTGCTCCTTTTCACTCTCAGAATGGAGTTCAGTCTTTGGGATTTCTTATAAAACCGAAGAATTGAGTTGGTATGGAATATAGTAAGGAACAAAGAAGTAATAAGGATTAGGTTAATTGATGTACATTGAAATTTATAAACCTAAAATTTCTGTTCTATAAATAAGCCCCAATGTATAGAATAGTCTATAAATCAAGTTAATCAATATTGATTATTGTATTAAACAATATGAAAAAAATTTATCAATACACCTTGAGTTTCAATAATTGTAACGGAATCTCTTAAGATGACTATTTAAAAACTTTGATGAGATCGTCTTTGAGCTTATAATTCAAATCTCTGGGCTCAATGAAGCTTAAAGCCTCTCCCTTTTTGCCAGCCCTACCAGTTCTGCCTATACGATGAATATAATCTTCAATATTTTCAGGAAAATCATAATTAATCTAATTATTATTTGATATTTAATTACCACAACATCCACATCTGAGACATCTAATCCTCTTGAGGCTAAATTAGTTGTAATCAAACAATTAACTTTACCATTTCTAAAATCTTACATGATGTAATCTCTTTGATTTTATTTTAAATCTCCATGCAAATACCTAGCATTTACTCCATGCTATGATAATCTATACTCAAGCTTTTATGTGTCTATTTTCTTCTAACAAAACACCAAAACCTTTTTATCTTTGATTTGATTGAAGTATTCTATCAATTATTCGAACTTATTTCCTCCAGCAATAATCACATTTTAAGAGATATTCTTATTAACAGATAAGCCCCTCTCTCCTAATTGTAAGAAAATTGGATCTTGACTACATAGACTGTTTGCCAATCTCTAAACTTCTTAGGGCCAGGTTGCACTGAAGAATAACGTTTATCTATCTTTTCTGACTTCTTTCAAAACATCTCGAATTTAATCTTCAAAACCCATATCAAGCATTCTATCTGCCTCATCCAAAACCACTTAAGTAATTGATTTCAAAGGTAATCCATCCTTGATGAAATCCAATAGTCGCCCTGGAGTAGCAATGATTACTTTAGGAGTTTCTGGTCTTGCAGATCTATTAGTTTTTCCCAACAAATGAACATATTAATTAGGCTTAGGAATTCCCCCATACAAACAACAGGTTTTTGCAAATAGATCATATTAAGTCTAAATTTACTAGGCTAGTTCTCGAGTCGGGGCCATAACCAATATTCTTGGGCCAGCCACATGAGGTTAAGCTTGCATATGCATGATTCCAGGTAAAGCATAGGCAAGTGTTTTTCCTGATCCTGTTTCAGCAATTGCAATTACATCGTGACCATCAAATATCAATGGTATTATTGCTTGTTGAATTGAAGAAGGAGATGTTATGTTTCTTGCCTTTAAAGTTTCCTAAAGACTTTCAGGTAGAAAATTGAAACTTTAGGCAATATTAAAAACTTTCCCGTGAATCTTGTTTGCTTTTATAAAACTCATAACCTCATCTGCAGGTGCGAGAGGTATGAGTTTTAATTATTTAACTATCTCACTTTGCTACTCTGACTTTAGTTAATCGCAATGTCGAGCAAATTCTCCAAAGGATATATAAGACCTGGAATGGTATGATCCTTAAAATTAAGATCTTGATGATTGTTATCTAAATCTGTTATTATTAGAAAAACTGTAGATAGAACCTCTTAATCCTAAAGGACAGAAGAATTGAATAAGTGCTTTTCTGAGTGGATTATTTATCATTAATATAATTTAATAAAATTTTGAATTCTTCTAATTATTAATCAAAAACTTGAAATATCTTTAAAAGCACATTCTATAATGAGTTTTTCTATTTCTCAACTTCCTATAAAATATTAAAAATATTAATAATTAATTTATAAAAATGTTATACACTTTAACAAAGGAACAAAGAGATCTCCGTAAGAAGGAGAAAAAGGTAAATCAAGTCAACTGTCCATTATGTCCAGCATCTCTATAGGGACTGTTAAAATCTAAGGCATTTTGGTAAATAATTTTATTATGGTTCTCAGTATATTTTGTTTAAATTATGTCTGCAAATCCCACATTGTAAAATAAAGAAAGGATCCCTTAGATGATGAAAAAATTGGCAAAATCTGTCGAGATTGCGAAGATTAAATTCTCTATACAAAAATTACTTCAAAGGTATTATTATTAAATCTATAAAAATTCAGCATTAAAAAAAAGAATAAGAACTATAAGTTTAGTATAAAGAATTATAAGGGAATTTGGATAATGCTAATGGTTAATTTTAAGATCTCTTATCTTAAGAGTAAACAATCAAATACTAAATCGAAAAAGCCTAAAAAGAATTTGAAAAGAGGGAACAATAAATTAAATTAAATATTAAAGAAGCAGAAAATCGATAGGAATAATGCAATCAAGAGAGTTTGAAATTAAGCGAATAATATCGTAAGCTAGTCGAGGAAAAATAGAGTAAAGAGAAGGAAAAATAAATTTTACAAGAAAAACAAGAAGATCTGTAAAATTCCATATTATAATAAGTTAAAATAAAGAACAAAAACTATCCATTGAAAAGTAGTAAATTCAAGATCAAATTGATATACTAAATGAGAACATTAGCAAACTTACTCAAGAAATTGCCAGAATTACTTCTGATAAAAAAGGAGAAAATAAAGGATAAAAAAGTGTATTTACTACATACACTTCAAGTAACTTTGGCACATTATAGTTGGATCCAAAAATGCCTTCTGAGTTTGTTCCAAGGCCTAGTAGAAAAAAAGAAATACTCGATCAACCAGATAGAGGAGAAGGATTTTGCTGTATGAAAGTCCTTCCAAGTAGTTCTAAGAAGAAGAAAAATGTATGATTTCACTGAATTAATCAATATACTTTATGCATTTTTTTTGTATAATCATCAAAATTTTGCTTCAGATTAACAGTTTGCTAATGAAGAATGCTTCTATTTAATATCTATTGCAAGCACAGCATTTCTATCTTATCCTTATTCGCTAATACAGGCATCGTCTATTGATATTAAATCCAAAGTATTCTTTCTCATTTTTAATAAATCAACTATTGTTTTATCTATAGAATTTATTAACTTCACATTGATTGGATTATCTAAATTTTCCACGATTTCTTTAAAAGCATTTTAGGCATCTACTGCTCTCTAAAAATCACTTTTCATAGGTTTTAATATCGAATAATAATGTTAATTTATATTAAACTATTTTGAATTTGGATCTAATGGAATGGTAGGTTTTTAAAGATAATCAAAAACCTTAATCTGAGATTCTGTTAGTAAGATCATTTTCAATTTATCTATTTCCTACAATTTCTTCATTATATATAAAATATCCATTTACTTAATAATTTTTTTGACAGAATATTCAATTTGAAGACTTTTGTAATTTTTGGAACTAAATAAATTAATATAGTTTACTTAACAAAGCAGCTTATGAAATACAGGTAATCAGTCCATTTCATTTTTAGCTTTTTTGAAATACTCTGAAAATATTTTTTAATTGAAAAAGATATAGCTTTTGTTAATTCTAACTTGGCTTCTTCTTTTGATTGTGGATCTACAACTAGAGAATCTATAACTTCCATCTGTTTCTTCTTGATTTTAATAGATTGCAATCGTTAAAATGCTTTTTTTTTATTTTCAACAAATAATCCTTCTCTGGTAGACTACAATTATTTTCTTGTCATAAGTTCTTATTGTGGTGCGTCTTGATTTCGATCTTCTTCTCTTTAAGTGATAGTTGTTTTCTTCTTTTCTTGCTCGAATTCAAACAACGAATTCAATATTCTAACATAATATGATAGCATATTTATTGGTTTTTATATTAAAAAGACAATTGTAAAGAAGACCTACCAAAGTCCTCCCATTTAGCTTAGGATAAATTGAATTTTGGTGTAGCTTCTATAATATTGTTGCTCAATTTAATCCAATCGTATTACAACATTCATAATTAAATCACTCTCATTTAAATCAATCATTTCTGTATGTCTTTTATATCTTAAGGTTTTATGAATTTAGTTATCTTCAGTGACAAGGCCGAGATCTGTAAATACTGTTATAGGCTACATATAAAAAGAAATTTCTTTAAAAATCTTGCTAGATATTGTAGTGAAGATATCTTCCCCTTTAGACATAAAAGGCTCTTCTTCATTTTTCACATCTATAACGTATGAGGACATTTAAAGAGAAAAATAGTTTTATTCTAACAGTTATTTAATTTCATCTCTGGATTTACATTCCTTTGTTTTTTTTGTTTATTCGTTGCACATTTTAAACTATAATAAAATAAAACTATAGGATTGAGAATCAAAAGTGCCTTCTAAAATCAACTCGTTTATTCTATCCCAATCGATACAGTAATTAGTAGGTAAATCTAAATGAGAAAAATATTCCTATAATTCAACTTACCGAATGAGTTCTGGAGTGCAGGCAGTCAGAGGAAGTTCTTGTGATATCCATTCATCGATTTTCTGATTATCAACACTAATATTTTAATTCAATATAATACGTCTTTGTTTTCTTGGTTGTGATTTGAGCTTCGACAACATAGACTGATTCATCGATGTATGTTGCGTAATTGGGTGTCTAAATAGCAAAAGTTAATGTGAAATTTTATTCATTAAATTTGAAGTATTCTGGCTATGCATGGTAAACCTCTGTTGTTAGTGAAGTGGGATTATCTCTTTACCCCAAGGCATATAGATTAACAATAAGTAAGTAAAGGAAAAAGGATATCAACCCCAATGTTAGACAGGCTCCAAACAAAGTTTTATGTCCTTCTTCCGATTTTATCAGCAGTTAAACAGGCTATGAAAAAATATCAACTTTTTTTAGACTTTTCAGTGCCTTCCTCTAAAAATTAATAAACATTTTTATTATAATTAAATATTAAGATTAATTAAGTATGAATTATTTATAAACTAATGTACTTTGGAATCAAGAATTTGATTACATAATGAACATATAATAGCAAATGTCATTATTTCTATCAAATTGTCAAAAAGCATTCCTTCAGAAGCCTTAAAATAAGAATATAGTATGTAATTACAATCAAATAAAAAGTAAAATTTGATGATTGTTATTTGAATGCTATTTTCATAAACAATACTTTAATCAAATAATTAGTCAAGACTAATTATTGATAAATGATTTATTTAAAATTTTCAAATATCATCAATGTTTTTACTTTAAATGAATCCAAATAAAATATTCCCATCTGTAAAGGTGTTATGTTTATGAATTAAGTTATTTAGAACACTTTTAACAGGTAGTTTACTTTCAAATAATTGATTAGAAATATTCAAACTTTCCTTTTCATTCTTCATTTATCAATCTTCAACCTATAATAAAGATATATCATTCTTTAAACTTTAATAAATTATTCAAAGATTTTTTCAAAAAGTCTTGGTTCAAAGAACTATTGATAATCTTCTTAATTAATTAATTAATTATGACTTGGGAAAAAAAATAAATTTTCAATAATATTTTAATAATTTCTGGTGGAAGTATTAAATTTGTATTATGAGAAACTGCCTAATAAACACTCTTTGAATTCTGTTCATTTTTGGAACAACAATAAACGTAATATAGTTGATTAGCCAACTAGAAATATGAGAACTGCTTAATTAAAATATTTTTTCCTGCATTGAATAATGTACTATTAAAAATATAATTGAATCATTCCTTTAAAGCAAACTTTCTCAAAGGGAAATTATTTTATTTTTTCCATTATCTCAGTGTCTTTTGAGCTAGAAATATATGGAGCTAAACATTACCTTTCTCACTTCTAGTTAATCTTTATCTGATTGCTCTGGTTTTCTTTCCTCTTAGATCGACTGGAAGATTTGAAGCATGCTTTGTTGTTGATTTAACCTAATTTCTTCTTTATTCATTGATGACTGTTAAATATTTTGCAATTCTCTTTCTCACAAGCTGAATTATATTAATTATGATCTTACTCCGATTCTGCCAAGTTTTTAAGCATTACCTGCTGAAACTTTAACTGTTCTCAATTAAATGAGCTCTCCCTTGAGTTTTTCTAAATCCTTTAGGAGATCTTCTGGCTTTTATTCTCTGAGCTTTCTCACTTTGAACTTTTGAGACATATTTTAAAAAAGGATTTAATTTTTTATTAAATATGGGAAATTGTTTCAATTAAGAGGAAACCAATAATTCCTCATTAAAAAGAATAACCAAAATAGAGAGTAGAATTAGTTAGTCTTTACAAGATACAGAGGGAGGGAGAATTAGTTTAAAAGAGTTTTTGAGCTAAGGAGTGATTGGGAGGGTTTTATTTAATGTAAATTTAAGGGTTAATTTGGTAAAGTACTTAAAGTTAAAATGAAACTCAACCAAAGAGAATACGCTATGAAGGTTATCAAGAAATAGGACATCATAAAATATGGACTAGTTGAAAATACTATGTTAGAAAAGAAAGTGTTAGAATATAGTAACAATCCATTTGTGATCAAATTATAGTACTCTTTCTAAACTGAAAACAAACTATACTTAGTCATGGAGTATTATTAAGAATTTAAATATAAGTTTAGTCAATGGTGGCTAGTTGTTGAAGATAATAAATAGATAACCGCACAAGCGATTATCATTGCATCAAGCACAGTTTTGTACTGCAGAAGTAGTACTGGGTCTTGAATATTTGCATGATAAACTCAAAGTTATTTATAGAGATTTGAAACCAGAAAACGTTTTAGTCACTGATGATGGCCATCTAAAATTAACCGATTTTGGATTGTCTAAATAATACGAATCCGACAATACGAAATTCTTTACCGTACTTAAATAAAATCTTATCGTTAGTTCAGATCGCTGGTACTCCTGAGTATCTGGCACCTGAAATTATAAGCAATTCCGGCCATAATCACACTGTTGATTTTTGGTGTTTAGGAATCTTCATTTATGAAATGCTGACTGGAAGAACGCCCTTTTAAGACCAAGCAAACAACACCAGAAATGTTGAAAAATAAATCATGGAAGGTGCTATGGAATTCCCAGACTATTTAAATGAAGAGGCTTAGGACATTATATTAAAATTGCTAAAGAAAAATCCAGACTAGAGATTGGGTAATTTCAGATATTAAGTTAAGGTCACAAATCCACCTAGGACATAAAGGATCATGCTTTTTTCAGGGATATCAATTGGGATGACGTGGCTAATCTTAAAACTAAATCCCCACTTCTAGGATTGAATCCTACACCAAGTCAAAGTACTATAGAGGTAGCAGCTCCTAAAAAGATTCTTGAAACCCCTTAGTCTTAAGAAGCACAGACCGAAGAGAACTTTGAAGGCTTTTCTGTTAATCATGGAGAATTTTGAACCCAATATTCTTTATGTTATGTTCATTGTTGAATTATAAAGAGCTTTCTGAGATCAAACATTTATTAACTCAGTAAGTTAATATTTTTTATACATTTTTCTTGTAATAAATTTTATTTGTATTTCGGTTTAACCAGGAATACTATGATCACTAATTATATTTGTTTCCGATTTATTTTTAGATAGATAAATATTTTAGTATTTCAAATGATTATAAATTAATTCATATTACAATGCCTAAAGTCATTTCTATATTTAAATTGATTTTTAAGAATGAAATAGTTTTTTGTTTGTCTGAAGAATAGGCATCTCTTCAATCGAACAGTCCTCTGGAATATCCTCGCATTATTATTATTAAGGTATAGTGCTGTCTTGTAATATTTTTCTAGTCTTTTCAATTATCAACTAAGATGATTTTAGTCTGACTACTGGCACATTACGCCTTTCTATATAACCAATTAAGTAGCTTTATAGTGTAGCAATCACGTATGGTTTGTGCTTGTGAATAGACTTCTGAAATAAAACATTAGAGACATCCTAATTTTCATATTGCCTAATCTCCATTTACCCTCCAGGATGCTATGTGATGAAATCAGTCAGATCATAAATTGCCTTCTTGTATACGAATAATGATAGTTGATTTCTTTTAGCATAAAATTACATCTCTTGTATATCATTAAAATATAAAAGTTGATTCATATTATTTATCATTTCTTAACATCAATACAATCATTTTAGATTTCATTAAAATCTCAAAAAAGAAGATCATATTCTACAACAAATTCGGTTCTTATTTTCCGATACAAAAAACTATAGATATATGTTACATTTGTATTCGAAACTAATAAAATCTTAATTTTTATTTAAGCTTGCCTCTTCTGTGACATCAAATCTTAAAGTAAGAGTTATGTATAATACATTGATATCAATTATATTTGTATAATAATTGAACTACTATATAAATGGATTAGAAAATGGTATTTTTAATCTATTCTAATTAAGAATTCCTGAATTCATTTAACATGATAGGATCATAGAGAGTGTGAGTATATTTTTGGATTTATTCATCTAATTTTAAAGTCAATTAATATTTTCTAGTATAAGTTTTTATATTTTTGTTTATTAATGAATTCGTTGAGAAAAAAGAGTGTTTTTTAAATGAAACAAGTCGAAACTCCTTCTACAGAATCTACAACAAGAAAGTCATTAATATCTAAATCAAAGAGAGCCAAGACTGAGCATAGTTATCCTGAAGTCAGTCAATTTGAACCATCTAAAAAAAGGAATAGAGAACAATTGTTACCATAAACTCACCAATAGTATTTAAAAGCAAAACGAGATATAGAATACACATATCTTATGTAATAAAGAAGGAGATAAAAAACTTAGCACAATGAAATTCCATTCGATTTGAAAATGGCATATATCATTAAAAGACAATCAGTGACTGGAAGGAAAATATTACATAAATCCTCATTTGAAGAGAGCATATCCTCGCCAATTACAAAGAAAAAATTAGATTCTATATGTGAGGAAACATTCTAACTTCAACCTATAAAAAAAGATCCCATCCTTGAGTAGGAATGTTTGGGATATCCAAGTTTGCATCAAGAATGGGATAAAAGGTGGGAATCCTTGTTCGAGACTTTCTTTGAAATGTAGGCTGTGAAATCAAAAAATATTTCCTAATAAAATGAGACTAGAAAAGACAGCAGAGTGAAATTTAGCAAAGGTATTGTAATGAAGAATAATTAAAGGCCAATTAATACTAGAATAAATAATGACGAGATATTAGTATTAAAAAGAGAATTGTCTAAATAACCTATAAATAGAGATATTTTGAGGTTAGAACCCATTTTTTCAAAAAACAAATTTTTATCAAGATTTAATGAGATAATTAGAAAAATTATTATCCAGTAATGTTAATTAAGAGAATATTAACCTGATGAACTTGTATTATCAAATGAAATTAATTGTGATAAGGTATTTGTGATAGTGCTGGGATCTTGCAAGGTTGTGATGACTTCATTCAACAAAGATCAAGAAATTTTAGGGAGAATGGTTATCAGATCAATATATGATGGATACCATATAAATGTTGATAATTTACTTATTGAAAAAAAGATAGAGGATATTAAAAAAATGAATAATCTATCCGAAGCTAATTTATAATAATATGTGAAGAGTGAAATATACTCATAAGAGAAAACTGTTGTAATTGAAATTAGCAGGGAAATATATGATAATGTATTAACGTATGCTATTGACGAGGAAATGAGAGAAAAGATTGAATTACTATAAAAGATTAAGATTTTGGGTATGAATAAAGATTTACGACCTTTGGCTGCAGTCCTACATCATCATGAATATAAATTTGGAGATTTGATTATATCAGCCAATTAAGAAATCAGGCATTGTTATTTTGTAAAGTCAGGAAGAGTTAAAGTAACTATCTGTACTAGAAAATAAAGAGAACTATATAATTACTTGACCTAATCAAATTAAATAGAGTTATATGATTTTTCAGAAGAAAGTTCAGTTGTAAAAACTAGTAAAAATATTGATCATTGTGGTAAAATTCTTAAGACGAGTAAAAACAATCATCCCGTAATGGAAATGAATATTCATATTGATATCAAAAGTTTAGAAGTAGGAGATTTTTTTGGAGGATCAAGTCTTCTAACTCAACAAGAGATAATATCTACAAATAGATACAAGAAAGACAAATTAGCATTGGTTAGTTTGATTGCTTTGACTCCTGTCGTAGAATTGTATTCAATTGATAGCATGGAATTTGAGACTTTGCCAGATGGATTTTAACATCAATTAAAAGAGCTAAGTTTATCATAGTCAGAATTTGATGATTTTGATGTGAACAAAATTGTGAATGATTATGACTAGTGGTCAATGCTTAAGTAGGCTTACTATAAAAGTTTAGTCAAAAAATGAATCATGAAATGCTATTATATATTTATTTGTATTTATATTATTTTTCATGAAATTATTCTCATACATTCTAAGTTGTAAGTTAGTAAATAGTAAAATTTGATAAAATTAAAAGTCTATTAGGTAATATCTAATTATTTTAAGTTTCTCAAATAGTTGCTAAATTGCACCTTGGAATAAGAATGATATTTTTCATAGAAAAAATATGTATATAATTTTGGTCTCTGTAGGAGAAATAAAAATGAGAACAGCTTGCATCTAGTTTAGTCTGTAAAATCAGATTATATGTATTTAATCATTTCATTAATGGATTCAAAATATATTACAAGCGACATATCGTTTATGTTTTACAATGTCTCTCAATTCCTTTTCACTCAATGAACTTCTGGCACTATGTCTAACTTCATTACCAAATTAAGCACTTTTTCGTATGGGATTATTTTGATTAGATTCTTATTTTAGTTAATTGATGTTTTCATTGGAATTAGTGTTTTAGACCAAAGATGAAAAAACTGTTTCGTATTTTCTAAAATATGAGTCTAAAGATACGTTGTTGCAGGTGTCTGAATTGGTTCATAAGCAGGATTAGAACTATTAATATGGGAAATATTTTTTACAAGGACTAATATTTATTCATTATTTTATGATTTTAATTATTGAAGGGTAACCTTTAATGAAAAAATATAAGATCTCTAACTCTAATAGACAACCGACTCGAAGCATTGGTGTTTCAAGGATTTCAACCATTCCTGAAATCCGAGATGAACATCCTCAAAAGAAGGAATTTAAACATAATGTAATTAGTCTAAAAGAATTGGTTCGAAAAAACGTTGAGCGTAAAATGTTAAACACACCAGAACCTCATCTGAAAAAGAAGATAATAATACCAGAAGTCTCATAAGAAGAATTTAAGTCATAAACAAGTTCCTCGATATTTAAATAGAGAGTGATTCATCTATATGCGAAACGGAAACTCTATCTAAAATCATTCAATATTTCACTTTCTTCCCTTAAATTAAGTTGAAACTGGAATGTATTATAATTGAGTGAATCATTATAAAATTATATACAATCTCATTAATATTTAATAAAATTGAAAGTAATAATATGGAGATGTTTAAATAATTTATATATTTATGTACAAATTAATTCAATCAGTATCATATTGTGATTCTAAATTCTACTTTGTATCGTGAAGATTATCCACTTGTTGTCTCTTTAACTTTTCATTGATGGAGTAGGAAACAAAATTACCAAACAGTCCAATTCCAAACATAATAATCAAAGTAATTATAGAGGTGCTCTCTTTACCGACCTAAAATTCTTTATAGATTTACTTGGAGTATAAGAATTTCAGGAATAGCTTATAAAAAGTTAAATCCATTTCCAATTAATCCTAAATATGCAATAGTAGAGGTTTCACTGACGGGGAAACTAATTTCACATGAAAATTCAAATGTCAGTGCCAAAATACTTGAACACATACAAACAAAGAAGTAACATACATAAAATAGCCAATGAACCTTTAAAACAAGACTTAAAATAAGGAATCCATAAAATAAAGTAGTAGTAGCATTACAAATTTGTAACACTATTTTATATTTTCCTAACTTTTTTACAAATGATCCAACAACCACATCTCCAATCAATCCTGCAATAACACCTACAAGAATAACATTTGAGATTTATTCCAAATTATACCCAAAAGGTTTCACAACAAATTCCATTTGCACTGTGAGTAACAAAACGGGTCCCAAGATTAATGAAAAAGCAAAAGCTAATTTTAGATAATCAGCATTTTTTATCAACATTTTCGCTGCCTTTGTATAATTCTCCCTAACGCATTGCTAGAATTTAAAGTTGTTTGTATACTTCAGATGCACTGTATGATGGAGGATGTCTGGGCTTAGCCTTGAAGAATATTAAAGTCGGAACTGTTGTAATAAACATAATTCCTGCCAAGAAGGCCATCAGTTAAAATACATAGGTTCTACCTTATGAGTAATCATTCAAGGCATCTAATTCCACATCATAATCACCAAATATAAATAGCGGTATTTTAATAGAGATTCCAGTACTTGAATTAAAAAGAAGAGCGATAATAACCATAATGATAATCCTATTCTTTGGGTAAAACCAATTGGCTGTAAATTTGGATGCAGAAATCAAGCGGAAAGGAAATCCAACCAAAGATACAAGTTCACCAAAATAGAGCCACCAGAATGAGTAATTAACTAGCAATGCCATAAGGGATCCTATAAATGTCAGAAGACAACCTCAAGATTTATACACTATATATACCCAATTTTATATTATATTATATTCCGTATTTTTCGCTTAAAATATTTCCTGGGATGATCATAATTGCTGAGAATAGGGTAAAGCTCACACTTAACAATTAGAGCCACCTAAGTTCTCTATCATATGTTTTACGTTTAGGAAACTCCATAAATAGTTGAAATTTCTTTGGTGATTGGAGATAATGAAAATCCAAACATTATATTAGAAACCAGAGCTCCTAAAAACAGAGTTAATTATAAATATCGGCTGCTTGATTCATAGTAAACATCAGTGCTCTTAGAGTCTAAAGTGTCATCTAATAATTTCATCACTATTATAATTTAATTATTACGATTACGTATGCAAGAACCATCTGAAATTCCAATAAAATTCAAAAGTTAATTTATGAATAAAAATAATCACAATACTCTTTGAACGTAGTCTACAATTCCTTATAGCCAGCTTGATCATATAATTATTGCAATTCTTCCTTAGTAGCTAATCCTAAAATGCAACAGTCTGTAGTCACTTCGTATCTAAAGTGCTTATCATCAATAGTTATAGCAATATCCACATAATTGAACTAAGTAAAGTCGCAAAAAACTACTTATTATTTCTATGAAAATAAATATTCTAATTACATTATAAATGGCATCATTATTTTCATAAACTTTCAGAGTACTAAACTAATCAATAAACAATTAATGCAAAACTGAAACCAATATTTTCATGGCCTCTTTGTGATTAGGAATTTTATTGAATTATGAATACCATTCATGAATAAGTAAAACCTTTTGCACAATTACCTATATATAAACATAATCCATTTAAATCATTTTGCTTACTTCAGCAGTAATTTATCTCTAAATATATGAAATTATTACCCAATAGTAACATTTGGTCTCAATTACACTCTATCAGTTACAAACTTAGGATGTCCCGGTAATAAGAATCCCCCTGGAGATGAGATTTTCTTTACAAATTACTTATGCTCTTCGCTTATTGAATTCTTAGTCAAGAATGGTAATTTCTTAAATAAGATGGTTAGTATTTAAAAAACTATTTTAGATTTTGCTTCAATATCTCTATTATCATAAATATTCCAGTTTTTGTTAAATAATCTATTTTTATTACATTCAACAACAAGCAATATGAATACTTCTTTGTGGTTCTATCTAAATTTTATTATTGATTACAAATTCATGATCAAATTTATCTATTAGTTATTATGCTTCATTTTCGTAATATTATTATCTTCTATTTAACCACACTCTTCTTAGATACTTCCTTAAGACCAATCCAATCCGTATAAACCAAAATGTTCCACTAAGCTTTCTTCTCAATTGCAACTTCTCTGTCTCTGTAAATTCCCTTGGTTTCTTTGCTTTTATTTTGACTGATGATCTAGTGTATTTGCTCACATAACTATCATGCAGAGATCCTTTACTTGTTTTATTTTAATATGACAAATCACGACCTTTATCCTTATGTCTATCCTTCTGTGAACGATGTCTGTTCGATCTAGGATTAGAGAGATCATTTGAATCCTCTGAATAATCGCTTTGATTTGAGTCTCTTCTACTTCGATGATTATATTGTTCTCCTTTTTATAAGATCTTGAGGACTAACTTTTTATAGGGATCTACTTTTTTTTTATGGGCTTGATTCTAAGGTTGCTAATGCATAAAAGATTAGGGCATTTGAAAATAGGGATTCATGTACATGTAAGGAGGCATTGGTTATAACAGAGCTTGTTAAGGGGTTGGTAGATATTGGGGTATTATGATGGGATTTTAAATAGGATTGCTTTTAGGTCCAGATTCGATGTTATTTATTTATCTTCTTAGAGTTTTCACTTCTTCTAAAAGTTCAAATGTAATTTAATCTTGTTCTGGTTTAGCCAATCGGAACTAAGGGGTAAATTTTTGTTTTAAGGATTCAGTCTTGGATTCTTTGACTAGACTAACGAGTTCTTTTAAGGCTTCCTTTTGTTCGTCTAGTTTCTTTCTCAATTCTTGGATTTATCTTGAGTCTCTAAAACTGAGGTTGTCTAAATCTGGGAGATGATTTGCATGTTTAGACATTATAAATATAATTTTCAAAATATATTACTGTAAGAATCAAATTTATTTTTCAACTTCATCAAGAACTTCTTTAGCAGGACAAGGTCTTGGGAATTTGGAATCAAATTCCTTGCAATACATAGTATTATATTGTCCTCTGTAAGATGGATTGAGAGGCTATAATTGAAGTTTTTTGGCTTGTTATTGTTGTGCTCTTTCAGTTTCAATTGGTATGTATGAGGACTTGGCTATTGAGGTTGCAGTAAATTTGATATCTGGTGGGGACAGGGGCGATCTAAGTGGTTACACTTATGTAATACTTTTGCTAATAGAGTCCTTTAGTGCTTTTAGCAGGTTCAACATTGAACTCCTAAAATTGATCTCTGTAATTGCTTCTGCCTGAGAAGGGAAGATTTTAAATAATGGTTGGATTGTTCTGGGGCATCAATTATGGTGTGTCTCCCACTCCCCAATTTTTAAACATATTATTGTATGTAGACATTCCTGAAAAAGATCCATAATTCGTATTGTTCGATTTAGGTCCTTTTTGTAATTGTACACTTGATAAATATCCTGGATAATCATGCTATTTTGATGATTATCAACATACTTTATAAGTTGTAACTCTTTTTATTTCCCCTTCCTATTTGGGGTTTAAGTATAGGTTTTAGTTGTAATGCGAGCATTGGCCAGGGTTTTTTTGCACAAATTCTTATTAATATATAGATTTATTAAGATGGAGATTTGGCTTGTTGAGACAATTTTTCCCATTGCAATGATGTTTCCCGCAATTACATAGGGTACACAAGCATTATCCTATTCGAGTAAACATCATCAATTACCTCCTAGATGATCAAAATATTGTTAATATTTGTCATCCTCCTGACTATATCGATTTTTTTGATGATTCACCAACTTCTCGAAAACCTATCATTAATTTCCATCATACTTTAGATTAAGTGTAATTGAACCCTTTGGATGAATTGGAGTTTTTATTGGAACTGGATGAACGTATAATTATTTTTTAAGCAGGCATATTTTATTATTAATAATGTCAATTCACTGAAATTTAAAGAATTTCTTGAATTGTGATTTTTAGTATTATTTTGTAATAATATCATTAATTATTTTTATTACGAAATATATATTATTTGGATACTCGTTATTTTAATTAAATTCAATGAAGTAATCTACTTATAATCATTAATGAATCAAATTATATGAGTATCCAATATTAGTCTATCCCTTCTTGTGAACAAATAGTCTATAATGATTTAATTATTACAATTAAAATTTAATCAAACCCTCAGAAAGTAACATTAATGAATGTGAATTATTAATTAATTATAAAAATATGTTAAACTTTCCCCAAAATGCCAGGGATCATTTCTCTTGTGATTGTGACCCTTGCGAATTTGCTATTACTCATGGGGAAGAGATAATGCCAAAAAGAGTGCCTCCCCAAAAACCAATTTAACAAATTCAAGATAAAGATTTAGGATTGCTCTTGCGCAAATTATAGGCTCCAAATAAATTAACCAGAAGTGTAAGGATAAGGTTACCTGAAACTTGTGTTTGCAATGAAGGAGAAATTAAGTTTATCGCTTATTATGATGAAAGTGAAGGTTTCATAAAATTTATCCAAAAGCCAACATTTCAATAAACTAAACAGTTCATGAACGAAAGGAGACCTCCTGATTCTCTAGCTGTGATCATCAAATATATCGATAGTACAAATGAATTATAATAGACAACATGCAAGTGATGACTGATATGGAATTTACTATTTTGATGATGAAGAGAAAAATAGATCCAATTTGGTCTCAAATCTTGTATATTCAAAATTTTAATTCTAATAAGAACTACGAATTATAGCACTATGAGTTCAAGCATTCATTTGATTCGAAATACCCAGAATTTGATTAAGCAAGAATAGAGATTCTGATATTGAATGGAGAAATCGCAAGGGCTTCCTCCGACTTCGTACCGATGGTGAGAGAAGAAGCTTATGAGAATTCATTATCGTAAGATCAATACTGCAGGTATATGGTTTATAAGATGGTTCATTATGCTGATGTTTTCGGAGGTATCCAAATAACAGAAGGGAAATTCAGTTTCCACAAGAAGACGTTCATTTCGATGGAGAAGATGGAATACACAGATCTGGATAGGAAAGCCTTGTTTGATTCAGAGATTCTGTTGAGGAAGAAGAAGATGATTGATGAAGATATGTTCTAATTCCAAAAGTTGATCGATCAAAATGTAAAGAAGGAACGAGAGTATGCATTGAAAGTGTATAGGGAGATCCTAGATATGGATAATGGATTGGATCAATAATCACATCTACTCAAAAACAAATTATCAGTGATTGGCTATGATTTGAAGAAGTATAGTTAGAGCATCCAATCTAATTTTCAATAAGTAATGGTTAGCAAGGACCCAGCTTCAACTTTGAAGGAATTAGTAATTGAATAAAAGGTCAATGAGGAGAAATTAACCTCCATATTAAAACCAAAGAAAGGGGAAAAAACTAAAAAGAAAATTTGATTTAATTAATTCAATAATAAATTTTATTAAGTATGGAACCATAAATCAAAGAATTTGTAAGTTCATTACTAAAAACTTAAATTACTGACAATCTAACAATAACAGACAAGGAAAAAAGGTTAAACCATCAAACAGGGCTTATGTATATAATAAATGTCAATTTTGCGTAGATGTTTCCTCCAAGGTTATTGTCTTGAGATTGGATTTCAAGTCTAACCTAATATGAACCAAGCTATATCTCACTATCTGCATGGTATTAAGTTCTTCGCTGATCCCTTATGTGCACACCAATTGGAGCAATATTATAACAAAAATAAGAATAAGATCTTGGCTTCCTTGTAAATAATAATAGTTATGAAAATTTAGCTGCAAATGTCTCTATTACTTACTGATTGAATTGGTTTATGAAATCAAACATCAACACAAAAAGATTGAATGTGAAAAATACAACGAGGCTCTCTAAGAGTTAGCACCGACTCCTGATATTCCTTTGAATCAATTAAGCAACTTCCTTTAGGCTCTCTATCTTTTCAGAGAAAATGAATCATAACAGCATTACGATTCACTTTTGACGAATTACGAATAAATGGGGGCTAAAATACATGCCTATCCCCTTCTAATCAAGCAATTCACTTAATAAACAAAGAATCCTGACAAATTACCTGATACTATTTATAAGTAAAGTTAACTGGTAAATCCAGATCCTTACCTAAATCAGGTATGTATTTAATTTTAACAGAAAGATAGTGTTTATATAATATTTCCCTTTATGGGATGATTGATAGTACACATTTAAATTCAATTCGTCAAATTGTTTTCGAATTGAGTTTTCTTCATAGACCAAACCCTTATGCGGAAGTGATTGAACAATTATACATAAGAGGGACTCAATATATGATTCATAGAATATTGCTGTTTCAAAAACGAGCAAAGGCATTAAAGGATCAAGATTTGTAAGAGGAGGAAATGAAATTCGTGGACTCACAAAATTCATTGATTAGCCTTTACATATTGGGTAAACGACAAAGGGACAAGTCAAAGAATTGTCTGTTGTGCAAGGCCAAGGAACTACTTAAGAATCCTTGGCCAGAAAGTCCTTTTATCATGTTTGTTTACATGTTTTATTAGGCTAAGTTGGAATTGCATCATCAAAACCATGATGGATATTAAAAATTGCTTGATTAAAATCTATTTGAAGAATGCAAGCAGTATTATGATCGAAACATTTTGCATTTCAAGTAGGTTAGGACCTTGCAATTTTATTCAATTCGAAGGAGGTTAGATAAGCAAAGAGATAAGGTAACATTCAAAAACAAACAGATTCAAGCAATGTTCGATTAGAGGAAAGTGCAACAATTGGATCTATCTCGAGGGAACTTTTAATAAATTCAATTAAGTCAAATTGAATTGAGAAGATCAATTATAAATCAATCTCCGGAGAGGAAGGTTATAGATACAATCAAATAAACCTAAAGTGTTTATGTTAACAGTGGGAATAAGAGGGTAAATTTCGATAGAACAATTCAAGGCCCTCAAATTTTACCATAATTGGAAGAGAAACAAATGCAAAAGTCAAGATTCATTGATTTAGAGAATAAGATCAGATATTCCAAAATAAATTTAATATAATCTGAAGATATCTCTGAAATATAATTTATTAGTAAGAGCAATCGAGATGGCTAATTGAGTTTAGGGAAATACCAAGGGTAATTGATATCCATAAAGACATTGGCTTACATGAATTATGAGCAGATAAACCAATATTTTAAGTATGTGAAAAAGTTTGCTAATTTGGAGCACTAAAATCTACGAAGCATAATTGGATACAATATAGACGATCTATAGGAATAAGATTTAAGTGGACAGATACGCATCATAACTTATAAATATGATTATAATCTAAGAACCTTCTTGTAGAAGAACAAGATTTCAACAAAAGAGAAATGGCATATGGCAGTGTAAATTATAGATGCCATTTATTATCTGCATTAACATGAGGTGATCTTTTGCAATTTGCATCCGAATAACATTCTAATCGATGGAGGTACACATGTGCCAGTGCTCGTTGATTTCGATCTACAATTTGACAAAGAATACTTGGATATCAAATATATGGCCAAATAGGTTATTGAAGAAGAAATGCCATTATTTACTGAGAAAACTGACATCTATTCAATCGGATGCATCTTACTTTATTTATTTTTTGGTTGTGAATTTCAATTTCAACAATCAAAGTATATTTATCAATTTAATTAGTCATTCCACAACTCTTACTTTAGAAGCATTCCAAACTTTGAATCCCCATTAATCAACCAACGTGGAATTTCTCATACCTCCAGGGTCTGAGGCTCTATAAGAGAGGGCGAGAGTCATTACATTGAAGTGTTTAAACGGCGAGATGGAATTATTAGATCTGCTTCAACATTTTTATGATTATGTTTGATGATCTATTATATGTTGTTATTAATTATATTATTATTAACAGATGAACTTCAAATAGGAGTAAAGTTTATCTAAATAAAAATCTAACAAAAAACTATTATTTAGAGCAGACCATATCCAAGTAACCAATCCCAAGTCGATTCCAACTACACCAACATCCTCGAAGCTCCAAAAAGTGAATTCCAATGCGCGCATTCATACTGTTAATGGCTCAGAAAAACACGATATATTCCTCGATCTTAAAAATAAAAGAACAGCTCGAAAATAATAAATCTCACTTGATTCGGAGCCAAAATAACTCTTTAGAAAAGCCAGTTAATTAACAATATAAAGTGATACGGATCTAACCAATTTCATTCAAATAAAAACTACTAGAACAACGAGAGAGCACAAATTCGAAGAATTGCATCAATCGAAGACACCCAACAACCAATTAATTGGATTAGGAGAGAAAAAAAACAAATTCAAATAATGCGAGTCACAGAAGAATAATAATATTTTGGATTTACTTTTATTAAATACATAATAATTGAAAGATATTTTCCAGAAAGTTAGGGAACCTTAGATTCGATCGAAACCAAAAATCAACTATATTAAGGGATTTCCATCTGATTTCTTTTCTATATAATGAGTTCATATTAAATCATTTTCCTGGTTCAATTGCACTAGGTTTCTTATTATATTAATTGCTCAATGCATCTATCACTCTATGAATCAATTCATTCCAACTCTGAGGCTTGTTACCCTCCAAGTGAGCACTCAATTATTCCATCTTGCTCTCCAATACTTAAATTCTTCCATCCTTATAACAATCTCTGGGTTTGGCTATGGCTCTAAATTCATGTTGTTCCTCCACTATTTTTGGGTAATTCCATAATTCTGGTGGTCTCCTCTAAATTACATACACATTTGCATTGTCTTTCTCTTACAGTTTATTGAACATCTGACTTGGATCATTCTATTATACTTGACGAGGACGATTTCTAAAATCACTATTTAAAAGTACTTAGGAACCATGCCCTCTTTGATAATGACATCCTCTATGTCCTATTACACCGCCTTATTAATATGTCTGATCAATTCGACACACTCCTCGAAATTGGCTTTCATTTAATCTTGAGCATAGTACTCCCAAATCCAATATCTGCCATACTTTTCAAAATCTAGTTTTTCTTAGATTCTCATGTTCTCTTCCTCCTTCTTTCTCAAATCATCATCAGCCTGTCTCTTTTTATCTGGCGACATGGCTGACATAGCAGATTGAGCTTCAAATAAATTCGATTGTGCCAACGGCTATGTTTTTTATAGCAATTTCTATTCTTTCAATTCATCCTCTATTTTTCTATCCTTCCATGCTCTCATATACAATATTGTGTGGTATGTCATCAATTTCGGAATGCTCCCCTTGATACAATTGTCATCCCTTTTAATTAGAAATTCTTTAGCTTGAGCATTAGAATTATAGATGACACTTAAAACCTTAAAGGCAAAGTTTAATTAATCTCTTTTCAATGTGGTACCCAGGAGATGCTCAGCAATCAATTCTGCATCAATTAATTCCTTCACATCCTCTACAAATTGCTATTCTTAATAACAATTATTACCGTATTGTCCATCAAAGGTGCTTTATAGTAATTGATTCCCTTGAGCATCAAACAAAGCAAGTTGTTTCTCATCTTATCGAAAGCATCCTGCAACGGAGTTAAATAGAAGGACTCAATCTTATTCTGCTACCATCCCTCATAGCCCAATTTATTAAAGATCAACTTAACATTTGGATTGCATGATATTGCTTTTGATTCTAGCAATAACCTCAGTGCTTCTTGAAGACACACACAATATTGTTCAACATCAGCCTAATCAGTATTACAAATAATAATGCAACCTTTAAGATGAAATCCTTTGTTTATCTTGCTTAGTTTGAAGTATTAACAAGATCAAAGAACATCATTTTCTTATTGATTTCCAATAATGCCCTGAGGGGTCCTAAAACAAGCATCAGTTTTTCTTCGATGACTTTATGACTTGACTTAATTAGAATTGGTAGTTTTTTCAAAAATTCATTCAGAAGACCAACGAATGCTTTCCTCTCTGCTATATAATTTTCAGCATTCATATCAAAAAACTTATGATCCTCCAGTGCTATTTCAATAAATGAATCACTTACTTCTCGCAATTTTGGCAAGCAATTCTTTCACATGTTTAGCTCTATCTTTGTCTTGCTTCTCAACTGAATAATAGAATCCATCAAGATACTGTTTCACAACTGCTTTGTTAATCTCCACATCTTCAACTGCAAAGAATGCACTTCTTATATGGGCATGTTCAATTTATTTTATTTTAGTTTTGCATTTGAAAGTCTAACAAACCTCTAGCAATTTATCATGATAAATCTAATTGGAAGGTAATCTAATAAAGAACAGTTTACTTGCCAATTGCCTGTCAAATCCTTAGAAGTTTCGGAGATGTTATTATCCATGGATTTATACATTATTTATAACTCTGACCAGATTCTGTATTCGTCACTCTCCTTCCATTGTTCAAATTGTTTCTAATTTTATTAACCAATTTATTACAGCTTGTAATTCAGGATCGATCTTTTTGGCTTTTGGTGGCATTACTAGATATAAAATATAAATAATAATATATAATTTCTAATAAGAAATACACTATTTTAAGTTTAGTCGAGTAAAGACAGTCCTTGATGAATTTAATTATAATCATTATTGAAATTTATATTTCTAATTGCCATTAAAGCAATATAATCTTATAAAATATTTAGTTATTTAAAATGGCTAATTCCTCTGTTGTGTTGATATGCATACAAAACCCAGACTTCATCAATATAACAGTAACACACGTCTACCAAAATTTCATTCAGTTCGGCACAATCGAAAAAGTAAGACCTCTCACCTATTGCATAGATACTTATCTTCGAGCGAAATAAACCAATTTGGAAAGCTTTGGTTCAGTTCGATAGTGTCCGATCGGCTCTAAATGCACTCCAATTAAATAATACAATCATGCATGGACTGTCAATTTTAGTTTATGAGTCTAATCGCAAGGGTCTTGACTTCCAAGCTAGAAACCAATATGCAAGATGTAGATTCATTATCCCTATTAAGAGACTACACTGCCTAACAAGTTTAGGGTATAGTGCATTCAACTGAATTGCCAAAGACTGACCCTATAAACAAATGGCTCCCTCATTCCTAAATATTGCCTCCTTAAACTGGAATGCCTCCCATACCAACATAATTTGCAGAAGCGCTAAACTTCGATAAAGCTGATGGTGCATCTGATTACGATTCACAAGAAGAAGCAACTGAAGACAAATAAGAAGAATTGTAAATATTTTATCAATTTTTCCTAAAAAAGGTCGAATCAATTTGTTAAGTGTATGGGTGACAATCTAACCTAACTCTTTCAGTTCTCACCAGGATAGCGTATTTCCACTTCATAACAATTACCAAATAACATCCAAGTGGAAAAGTAGATCTTTCAATCTGAAATTCTTCCACAAAGTAAATATCTCCAATCATTTCACTCTAGAAAAACTGATTACAAAGGTACTCTATGCCAATTGGTTTGATCCAAAACAGACATCCATGACAATGATTTATAATATTTTTAGCACCTTTGGAAACATCTAAAAGATGATCTACTTCAAGACTAAATGCAATGTTTTAATCGAATACTCGACTGAAGTCAGTGTTAAATTCTTATTGACTAATTTCAACGAAGGTAACCCTACTCTTTTTGGTTAAAAATTGAAAGTACTTTTTTAACAATTAATCTAGGTGTATCCATCGAATTATGAATTTATATTCTTTAGAAATTGTGAAGAAGGCCAATTGCCTAAGAATACAGAAGAGGAAGAGTTTTATTTAGGAAATGAGGCATCATTTAGATACAAAGATAACAACTTCAAATATTTGGTCTCACCTTCCTAACAAATTATGTTAACAAATTTGAAAAAGGAGTTCTGTGAGGAAGGCATTATTTATGATACCTTTTCTAAATTTGGATAAATAGAGAAAATTAAGTAACCTATTATATTTTATCTATTTTTAGAATATTTTGCGAAGAAAAAAATAAAAATAAATGTCTCATCCGTTATTAAGAGCTAGATTCAGCTATGTAAGCCATGGCAATCATGCATAATTACGAGTATAACAAAAGGAAAATTTAGATTTTTTTTTCTAAAAATAAAACTTGAGTTTTTCTTATTATTTAATGAATTATTCAATTTTGAAATAAATTCTCCTTTCAAAAGGTCCTCCATTATTATTATTATCATTTTTAAATCCTTTTTTCTATAAAGATACAGGTTTTAATGATTTATTTAATTACATATATTATTTCTCCAACATTTTACTACTGAGTAATAATTAATGATAGATATTTATTATGACATAGTATCTAAATACACGTTATTTTATATATATGTAATTTAGATCATTATTAATTCATTTTAATTATAATATTAAATTAAAATAAATAGATATTAAACAAAGTAATATGGACTGCCACCTTTATTAATGATATCACTATAAACATATTATATTTATTTATTTCAACTCAATTTACCCATCTCGTACTTTTTAAGCAGTGCAACAACTGATTTATGAATCATTCCATCAACTATGCTAGCAATTGTGAATACTCCTCCCAGAATGGCACAAATCTGCACCAAGAAATGCAAAAAGCTTTCTCTATATTACAAGAATTTTACAGTTACTGGAGAGAGATCATACCTAATTATACAAGTTTCAATACCTAAAATAAACTGCTGGAAGATGATCAGTTTATACTTCATTACTATTAGCAGTAAATTGATGAACATAATATTCATTTCCTGATACATCCACATAGGTTGTTGGAACAACCGATATGTAATATTAAAACATCATTCCAGATCCACCTTGTGGTTAAGCCACCTTTTTAGTATTATCAAGTGGATTAAGAACTCCTTTCTAAAACTATTTCTTGATTTTTATCAAATCGTCCTCCTCTCCAAATGAAATATGATTAATAGTATGTGATAAATCTAATGTTGATATCTGACTTCTCTAAAACACTTAATGTAAGATTCCTCCAAAAGCGTGAGCTGAAACATGGAAATTACCTATGAAATATTCTCATTATTGATTACCTGGCACTTTGTTTACAATAATATACCCAGCTATTTGACACCCTTCCTTTTCTTTAAATGCCTATTCAATACGTGCAAAATCTATTGATGGTTAATTATGATGTTCGTGTCCTTCATGATTTGAATGAACTTCTTCAGAAATTACCTTTCCATTCTTTATTCTCTTTTTTATTAATCTACCCTCAACATTCACAACGTGAGACCCCATAATATCCTAAACATCCAAAGATAGAATATCACATGGAAATTTATGAAATTCTATGTCCAAGTTTACCCGAATTTATTCACCGCCACGATTAATATCAACAAACATTTCACTACTATTATCCACTTCAATGTATGCCTTTAAAGAAATATTCTAATAAGGATTACTTGTAATTCTGTGATAAATAGTATAACTATCACAATAGTACTGATGACTGAAATTAATGCACCAGCTGTAGTTGGCTCTGTGAGATCAGCTGGTAATTTACGATAAATGTCCAATTTTCTCAGTCTTGATTGCACTCCTCCTATCATTTAATTAATTTATGAAAAATAGCTTAAATATATTTAAGACTTTTCTAATCATTCTATTGATCTCTCATTGTTGATTCTAATATCATAAATGAAATAGGATGAATACTATTTTAATATTCTAAATAGTAGATCAGACTATTTGGTTTTTGAATGGAAATCAAATCATTAAAATAGAAGAAATAGTATTGAATTCATAAATGAAATCATTCTATAATCCTGAAATAACTATAGCATATTATTTACCATAGTAAAACAGAATAGAAATTATTAGCATATAATTTCGTGGTAATGTAACTAAATCCTTAGTATTTAATTAAGAAAATCTATTACTTTATAATTAATCCCACATAAATATTCTTATATGTTATTGATTTTATGGTTGATATAATTTATCAATTTCCATATAATTTTTCAAATTCCAAGTGTTCCTCGAATTTGGCAATCAATTCAATATCGTTTTCTCTGTAATCCAATATCTTTAAATCAGCACTTCACATATATACTTATAAATACTTATATCGATCTTATTACTTTCTCTTTAATTGCTTATCTATTTAGGTTATAATAATCGAATTGTTAAGCGAGTTGAGATAACTATATTAGAATGAGTAATATACCTTTAGTCTCTTGAGTAGTACTTTTCAACTAAATGATCTTTTTTTTATTGGTTTTAATTGAAAATTGGCACTTCAGATTTTTATAGACCTTTGCTAGGACTTGAATTGAGATAGTGGCTGGACCTTTTTTTATAAATTTGGAATTCCTAAGGCGTGAAACTGTAATTCTTGACATCTCTCAAACGTCCTTTTGGTCTTTGTCTATCATTCAAATGGCCATAAACATTTTGATTATCATTCTTCTCAATGAAATCAGTGAACAATTCTATCACATGTTTAGATATGAGGGATACCATTCTTTCTGCCAAAAAGACCTGTTTTCTATTGCAAAGTTTTGTAGGCAAGTTGAAAAGTTTGTTCTTCCCCTCGAATTTGAGGAGTTTGGACATAATGCACTTGATTAGTTACAGTACTAGAAATGATGGATGAAGATACTACTTTACTATTTTGACATTTTTGTATCCTTTATTTGGGAGATTGGCGAATTTCTGTTCAGAGACATTATAAAATTCAAAATTGTTGAGAGTGCTACTTCGCAGGGTTTCCCATTTGCTGTGAGGTTTAGCTCTGACTTTGAGGAATGGATTGTCATAGCTTTATCTGCAAATCAGAGTGTTGGGATTACGGAAGAAGGAAGGTGATTCGAGAGAATTGCCAAAGGCATATTGAGGTAAGATCTTCTTTCCTTTTTAGACTTTGGGGGGCTCTTTCATTTTGAAGGCGTCGGAGAAGGAGCTCCTTAAGTAATCGGGCAGTTGTTCGCTCTCGAGATTACCGCGATTAGACTAAGCTTGAAAGTGAGATTACTCTTGTAAGTCGAGGTGGCTTTTCTTCTTTTCCTGCAAGCATCCGAGAATATGGCAATTAATATATTGTATGATATATTTATAAAAAGCACAAGGGAATATTAAAATTTATACTCTAATATTGTAATGTTTATTAATTTATAAATGTACGTTTTGCTATTTCAACTAGTGATTCTCGTATATGGATATCCGATCTTGGAAAATGGATAGTTACTAATTGGAGCTGGAGGCTTGGCTTGTGAAAAAGACACCATAACACACATCAAATTCTTGAATGTTTACAAAGCATATGTTCCCTAAGTAATCTTCGTTTTGAGTAATTACACCAATGAAATGCAGTTTTCCGATTTTGCTTTGGACATCCATGTTGAATTGATGAAAGTTAACACAACAGGTAATGGACAATCTAGATTTGATTAGGATTCACAATCCAAGTAGTCTGCTCGAAAAGCTGCATTAAGTCAGTGCTGTACACTTGGTATGCTTTCGGAGGAGATACCTATGATTCAGGATGCTTTCCATTGTAAGAGAAGGCCTAAGTGACATTGGAATAAATATACACGTCTCCGATGCAGCATTCAGTGTTCATCTCTGGATTTGCTGGTTTCTTCAAGTATGGTGGTAGGAAGCCTATGCTGAAGTTATACTCATCTTTTGATAATCAAAATCTGACCATACAAGTCGAATCTACCTTTTAATATGTGTACATCTGCTATATTCTAGCCTAAGATATGAGTTCGACCACACTCAATGATACTGAAATAGCAAGTACATTTAATTGCCATATTCAAAGCTCTGGTTTAAAAGGGAACATATTTAGATGATACATTGATAATGGGAATGGAATCTTTCTAGTTGTTTGGCAACAATCTTTAAATTCAGATGTTGAATGACAAATCCTTCTTTCCTAAATAAATTGATTTAACTGTCAAGGTTGCAAAACTCTATGAACCAACTTACAGGAGTTGTCCAAAGGTGTATACTGAATGTATGTTCCAGGGAGATCCCATCTATGTTTGTGATGAAACTGTGAAATTGACTAATATTTGGAAGGAGTTCAAAAGTTTAAGAGTGTATGATCAGAAAATGAAATTCAAATTGAACATAGTTAGCAATGATAACATCTTGGTAAATACTTATTTCTATTACATTCTCTAGTGGCTTTCAGAAGATATAGATTGTAGTTATGACATGTATGATTAATTGATGGAGTTCAAAATAAAGAATTAACCAATAGAGAGACAAATTATTCGAAAGAGGAAGATGATGGGAATGCTATATGATGAATAAACTGACGAGGAATAGGAATACTCTGAAGACACTATTTTAATTGGTTAAGCATGAATATATTTAATTAAATAGTTTTATATTAATAAATTATAATAAATGATATTACAATTTAAATCTATATGCAAATTATCTCTGCTTAATATCCATTCTCCATTTTTATTGATTACGTACTAAGAAATTCTTTTCATGACTTCCTTCATTTACTTGACATATCCTGTTTTTTTGTCCTCTCCTAAATTACTTTAGATTTTGAAATCTCAACTTATTTGCTATTATCAATATTGATTAATTAAGTCCAATGATATCATAATTATCCTTTATAATATTATAGTTTACACCATTGAAACCATGTAGCTATTAAGATTCATATAAAGACTTTGAAAATTTGAATTAAATCAAATTCTCTTCCTTTATTATTAGTTAATATATACAATAATGTGCCTATCAAATCTGATTATCTACTTATTCTATAATATAATTATAGTTTACTATTTACAGTAATTGCTTTACCACATCTTTTGTATATACAATGATTGTAACAAATTCCTATTTATTGACATTTCAGAAATAAAGAAATAAAGAATTAAAGAAATAAAAAATTAAAATAATCAATGTTGAGCTGCATGACCATCACTTAATGTAAAGCATTGATCCCCATATATGTCTTGCCAATCACAATCACTTTCCTTATCAGGTGATCTCGGAGACAATTGAAATGTCTCCTTTTATTAAATTGAACTAGTTTATCCTTGTGCATTCGAGAGATCTTGTTTCTTAGGGAATTACTTGCTAAATGTTTATTTAACTTCGGGATCTAAGTTGTGTACTTTCCGACTTATTTTTGTGTCACGATAAGTCTGAATCACTACTCTAGCTTATTCGTTCTCCTGAACTTCCTAGGTGTAGTGTTAAGACTTTTGTTCTAGCGGCATTTCAGATAACTTTCTTGATGAAACCTCTTACTTATTGAGGATCGATCCCATTAAAATAATTTATATTATTTTTATCATTCCAGTTAAGGGTATACCTCCCCCACTACTGCATCAGGTTTATGTAACATAGATCGCTAACCCAACTAATAATAAAATTTCCCTCCAGACTTGTACAACTAAGTTAAGGATCGTGTCATACCAACTTTTTCTGACTTGAAGAGAAAACATCTTCCTTTGAATTCAGACAACGAATCACAAATTCTGAAATTCCTTCCTCCATGGTTTTTTGAGATACCAGCTTGAGCTGAAATACGCTAATCATCCCAATATTCACAATCCTTTGGATGAATAAACCCTTGTACTATTCCAAAGTGTCCAAGTTACATTCCAAACATTCCTTCAAAACATCCTCCTTTATTCTAATTACAAGAGTAGAAGCTTAATTGAATTACTCAAAAATATACATTCTCCATCCATGGTGCCAACAATCTCATACATGTGTTGCCAATAATCTTTATTCGGAAACTCTACATATGCATATTCAAACCTTATTGCCTTATTCTTGTAATTATTAAACATCTTGTTCACATATTACCCCAAGTAACTCGAATCATTGAACTCTTGTCATCACTAAAATATATACAGATGATTTCCTTTTTATTTTATGTAGTCTTCACCAATGCTTCCTTCTATTACTCATTAAAATAAAAGATTTGTGAGGCTCCAGGGAATTTCGAATCGAAGTTATCCTCTATTGCAACATTCGTGAATATTACTCTAGCTAGATTCTTCTTCATATCGCTAAATTAAAAGACCGATTTTTGAGCCTTCGATATGAAATTAGCTATTTTCATAAATTAAAATATATGAGAATAATTTTATCGTTTCTGACACTTTTCTTTGTATTTGCATAGAATCAATATTGTAATGTGCATAATAAAGGAGTCAATTCAGGATTGGCCAATTAACTTGCTCACTCCCTTAATCAAATTAGAAATCAAGTTGCAACTGGCTAAATTAGCTTTGAAGGATCTTCATCAGCCTCTAATATGAATGTTATGCACTGGAGCAATGGTTATGCAAAAATGGCCTAAACTTGCGTTGAAAAATGTCCTCTCAAGGCTTCCACTTGTGGCTAAGTATCATTGCTTTTCATTTATAGTTTTAAAATTATGGAGTGCTCTTTTTCAAAAGACACCTAAATCAACAACTGAGAACCAACTAAGTTATGGAAAAGTGGTTCAAAGAACCTGAAAATGCCAAATAATTACTCACAGCCAGGTCTAGTGCTTTTGGATGTGGCAAGGCTGAAGATAAAGACTCAGAATACATAGTTTGTTATTTCGATGAAGTAAACATCCCCTTAAATCCTTCTAGAAATACACAGGAGCTAAGTAAGCCTTCTTGGCAGGACCAGTTGGAGCAAGTTGTAAATTGGGACGCTCTAAAATGTACAGTGGTCTTTGTGCTACAGCCTCTTCATAGACTTTGATCCATCAATCATCACATATCAAGAATAAGAAATAAAAGAAATAGAAGAAACAAAAATCACACAAAAAAAATAAGAAAAACGTAGAAAGGGAAGTCGCCCTTATTGCTATGACAGATTTTAATGAATTTGTTTGATGGAGTTATTAATATTAGTAATAACTATTATTATTATTTGTTGTAAATTAACCCATTACATCTTCTCGTATGTGTGTACAGATATTTTTATGAGTATTTTCTTAGAGTTCCTAACAGAATCACGATTTAAAGTTTGATTTAATCAATTCCTTTTATGCGATTTGATTCCTTTAGTGATCAGATTTATTAGTAGTTTATGTTCGTTTTGAAACAATTTTATGTATAATTAGGAAAGCAAAACAATTGCTTTAATTCATTAATTATTTTAAATTGATGGAATTGATTTAAGAAATTACATTACTAAAAGAATCCTTCTTAGAATTTATTACCAAAGTAACTCCTGTGTTTACAGAAACCATATTGGAATAATTCAACTCTAAATGGAATCCTTTGAAAAGGCTATTAAGTGATCCTTCTAAAAGTGCAAGTGATGTTTTCATTTTGGTTTCCTCGATGTCTTCATTAAAAAGGAGCAACACTTCTTCTACTTCAGCTACTTCACCAAATTCAGATTGTAGTATCCAGAAAACGCAAACAACTGACAATTCAGTAAAGAAAAGCAATGAACTTCCAGAATAGAAGGAGATAACAAAAGTGAAAGAGTAAGCCAATCCATTGTTGTATAAAGAACTCAAAATAGGTAATTTTTATTTCAAAACGTAAAATAGAAATAAATAAGAACTTTTTTCTCAACACCCCGAGATCAAGACCTACTTCATAATAGGATATAGGGAGTAATGGCGAAAAATTGTATGAGGAAGACATTAAAGCAAAGATATTGAGAGATGACATAAAATGTATAATTTTCATATTTACATAATTAGTTTTAAATCAGCTGAGAGCAGTTACCCCAGAAAAGAAGATTAGTGTGACTATCAGATGCAATCTAGGATTGAAATTGTCAGAAGCCATTTCCCAATTCAGAAAAGACAACTTCACTTTGAAAACTATTCATGAAAGAAGCTCTGAAGTAACAACGCCTTAAAGTCCAAAAAAGGATCGATCAGAATCTCCACTTTTACTGGTCTAAAGACCAAAGAATTAATATTTCTAATAACCAGTTTTCATCCAGCAGTAATAGGCTGGGGCTTTGAAAGGATATAGTATCTACTCAAAAAAAGGTTATATACAACCAATACAATTTGATGTGCAATTTTAGATGATGATGCAACAGTACTAGAATAATATGATCTATAAGAAACTATATTTTTGAAAAGTATTTTGAGTTATCTTAATTTTTGTTTTATTAAATACTTTCCAATCTGTGTATGTCAGATATTCATTCATAGTTAGAATTTATTTTATTCACAAGAATATAAGATAGTCAACTGTAATCAATATTAATTTAATAATTGTCTAAGTAAATCAACCTCTTATTATAAGGCTACTCTTTTGTTATTCCATTTTATCTCTTTAGTTTGATAACTTTTAATTAATTTGGCTGTTCTTACTTAAATTTACTTCAATTACTAGACCTTAACTTTCATCAATCTACTGATACTTTTTATGTGAGATTCTAATTATTGAATATTTCAAATAACCAAATCTCTCTTGCAGATTTGTTCATTTCAACAGGCAATTTATGAGATGGCTATGATAATTTCCTTTATAATGATGAGTAATCTAAATTTGAGCGTTGCTTCTGCTCAGCAATTGGCTTATTGTTCTTTTCCTGTAAAATTTTTAATAGTTTCTATTTCATACTAGTTTGGCTCTACTATTACGTATTCTAATTTGACATTAATTAAAATAACATCTTATAATGTAAGAACCAAAATATTAACAATTCCCCCTGCAGAACATTCAAACACCATAATAAATCGAAGAATACGATGAATTAGATGATTAACATGCGTATATAATAGAGGCAACTGAAAAGCCAGTTGTGGTGCATGACCCAAAAGCTGAATAAATGTATTATATACTTCATCATCAGGAAAAATTATTTCTATGCAATCAGGAGAAATCTGTTAGATTTTAAGGAATTGGTGGATACTATGAATAAAAAGTAATAAATTGTTTGCAAGCCAATGATTTCGAATGTATTAAGATCGAAATAAAGTTTAGATTAAAGAGAGAGCAAATGATGATTAAGCCAAAGCCTATCTATGTAAACTAAGGACCTTGAGTAAAATCAAAAAGTCATACGGACTATCAGAATATCTGAATAAGAAGAGAGAAGAAGAAAAAATAATTGAAGAATCACTTCAAAAAATCTCTAACTAATTTTCGTTTTCCTCTTCACTTCAATTAAGAATGTATGCAAGAGCCTTCAAATTATCTTCCAAAGATAATTTTATATATGCAAATCTTTATCATGATAGACTAAGCGATGATGCACCTTATTTGTTATTAGCCAAAAAGGATTCACAAATGGAAATATTACACGACCAGTTGGATATTAAGAATCAATAATTAATCATAGATTTAAAGGGACCCAATCAAAGGTGGATTTCGCTGTCCTATAACACAAATAGCATTTATGAAAAATACATTTATGATTATTTGAAAAAGAACGACTATTTATAAAAAGAAATATTACAATTCAGCTTGGAATTCAACTATATCCAAGAAGGAACAGCTTATAGAGAAGAAATCAATGATTAGATGCAAAAGAACAAATTAATAGTGGACAATTATTTATTTAGTGTATTGAACTTTATATCTAATTTAGAAATTGTTGCATGAACTAATAATAAAATAAGATGGATCTATGGAAACTTACTTCTAAGAAGTGAAGATCTTCATATTAGAACATCAAGCATAAGACTTGACTGACCCAATAAGATATTAAAATCTATTGAGACATTGCCAATTCCCTGAAAACATACATGCTTTAAAAAAGTGATTGTTAATGTATTTGAATAATGTAATGTAATTTTACTTTTCATAATCTTCTTCCTCTTCTACCTCCGGGTCTTCTTGTTGAATCTGTTGGAATTGGAGTGACATCTTCAATTCTGCCAATCTTCAATCCCAAACGAGCAAGAGCTCTGAGAGCAGCCTAAGCGCCTGGTCCTGGTTATCTGGTATCAACACCTGAGGGTTATTGATATTCATATAGATATACCTCCTCTAGCTCTCAATTTAATATGTAAAGCATTAATTTTGAGTGTCTTCAACTTCTCATAAACATCCTTAGCTGCTTGCATTGCTGCATATGGTGATGATTCCTCTCTGTCTGATTTGACTTTCATTCCTCCTGTGACTCTTGCAAGTGTTTCTCTGCCTGTCAAATCTGTAATGTGAATGAAAGTATCATTCCAAGTTGAGAGAATATGAGCAACTCCGAAAACTAATTCATTTCCAGCAACATTTGGTCCCAATGTGGCTACTACTTATTATGGTTGATCTTCTCCTTAATTCTTTTTTCCCTTCTTTCCTTTAGCTTATTATGCAGCAGGTTATACTTTGTTATCAGCCTAAATTAAATTGCTTAACATACCATTTCACCTAAAAAATTTTAAATCTTTTTTAATATAAAAAAATAGAAATCAAACTTAAATAAGAATAATGTATATGTTTATTATTGTACTGTTTATTGGTTTTAAAATCATTCAGCTGCAAACTTATTATGAGTCTTCTTTACTCTCTAAGCCTTATTCTTCTCTCTTCTATCGTTTTACTCCTTCTCAATCTTATCAACTCTAACCTTCTCCTATTTGGTTTCGTGGATAGCCTCAATAAGTACTTTCTTGTTTTTGTATTGATTACCCTTTGAAGCCAAATAAAATTCGTGATATCTATGCAAAGTTATACACCATTATATTACTATTATCTATCGATTTTTTTAGCAGCTCTATATTTTCTCAACAATCTTCTCAAAACTCTTTATCTACGAATCCAAAGCACCTTAGTTGGCATTCTAGCCTCTCTTGTACCTCTTCTCTTACCAGTACCTGTATGTCTGCCTATAATAAAATGTAATCAATATCAATCACTCACCTCTTCTCTTAGCCTCGAGGAATCTTCTTGCTCTTGCTCTTGAATGAATTGTTCTCAATCTTCTCATGATGAGTCCATCTTTAATCAATTTTCTAATTGACATTCTTGAATTTGCAAGACTGATTTCACTAGCTTCATTTGGATCTAACCAAACTCTGTTCACTCCAACCTTCAATTGTGTTGATGCCAATCTTTTCTAGAGACGGAGATTAACCATTAAAAAATTAATATCTAAATATTTAAATTTTATATAATAAATATCAGAAGCTGACAACTAATATTCCTCCTCCACATTCATAATTATCTGAATCCTCCTATACTAAATCATGATTGAGAAGTAGTTCATCAAAAGAATTGGAATTCTATTTAATCACTAAAACGATTTACAAAACTTATATATCATTTTATATTAGTTAAGTTAACTAAATCATAAAGATTTATAGTTTTTTTAATATAAAACTATGCATCTAAAGAAGATGAATAAAGATTAGAAATATATGTCTAAAAATTGAATTAAATTATCGATTTTTGTGAATTATGAATGATTTTCAAGTGAATTCATTGCTGTCTGTTTAATTCTTGCAATAATGAGTTATATTTTTCTACAACATTCTTGCAGTATGCATCTTATACAATGGGGGAAGGAATTTGATCAAATACTATTTTTTATTTGTTCTATTTATTCTCATTTTGTAGAATCGTTGAATTGGTTCTATTATGTTATTACTTTTTTTATTAAATTGAAACTTTGGAGGCAGTATTGAAAGCATTTTAATTTTATGGTTTATATGACGAAGCATCTGAATTCAATAATTAAATGATGAGATCATCCTCATTTAATTATTTTGGTTATTACTAGAATTATGTCGATTGTATTTCACTCTAATATTCTGATCTAACAGTTTATTAAGTTGGAAGTGATTATTAATCAATGTTTAATAACTTCTAAAACATATTTTGGATATAACTAGTATTGTTTAATTAAGAATTCTATTCTTCAGATTTTCTATTGGTAGTTAATTCAATGCTCTAAATTAATAAAATTTAATACTTATTCATTTGAAAAATTCAATCTGTTTACAATCTTTTCAAATTCTTGTATCTTCTTCATTAGTACTTCCTTCTTCTTTTTGGATGACTTTTTTTATTACACTGTTGGCTATTGTGAAATTGATTATTGAACAATTGAAGTTTGTATTTATTAATCAATTTTAATTGGAGAATCTCTTTGCGTGACAGGTATGATAAAGGAGGAACTTTGATCTTCATTAATTTGGTTAAGGACTTTAAAGTTCGGACTTTAATGGATATTCTCATCATCATTTTCAAATTTATACAATAACTTTTATTTGCTTTGAGTTTATAATTAAGGAGTTTAATATTATGATAAGTTCTCTTAATCTTGTAACTGTGAAATTTCTTCATCAAGTTTTTCAATTTCAGTCTGCAATCTTTATTATTTTTATTCAGATTATTGCATCTATGCTAATTTTTTCAACAGTATTTCTTTTTCCTCCCTCTCTTGTGCAAGTCTTTTAATTAATTTTCCAATTTTCTTCTTATCTTCTTAACACAAGTCTTTAATTTTTGGTTTCTAATTTGAGTCAAATTAATAGGTTTTATGCATACGTTAAATATTAAATTGGAATTATAATTATGTAGAATTCGAAACTCATAAATGAAAATGGATAATGTTCTACTTTATAATTTAATTATAATCACAAATATAGATTCGCTAACAATAATCTTTTTTTTTTAGTCTGAAGTATTTTTTATGCTTCCTTTCTCGGCATATATTTAATATTCGGAATGGTAAATAATTCATCTGCATTCTCTAGAGACACAAAATTGCAGCATTAAATGGTGGCATGGATTGAAAATTGGAAAGGAATCTGCACCTTAATTGGAAATCCGTTTAATTCAATAATCTCCTGCATCTCTGGTCTTTGAAACAACCCATTCAACTTCTCCATTAAATGATTACCTTTCGCCAATAGAGACACAATATTGGCAAAATCCTTAAATTGAAGTGAGTGATTCTTGCAAATCCATAGGGATATTGTCCTAGTTTCATTCTATTCTTTAGGTTTCTAATTTAAAAGTAGATCTGTATTAGGCAATACGTCATTTAATATCCAATCTTCGTACAGCTCTCTCTCAACAGCAAATTTGATTTGAGTATCATTACTTTTCTTCAAATAAGAACTTTTATATGTAATCTTTAAATCAAATCTCTATCTAATAACAATGAATACTTTTCACAAGAATACTGTCCTACTTATTCAATTATCTTTCTGCCCCTCCAATCTACGCATTATTTGATTGTGCAACTTGTTATATCCAATGCTCCACTCACGGGTTCACTGTGTAAAATATCATAAATAATTAATTTTTTCTCTTCTGTATCTAGTTCTTCCAAAGGATCTGTGTAAAATTGATTGGATCTATTAATTTAAAATAATTTATTTTGTTTAAACAACAGAGACATGTTTCTCCGTTTGCATTGCAATTTAGAAAAACCTACAAGTGTACTATCTAATCTTAATTATTATTTATATTTGTATAATTTAATGGTATCATTAGGAGCTAATAATTTGATAAAAGGTAAAGGACTGTCAAAATTCCAATTCATATCTAATTGAAAATTGGGAACCTATTGTAATACAGTTGATAGTTCATGAAATTAGTTTAAAAACTCATTTCTTTTATTTCTGTAGCATTGCTAGAATAATAGGGCTGTTGCATATATTGATCTTTAGGAAAGAGATTCATCCATTGCTGACCATCCTGTTAATTTGTTTTTAATAAATGGGTCTGGATTCATCTTTAATATTTCCTTCAATAATTCATCATATTTCTTATGGAACCCATACAATTTTATTATAGTTATTAAAATCGTATTTCCCAAGATGTCATATTGATTTAAATACTAAAATTTACTATCTAATTTATATGATTGTATATACCTTTCATTAGCGATTAGAACTTAGATACATCATTATTAAGCATGCTCTGAATAATATGTTTGAAATTAATGATTGTGTTGTGTTTCTTAAACGCAATTATTGGCTGTCTAATAATGTTAGCTTCACTTTTTATTCCTTCAGTAAATATTTATTATTTGCCATTATTCTGTTGCTTAAATAAAATCTCATTTTCAGATAAGATTTTTTCAATTTATCTATGAGATTAATCTTATTAGGTTTAAGTTAATTAGGTTGATTGTTAGGGCTGCTTTTTATCTTTAAGTAAATCTTGGAAGCACTCACTTTATTCAGACAATATATATTTTTAATTAGAAGACTTTGGGGATGCATTATTATCAATGGGAGAGGTTAGTAGATGATTTTGGACAGTGTGAAGTTTGGTTAATGATTGATGAACTATCGAGGCTTTTTCTTAGAGTTTTTATGGGTTGTGAATGATTTAAGGAGATTAGTCAGCACAGTATAATTTTGAGGCCAATTAACTATAGCTAGCAGCAACTTTAGATCTATCAATTTTATTTGCAACAGATATTTATTTGATGACATTTATATTTTGTTTTGATTCTTTTTAAGAATTTAAATCCCTTTAACTACTTTATCTGGATTACGATTCTTTGTCAGTGACACTTTGGATATCACTCAACTTTCTGACTGGTTATTAAGTACTTTGAAATGGGTTTTTTATTTTATGTTCCGAGATTCCAGGTGTCATTTTACTTACTGCAAAGTTTTCTACATATTACTAATCGAAGCATGTTTTCAGTTTTGAACTAAATATCTTCTCTTTCTTTTTAGGTAAAACAATTTCAACATTATTTGCTTAGAAATTCTACAAAGTCACTTACTTAATTTCAATTGCTTATTGTTCTCTACAGGTGTCATCAACGTTACAAATACTCGAATCTAATAATATAAAGATTATTCAACCACTAAATGATCCTTAAAAAGAGTCTGGAGGTGCATGTTGATGGTTGATTTATCTCTCTATTTTTGGATTTTGCTTTGCTCTTATATAACAATTCTTCATTGTAATAAATTATATATATTTATAATTATATTTAGAAAATAATGTTTTAGATTACTGATTTTATATATAATATTATATACATCTCGATAGGAAATTTTAACAATATAATTTACCATTGTATTCAACTTAAAATTGGAGCACTTTAATATTTCTTTTTAATTGATTTAATAAAGTAAATCAAATAATTTATTAATTATTTAAACTATCAAAGGTTTAATTTTAAATCTATCCTTTATTATTTTACGATATTAATACAGATAAAAATAATTATCTCTTCTATTAATCTGCATATAAAATTGCCACTACCCACTTATTTAAAATTATATTAAGCAGATAGTAAAGTTAGTTTATTTTACTAAGGATGTAATAATAATGATAACATATAAATATAAAGTACATTAATCTGATTCATTCATTTTTCTGATTATTCTCAATTTTCTAGAAACTAAAGGTTTTAATAGGAATCATTTTGTAAACAGGTTTAGGGGGAAGTTCTGCAGGTGGAGGATAAACTAATCTTTTTTAATTTTAAGATGTATTTAAATTTTAGTATTAATTCGCCAAGGCAGTCTTTCTAACAGCACTTATGGTTCTATTTATTGTTGTAATACTACTAAATGGACGTTATTAAGAAGTGGTTCTAGTTTAGGGAATTACAGCATTTCTTCCTGTTAATTATTATAAAGACTGACCATCCAAATCACTGAAAGACTAGTTAGTGGATAACCTTTTGGCATTCTTTTTCTATTGTGGAAGTTTGACCTCAGCCTAGCTTTTTATTGCTCTTTCTACATTCTTAAATTATTCAAGCTATTAAATGATCATACTCTCTCTATTCTCTCTTTCTTTAGGTTTAGGGGGCATAAATTATTCATAGTAATCTTTATTCTACCTGTTAGTAGATATAAATGTACCTCATCGGGATAAATTTTGATGTAACCATTTAGGTGCTTTTCTTCAAAATGACTCATCTTAGCTGATTATTTCTCTTTTTCTTCCAAACTCATTTTGATTGGCCTCTAATAAATAGGAGCTCTTTTCTATTCTAAGTATATTTTTTTAGGTTTATTTTTGACATCTAAAAGAATCAATGTATCCCTAATCAGATTCCTTTTGATTATCTTATCTAATGGTGTATCAGTGGAAAATGAAGGAGTGTGATTGACTTCAAGTAACCAAGGCTTAAGGGAAGAATCTAAAAGTATATCAAATCCAAATAACTCAAAACACTATTCAATCCCATCATTATTATGTTATTGTGATCTATAGAGATGAGATAATTCTCCTTAAACACTTTAAATGGTCTTTACTATCACTTGTTTGATTTGGTTTAGTAATTATTTTACATCTTGGCCTTGATCTTGTAAATACTTTAGATACTTCATATTATTACTTTCAATACAGATGTCAGTGATCTTTTATGTCCAACGTCATCTTTATTAGTGTCATTATTGAATATAAAATCCTTGCTTCTTTTATTGATAGCATAGTTGGTTAAATGCATCGTAACACTTCCTAGGTTTTTCTTTTAAGGCTTTACATATTTTTTGGTTGAAAATCTCGCAAGACCCTCTTGATACATAAATATTTTCAATGGATGGATAGACTTCAGAAGTACGTAGATTCTGAAATTTTATAAATTTATACCTTAGATCAAATTTCAATCCATCTATTAAATATGGATTACTTAGATATTCTTATACAACATAGTGCTTATCAAGAAAGGGATCCAGCTTTTTGGTTAGAAATATCCCTCTGCCTTGACAATTTGCTTCTGGTTTCACAATAAAGATTCCTGTTCCTTATTTTTATCTGACCTCTTCACTTTAGTAAGGTAATTGCCATGTTCTTGGGAAGAAATCGTAATCATCTGGAAACATTTTACGCATTCTATTCAAATTACGACATAGCTCATTCTTTTTGCCCAACATATAAGATCCAGGAAAATGATTAATTCTCTAGTATGGTAGTAAACGACGATATTCTTCATCAGTTACATAAGTATCTTTCCAAAAGATATGGCATTCAATATCTGAAGGAGTAATCTTCCATTCTAACAGCTGAACTGCTTCTTCAATAACCTTATATTTGGTTTCTATTTTTATTAATGCATGATTGTACATTCTAAGTTGATCAGGACTTTTCTTTTGATAAAATCCCTAGGTAATTAGTCTAATTATTATAGAGACATGAAAACACTCATACTCAATTATATATTTTGACAAATTTATTATTATAAATATATTCATTTCTAGAATAAACATCATTAAATGATTAATTATCATGAATGTAATTCAAATTGTGGATACAATGAAAAAACAAGGAAGAATAATATTAAAATCTACTCTAAAGAGATTTTAAAAAAAAAGGAAGGATTTATGAGAATTTAATATTTCAAATCTGAGTTTATCTTATCCAAAACTTTGTCCCTTTATGTATTGTTATTAACAGGGTTGTTTTAATATTTCCTCTGCTAACTTCTTGCTCAAAAGTATTAAGGTATCAATAAAACAAATTTATAATGAATATTTGGAAATATCAAATAAATTCTCTTAAGAACCTTAACTATCATGATAATATAATTCTTGTTTAAATATAATTATTAATATGGTAAAAAAAAAAGAATAATTTGCTCTAGGGTTATTGGTAAGTGCATTAATTGTAATTTTGAACCTGTTAGAAACATCAATTGTTTTAATTCTACTTTTTAGCTATAGTTTTTTATTATAATTAAGTGATGAATAAAAAGGCAAGTTTTAAGAATTTTATGCAGCTGCAAAAGATGATTTGATAGGTATGACTATTTTTTTGAGCTTTACGATGTTATTACTTAGACTCTTACCAAAAACAATAATTCTAATAATATTCTTTATCCTTATCATATTCTTGTTTTTGAGTGATGAAACAAAATACAAGTACTTTGGATTTTGTGCTTCAAAAAATAAAGAAGTAGCTTGTCTGATAATATTCACAGCTGCTATGTATCTAATAATGAGTTTACTGCCAACACTTCTTTCTGGGATTCTAATATTTAGCTATGGTGCATTATGTCTATTCAAAGATACAAAAGAATCAGAATTGTTTATATAATTTTATTCTGCCGCAAAAAAAGAATTATAATATATTCTTAAATTCATGAGCGTTTTAATTTTATCACACTACATTCTACCAACATTAATTTTTGGAATTCTATTTTCTATCTCTATTTTTGTAATGCTTTAATTGGAATTAGGATAAGAAAGAGAAAAAGTATTCAAATAAAAAATAATAGAATGAATTATAAAATTTAGTTACCCACAAATTGGGCTTTTCAAATAATTAGTTTTAGCAAAATTCTAATCATCCAATTATAATGTTAACTAAGATTTTTCCCAAGCTTATTTTTATAATGCTGTTATTTTCTGATGAATAAATAATTTAAATTTAATAATTAATGCTTTTAGTAGTTTATTATTCTGGTCTAACATTAGATTTTTAGTACTTGATCTATGCATTAAGATAAATATTGAAATAATATAATGATTTGTATTTAGTAATAGTCTTAATCGAAAAATTATAGTTCTATAATAATACATATTTATTTTAGAATAATAGAACTAATACTTATCATCATAATATAAATGAATTAATGTTGAGTCAATCATATTTCCATAAGTATTTTATAATATAAAACAATAGGAGAATGAAGATACTTAGAGGAAAGCTAATTCAAAGGATTATGAGAAGGGATAGAGTAGTATATTGTTGGACCAATTACTTTTTGATACCCTAAAAGAAATTAGGGTTCAATGATGAGAACGCATAAAATGTGATAGGTATAGATATATATATATTATAATATGTATTGTTGGTTTTACACCTTTTTTTCAACAACACCCTGAGTCGTCTTTTTTCTTTTTCTTTTGTGGCTGGAGCTACTGTTATGGATTGTCGTGGGATTCGGATAATGCAATAGACACTTTGTTTTCATTTTTACGCACTGTTTCATTTATATAGTTCAAGAACACCAATTTGGCTGCTTCGGTGAATGCATATAATAGAATTCACTCAATACCCGTTCAACGTTTTCATTGTTTTTGGCGCTGGTCTCGAAAAATAAATTGATTCCCTTTTCGTCTATGAATGACTTTCCTTCGTCGTAAGAGACTTGGCGTCTAAAAATGATATAGAATTGTACTGATCCTCCAAATCATTTTAAGCTCCAACCAAAACAGTCACTATATTTGGTGATGCATTCTCCTTTGCCTCTTTTAACCACCCATCCAACTTCTCCAATGTGTCTCGTCTATTTCATAGATATGATATTATACTTGGTAATATTATAGACTAAAAATACTGCTGTAACATTCCTGTAAAAGGATCTCACAATTGATCTGAAAGACTCTTGTCCAGCAGTGTCCCAGATTTGTAACTTTATTTTTGTATTTTAATCGACTTCCACTGTTTTAGAAGAGAATTCCACACCGATTGTGACATTGTATTCAGAGAGAAATTCGTCTTTTGTGTACCTTAACAGCAAACATGACTTCCCGACACCTCAAAGATTCACTTAATTAATACCGCTTTCTCCAATAATGATAAATTTAAACAATGGTGTTTTATCAGCTGAGGAATTCATCATCGTAAATTCTTTAATATTTTAATTTATGTCTAAAAAACAGAAGCATACGCAAAAATAAACCAAAAAAGTCCTTTCTCAAGACATAAATGAGAGTGATTAATCTAATTTCTTCTCCCTTCTTGGCGACGATTACACTGTAAGTCTTTTTTTATAATAAAAATAGAATAATGGCAACATCAAATTAGTTTAAAAAATATTAGGGGATTATAAAACTCTTCTTGAGTATCCTCCAAGTAAATTTTGGTCCACACTCTCTTACAATTTAAATCTCCAAAATTCCTTAGACCTCTTCTTGAGATACGCACCAAGAAAACACTTTCTCAAAGAACCCTTGCACTTCACAGGATATTACGGAGTACTAATCAAGGAGATCTTCAAATGTGTCTTTGCTATCTATCTTCGATTAATAGATTTATAAAATGAAGATGCAATTCTATATGAATAAGTTGGTGTATATGATTTGGTGTACTAAAAGTGGATCTTTGACGTAATGAAATTGACTGATATCTGCACAATATATGGGGACAAAAACGAGAGTAATAATAATTATTCTATTATTACCTAGATGGTGTCAAGAAAATTTGTCAATTTGTGTTCAAGTATCAAGCTTACCAAGACGATTACAAATCTACTATAGATTCCTTTATGAAAAATGTTCTTGGGAAGATTTATGAGGACATGTTTGCAATAAACAATAAATCAGCCAATGAAAACGAAATCATTATTAGTGATGTTCAACAAAAAATGGAATTGCTCACACTAATTTTAGATTCCATCGAAACAGTAATTGTTTGGGCCAAATATTTCCCATAACAACAATATCTATTTAAAACAGAAATAATGTCATGTTTTGAATAGGTCTTCTATGAATTGATTCTAGCTAAAGGATATAGTAGAGGAACCACATAGATCTTGGGTGTTTGGAAACCTTAGTTTTTATAAAACTTACATTACTTCCTGAAACAAGCTTTGTAAAGATTTATAGATTTCTTTGTTATTTACATGAAATACTTGGAGGAATTGATTTTGACAAAACAGATAAAATAATCTCAAGAACATATGAATTATTTGATTCAAAATTTTGGTATTATAAAAAGGAAGTTTAAATCTAAAAAGGTAACTACAAGCCAAAACAAAGAATGGATTCTATTTGAAGCTCTTTATGAAAATGGGTTTAACATGATTGAGTTGTTGATGAACACGCCATGGAATCAAATTAATCTACCTAAGGAGGACATTGAAGAAGTGACTCTTCTAATGACAACAGTAATGGAGGAGAGAGAAAGACTCAAAGGTAAAGCCAATAATACTGAGCCTGAGAATTTTGATGTGTTTGAAAATTTCGATCCAACATAGTCTACACTTCCCATTGATGTTTTACAGGCAATAGACTAAGGCGAGGCAGAGTAGGAAGAATAAGCTCTGAACAACGAAGAAGAAGATGAACCAATGCAAGTAGAAGAGAAATTAGTTGAAATAGTGTCAAAAAAGAAATAAAAATTGACATTTGATTAACCATTGAAGGATAGGATTGAGATGGCTGAAATCACAGCTAAGCTTTATAATGATGAACCTGATGATACATATGATTATCAGGAAGCATTGCAAAGACCTGAAAAGGAATACAAAAGTAGTGATGAAGATGAAGTGGATGACTATGTTGCTAATGATCATTTTATTAGGTATGCTTAACCTTCAAAGAAATCAATTAATTCATAGATTAATTCTGGACATAGTATGAGTTATTAGAATTTGGATAATAATAACGAGAAATAGATAAAAATTCTCAAGAATCCGAACAAGTAGTAACAATAGATTAAATAACAACGAAATGAGTCAGGATTCAGTGATGAAGAGGATGATCAATTTAGAAGAGATAATGGAAACAGAAGTAATCATAACAATAATAATAACAATAAGAATGATAATCGTCCTTATTAGGAAAAGTCTATGAAAACATATGTTAAGGATAATCACTACCAGAATAACAATAATGAATATCAAAGAAGAAACTAGAACAATAATAATTAACAATATAGAAATAAAAATAAGAATCAAGAATATTCAAGGAATGATGATGATTGTTACAAAAGGGATGACTATGATCGGGATGACAGACCTTAAGGAAATTATGAATAGAAGAAGGTTCTCCAGAAGGAGAGAAATAGAGATGGGGGGTATGTTGGAACTAACAAGCCGAAAATTCAGTAAGAATACGAAGAGAAATAAGAAAGCCAGCAAACACAAGAGCATCAACAGAAATAAAATAATAATAATAAACATCAATAAGGCAAAAAGAATTTAAACTCCAAGGCTAATACTTAAGATCTTTATGTTCCGAAAGAGGAAACTACAAATAAAGAATACTAAGCTTAAGAATAGAGGCAGGATAAGAAACATCAAAGGGGCTAAAAAAGATATTGAGTATATAAAATTAAATAAATTTAATCTAGAATTTCTAGAATATACTATTAAGAGACTATTTAATTTAATTGTGGGTATTTTTCACTAATAAATTATTTGTCTTTAAATTGTTAATGATTTCTTCATCTAGAAAGCTTTTCGGCAATATCGTATTGGGAAAATCACTCGTATCTACTCCAGTTTTCTTTGCAGGAAAAGAATTGAGTTTTGGACAAGAGTGCAGACAACAGATGTTACGTGGTTGTGACAAATTAGCTGATGCAGTCCAAACAACTCTTGGACCAAAGGGAAGAAATGTGGTCATCGATTAACCATATGGCAGTCCCAAAATTACTAAGGATGGTGTTACAGTTGCAAAGGCAATTGAATTCTCCAACAGATTCGAAAACATCGGAGCTCAATTAGTAAAGTCAGTGGCATCTAAAGCTAATGATGAAGCTGGTGATGGCACAACAACAGCCACAGTTTTGGCTAGAGCTATCTTCAAGGAGGGAGTAAAGAGTGTCGCTGCTGGACTCAATGTAAGACTTTATATATATATCCATTTTAGCCAATGGACTTAAGAAGAGGAATCAATTTGGCTTGTGAGGCAGTCGTTAAGGATTTGAAGAATAGATCAAAGCCTGTCAAATCAAAGGACATGATCGAGAATGTCGCTACAATCTCTGCAAATGGAGACGTTGAAATTGGAAAATTGATTGCAGAACTCATGGATAAAGTAGGAGAGCACGGAACCATCACAGTATCTGATGGCAAAACACTTAATCATGAAATTGAGTTTGTCGAGGGTCTCAAATTCGACAGAGGATACATCAGTCCTTATTTCGCCACAGATCCAAAGACATAGAAGACAGAATTCGAAAAACCATACATTTTGATCACTGACAAGAAGATCTCTAACATTCAATCAATTCTCTAAATTTTGGAACATGTTGTAAGAGAGAACAAACCACTTTTATTGATTGCTGATGATGTTGAATCAGAAGCCTTGGCTCAATTGGTTCTCAACAAATTAAGAGGAGGACTCAAAGTGTGCGCTGTCAAAGCCCCTGCTTTTGGAGTATGAATTTATTTCATTATTTTAGGATAACAGAAAGGCAATCTTAAATGATATTGCAATCTTAACTGGAGCTACAGTCATCACAGAAGATGTTGGATTGACATTAGAAAAATCAGATCACACAGTTCTTGGACAATGCAAATCTATCATTGCCACCAAAGATGATACCATCATTATGGATGGTGTTGGATCCAAGGATAGCATCAATGAAAGATGTGAAATCATCAAAGCTCAAATCGCAGAATCAAATTCTGAATATGACAAAGAAAAGCTCAAGGAGAGATTGGCTAAATTATAAGGAGGAGTTGGAGTCATCAAAGTTGGTGGTGCTTCAGAAGTAGAAGTTGGAGAAATCAAAGACAGAATCACAGATGCACTCAATGCAACCAGAGCTGCTGTTGATGAGGGTATTGTTGTAGGTACTAATATTAAATAAATATTCAGGTGGTGGATGTGCCTTATTGTATGCCACAAGAGTTTTGGATAAACTCAAGGGAGACAATTTCGATTAGAACATTGGTATCCAAATTGTCAAGAAGGCTATTGAACTACCATGCAGAACTATTGTTGAAAATGCTGGTGAAGAAGGTGCTGTTGTTGTTGGAAAATTATTGGAAGGAAAAGACGAAGAGTTCGGATACGATGCTTCAAAATCATAATATGTCAATATGATCAAGGCAGGTATCATTGATCCAACAAAAGTTGTAAGAACCGCACTTGTTGATGCTGCCTCAGTTGCCAGTTTGATGACAACAACAGAGTAAAATTATCATTCTAATTTAGATGTATGATTGTTGAAGGAAAAAAGGATGAAAAAGCTGGAGGAGCCCCAAATATGGGAGGAATGGGAGGAATGGGAGGAATGGAAGGAATGTATTGATATAATAGTGATTATTGTTCATTTAGTATCAAAAAAGTTATTAAATCTTTTTTAACAATGCTCCTAATATTAGACAGATAACACTAACGATTAACAAATGTCCAATTAGTATTTATTAATCCTCTATAAATTATAATAATTGTAGTACATTTGTGGTTTTCTTTATTTTTGAACATTGCTTTAAATTTCAATTTCTCTAATTCATCATTCAACTAGTCCTTGCTTGTCTTGATTTAATCGATTTATTTGATAATCTGTTGTTCTTTCTACTTCAAAGTGGAAATTAATTAGGCTTATTCGACTTTCATTATGGAAGTTTATGAGCGTATTCCTGAAACCTCATGATTTGATCTTTCCTCGTCATTGCATCTAAAATTACCAGATTCGGAGGGTTCATTCTGATAGTTTTATTCAAGATCCATTTTCTCCTAGAATTTTTCAATAGGATCTTGAGGAATCTCATAGGTTTCTGTAAAAAAGGTCGGTTATTTTACATCTCTACTGATATTAGCACTTAATCTGCTGGCATCCTACAAAATAGGACTAATGCTAGGAGTATTGTTGAAGATATTTGAAGTTCTGCTTTCTTGGCCATCAAGACTATTTTTATGAACGATTTGTTCTTATAACCGACTGAAGGTGTGCTATGATCTTTGTAATTGCATAGGCTCTTATTTCATAACTTCTTCAAATGTTTATTTTTTATCTGATTATTGAGTGCTGGATGCATCTGTGTTGATGTTCATTCTGATAGAGACCATTTGAGTGGGCAATACACCTGGTTGTTTTTCAACCCATAATTGAGGGTTGGAATACTCAAGCATATCGAGATATTCCTCAACATAATTAATAGCTTCTAGTAACACATCAGTATCAAATTGACTGGCTTTGTTGGTGACCGAAATTAATTTCCTTTCGTTGGGAGCAATCATACCATAGGAGGGCATTATTCTTATTAGGTTATCATTCTTGAATCTGAAGAGGATTGGGTGGTCAACCAGATTGATGACTTGAAAGGTGGTTTGTTTTCGATGATGGATTTGGAATGGAGGCTGAGGTGAGATTGAGAAGAGCATAATTTGTATATCTTTTTTTAATTAATATTTTAAAAAATTAAATGGCCAGAGCAGCAAAGGACACTAGACCAATTGCAGACTAAGCTACATCAGAAGCTGCATGCACATACGCAGCCCTCATTCTTTATGAAGACAATCAAGATGTACTTGAAAATGTGATAATAAGATCGATGCCACTAAATTAGCTAAAATCATTAAGGCTTCAAATTTGAGAGTCGAACCCATTTGGACCAAAGTTTTTGAGAAAGCACTCAAGGGCAAAAGAGTTGGGGATTTGTTGCATGGTAGCAGTGGAACTGGAAACAGTGCTCCATCAGCTCAAACAACATCCACTCCTGCTGCTGCTGAGACCAAAAAGGCAGAGCCAGTCAAGGAAGTCAAGAAAGCTGAAGAACCAGAAGAAGATGTTGATATGGGTGGTTTGTTTGATTGAAAATGAAAATAAAAATCGTACATTAATATTTTAATATTATGAAATCTAATAAATTGGAGAAATACGAAAAGAAGGAGAAGCTCGGAGAAGGTACTTACGGAATTGTGTACAAGGCATTAGGTATGCATAGCATCATTATTTGCGTTTAGACCGCAACACTAGCGAATATGTGGCATTGAAGAAAATTAGACTTGAGTCAGAAGAGGAAGGCATTCCTAGCACAGCTATCAGAGAGATCTCTCTTCTCAAAGAGTTGAATCATCCAAACATTGTGAAGTAATACTCGTTCTATCTAGATTAATGGAGGTTGTGCATTCAAATAAGAAGCTCGTACTGGTCTTTGAGTATGTTGAAATGGATCTTAAGAAATTCTTTGCTCAATTCCCCAAGGAGAAAGGCATGGAACCTGTTATTGTCAAAAGCTTTCTCTATTAACTACTTAGAGGAATCTAAGCATGTCATTAACAAAAAATATTACACCGTGATCTCAAACCTCAAAATCTTTTGGTCTCCAAAGATGGAATACTCAAACTTGCTGATTTTGGACTCGCCAGAGCTAGTGGAATCCCTGTTAAAAGTTTCACTCATGAAGTTGTCACACTATGGTACAGACCACCAGATGTCTTGTTGGGCTCTAAAAACTACAACACCTCAATAGATATCTGGAGTGTGGGCTGTATCTTTGCTGAAATGTCAAATCTTAAACCTCTTTTTGCTGGAAGCAATGAAACTGATCAATTAAAAAAGATATTCAGAGTCCTGGGTACACCAACACCTATTGTAAATTACTCATACTATCCTATAGGAATATCCTAAATTGAATGATCTTCAAAACTGGAAACCCGAAAACTTTGAATAATATCAACCTGATAATTTGGCTAAATTTTGTCCAAGACTTGATCCAGATGGTCTAGACTTATTGATCAAAATGCTTAAAATTAACCCAGATCAAAGAATCACAGCCAAAGCCGCTTGCGAACACCCTTTCTTCAAAGAATTACCAGAATAAGTTAAGAAATTATACGTCAACGTCAAGTGAAGAATTCATATATCAAATATAAATATTAAATTTCATAAGAATTCCTCTCTCTTTATCATACATTTATTTGTTCATCACTCAAAACTTCTCCTTTTGCTATTATGTAAAACTTACTCTAAATTTATAAATTATTTTGTTAATATTTATACTGTAATTCTAGAAATTATATTTTATAATTTATAAATAGATGATACATATATCCAGGGGACAATACTAGTAGATATGTTATGAAGTAGAAAACTTAAAGGATTCTATTTATATCATAAAAGCTTCAAATTTATTAGTTAATTTGGTAAAGATTAAGATTAAAAGTATCAATTCCAAAAGATGAATTGATTCTATCAAGATCACTCTTTATTTAAATTAAATATTTACTAAAAATAAGAGAATTTGGTGCTTTAAAAATTAAATTTAGTTTTTAAACTCAAGAAATTTACATACCTTTAAATATTTCATTTAATTTCTCAATTTCCTAATTCCTTACTGAAATTAAATCTTGTCTCAACTAAGCATTAAAATAAAATATACTCTGCCAATTTCAGATTTCATTTTTATCTCGCTTTATTCCTTTTCATAAAATCTCTTCAATTCCTATTTCATTTTCTCATTCTCTTACTTTACTATTCCCATTTGTCTATCTAATTCATTTAACTAATATTTCATCTAATGATGACTTTCCTTATACTATTGCAATTTCATTATCTCTTACTATTAATCCTATATCACTTGCTTTAATTCATCTAATTATTTATTTATTTCTATTCTATTTTATCTCATTTCATTCTAGATTTTCTTTCTCTCACTTTTATAATTCTTCAACTCTTCTTTCAATATCTAATTTTCCTCTTTTATCGGTTCCATTGCGAATAATAAATTATCTAACTTTTAGATTTCAGCTTTCAATTGCTCATTTTCCATCCCCCATTATATTCTCTACTCTTCTTTTTGACGCTATTAATCCAAATGTAACGACTAAATTTATAATTTTTACTCACATTCAAATTATCATTTTCCTTTCTCAAATGTTATACTAAGTCACTTAACTCTTAATAGTCTCTCATTAGGTCATCTCTTTCTTAAATGTATTTCTTGGATCTATTCATCTCTTTCTCTTGATTTCTCATCTATTCTTATAAAGCAGCTTGAAGCTCTGAAAGATCATCCATCAAATTCTAATTTTGAATCTACAATTCCCCAATTACCTAATCCTTCTTCAAAAATTCTCCTTTTAGAACTTCCATCTATAATGTTATTTCAATAAATTAGTACTCTTTCTCTTTATTCTTTCAACTAACTAATATAGTACTATTCTTGTTCTATTTGTTTCAACTCATTCATTCTTAACTTGTCGCTACTATTAATGAATTCCATGAATTTTCCTGTTTGTTATTGCATTAATAATTAAATTCAAGATGCTCTTTATATAAAATGAAAATAATGTATAAATATATTTCATTTAGTACAATACATCTAGTTCATACTCTCATTAAATGAATAAGTTAACTTTTTATCTAAATGAACATCAATCAATTTAATATATTCCTGTCCTGGTTTAATTAAAATTAAATTCTATCCTGATAATCAATAAATTGTCTAATATCAAAAATATTTGAATTGCTATAACCACATTAATCATATTCTAAATTAAAAATTTCCATTGAAATATATATTTTTATTATTAGATTAGTTTACTAACACAATTCTTATAAATTAATTAAGTTATTACTCAAAAAATAATGTTAAATGATTATTAAATAGAAATTATTGATATTTTCATTTACTAAAGATTCCATCAAAATTGATCGAACTTAATTTAACAGGAACTTTTGTATTTGGCTGTTGTTAAATTTACATTGTAGGAAGCACGGCTTGTCGATCAACTAACTCTAATCTCTCTCTTTCTTCCTGAGTGACTTCCTAGAGAAGAAATAAAATAATTAATATACTCTGCCATCCAGATACAAAATTGTAGGCAACTTCCTAAGTACCATCTATCTATAACCTGGTCTTCGACTTAAAGAATTTCCAACTAATTCTAATTCTTTAAGTTACGTTAATGGAACTAAATGCTCAATGTCTGGTAAATCATTAATTCTATTTGAATTAGCAAATAAATGCTAGGTTTAAAATTTATAAATACCAATAATTTATATAATTTTTAAATATTCTAAAAATTCTTGAGTCCATTTCCATCTACCTTCAAACATCTAATAGGATTAGATCCAGCAAATGATTGAGGATCAAATTGCCTTACTTTATTTTAATTTAAATCCAATTCTTTCAACTATTTCAAATTCTCCAAGTAATCAACCCTGACAATCTCATTTTTTTCACACTTCATGATTTTTAATTCCTTAAGTAAACAATATTATAGACCATGAAATTCTTTTAAGCAATTTTAGGAGATGTCTAAAATTTATAATTGTTAACATCCATTCAAACCTTTTTTTGAATTAATATCATTAGGATAAAGAAGGGAATCAATTTTATTGGATGCTAAAATCAAGATTTTCAACTATGGCAAGAATCCAAGCATTTTTGTAGAAGTAAATAAATTGTGACTCAAATCCAATTCAACAAGTTATGGAAATTATTAAGCGTTGAATACATCCTCAAAATCTCTGAGTTCACAATTTTATAAACATAATTCCGTTATTTTAGTTGCTGGTTACCCCTACAATCTAGAGTACAGAATTTCCTCTGTCAATCTACCAGTGTATAGATTCTTAGCCATCTATTATTCCTAGGCTTCAATAGAAATACCATCCAAAACCTTAAGCTTTGGAATGATATAGAGCACGTATGCTCTATAATTGGTATCTCTAGCAAAGGGATTCCCAGAAAGATCTAAAATGATTAACTTTTGCAAATGTTTTATGTTGTTAATTTCTTTCTAGTTTGTAATATTATTATTTCCTAAATATATTTCCATAAGACTTTTGAGATCTGGAAATTCCTTCAGATTAAGTATTGCATTGTCTTCTAATGACAATTACATCAAGTTAATCAGATTAGAAATTCCGTCGATAATTGAAATTTTATTGCCTCCTAATTCCAGCTTCTTTAAATATTGCATATTATCCAATTCTTGAATTTATATGATCTGATTCTTTTCTAAATTTAGTTCTTCCAATAGTACTGAATCCTATAATGAGGTTATCTATGTAATTTTGTTGTGACCCAGATTTAAGTGTCTTAATTGCACCAAACCTTCCAATCCTTTCATACTACTCAATTTCTAATGAGTAATCATGACTGATTGAATATTTTACTTCCAATCCATTTAGACTTTGCTGAATGTTTGAAGCATGGCTGTTGTGATTAATTGTTTTTGATTAGTTGTTTTCTCTTTGTCTTCATCTGTTACTGGTAAATGATCCAAAAATTATAAATTATTCAAAATCATTACTATCTCCTTTCTTGTTTCCTTATACTCATTAATTGGATTAAACACAACACATAAATACTTTAATGACTAATTGTATTTAAGTAGCGCAATCTAATCAATGTCTTAGATGTTGTTATGTGTTAAGTCCAAGACTTCTAAACTATTCAAGTGTTACAATCCATTCAAATTGCTAATTTCATTATGTGATAAATCTAATCTTACCAAATTTGGTAACTCATTCAAACCACTAATAGCACTTATTTTATTGTAACTTAAAATTAGAGTGTGAAATTGACCTTTTACAAAAGTAATGTCTTGCACACAACAATTACTTAAATTTAAAAATTAAGTCTAGTTCTTAAGAATTTCATTCAAATCTGGTGTGCCAACTAAATTTGGATTCAATTCATACAAAGTTGATCTACTTAGACAATATTTGAAATAATTGATTAAAGCAGGCTTTAAAGAGGCACATTCTGATCGATCCAAATCCTATGCCTTAAGTTCATAAGTAGGATATTCCTCTAAATTCTCAAATTAATAAGTATTTAAATCGTCAGCCAATTAATTATATAAATCATTGATGTTTTCCTTCTACTAATTGATGTTAGCTGGAGTAATAAAATCATCATCTTCTTATTCTAGAACACCTAATGCAGAGCCAAAGTCAGCAATTTTATTTTGTAATGGTGATTTCATTACGTATTCAAATTCTGCAAAGTATTCTGGTAAAACTAAATTGTTATCTAAAACAAACCATAATCTGTGTTTTGGATCATTCTCCATTTATCTATAAACTGTATATTCATCTTAATATTATTTTCCATCAATCGACTATTTCTAAAACATCTCACTCCATGGTTGTTCAGGATTGAAATAAGGATACTTTGAATCAGGGACAGACTTAATCATAAGCACTTTACAAATGAGCAAGACTCCTGGAGGGATCACATTATAATTGTTATATTGTAATCTAACATATATGAATTGATTAACCTTCTTTTAATAAAACTTTTGTTCAATTTCTGTTTATGATCTTATCCATTCAAAATATATTGAATTCTCGATGCATCTGCTCCCAAAATGCTATTTACTAACGGTGTATATGCACTTAATCCAATTGATTTTGATTCCTTAATTTAATTTATTTATTTACTTAACAACCTCTGAAACCTTCTTCAATCACATTATAAATTTCAGATTAAAAATTAGGGTCTACTCCATAAAAGAGATACTCTAATGATTTTTTATGGCTCTAATTGGATACATCCACAAGAGATTCCATTTTTTCTTCAAACTTATTTCGAATGAATTTGTTGTGAATCCTCACTACTCTCTTTATTTGAATGTCCTTAATCCCATATTAAGCCATGTTTTCAGAGTGAAATCTAGAATTGATAAGATCAACACAAGAAACATACCATTTCTCACTTGCTTTACCTTCTTCCAATCTGATGTTTCCACCTGTTTCCAATTCAGTTATTAATTTGTGTATGCTTTGATTACAATATTCATAAACCTTCTTTTTTATACTGTTATAAATGTCATTCTAATTTTCATATTCCTCTTGCTTATTCTCTAATAATTGTTATCTTTCTTTGTCAGCCTCCTATGCTAATTTTATATTCAAATTTGAAATGTCTTCACATAAGGAATCCGTCTTAATCTTCTTACCCTTCTTCAATAACTTACACAAGGTTGAAAATGTCCTCTACATAGTCTTAATTCTCATATTATAATACATTTTCTTTTTCATAAAAGTACCTTCAGCAAAAGATTTCTACTCCTCAGATATAATTAAAGTGTCCAATTTGTAAATGTTTCTCAAATGATACAAGACATAGGTCTAATAGTTGCATAGGTTGCAAATAGGATTATCACCAAAATGGGGATCATAAAATGCTAAAACCTTTAGGTTTGGTAAACGATTTAAATTTAATGCCTCTTTAAAACTACAAATTTTATTTCCACTTATATTCAAATCATGTAAATTCTTTAGTCGATCAAGAGATGTCCTTAAGAAACTTATCTGATTGGCTGCTAACCATAATTATCTCAAATTAACTAAATTTTCTAAATTTTGAATTGCATCAATTTTATTATCGCAAAGCCACAAAGTCTCCAATTTAGTTAAATTTTCCAATCCCTCAATTTTTTGGATTGCATTATGCGATATGTATATTGATTTTACATTGACAATCCCCTTTAGTCCATTCAATTTGGTAATTGAATTCTCATTCAAATTTAATTCCTCCAACTTGGACAACTCATCCAATCCCTTTTGTTAAATAACTCAATTCATACTTCAATATTTGTAATCCCTACATTTATAAGAGTCAAAGATTTCAAATTTTTGAATGCCTAAATAACATTCATTCTCCCAAAATCTTCAAGTGTAAGCTCAATTCTCTCTATCTTATCCAGATGATTCCATTCCTTATCGGTGAAACCATTCATAATTTTCTACAGATTTAATGTATTCTTACTATGGTCTCCATTTTCCCACTGTCCCCTTTCTTTTTCTCTTCTTGTTACATTATTTATTATAATATATTTTTAGATTTTTGCAACTTGAAAAAAATGAATTATATATTAATGTTCTTTCAATATTCATTAACTGATACATCAGATGCTACTATATTTAAGGCTGTATACGTCTAATAAATTGGAAGAATTCCAAATCATCTTCAACTCTGTGATTACTTTGCTCAGACCATGCAGGCAACTTGATAGTCAGACTTTCAGAGTTTGACAAATAATTGCGATCCTTTGTCACTGGCATAGGTGGATACTTAATCCCAACAAAAGGTTTCTTTGCCAAAGCTAAGTTAGTAAGAGTCAAATGTACGATTGTAAACATAAATATGCTTTTTATTAGCATCAGAACTAGTTAATGACTCTGTCTTGGGAGCTATGTTCAAAACAACATCAGTTTAACTGTTTTAAGATGCCTATTAATCTTATTCTGGATCCAAAACTATTGCTTTATCGACAAAATTAGCTTAATCGATTGTTGCTTCGGGTAATTCTTATGCTCTTTATTATCTATTGTAAAATTATACTAGATCTCTTCATCGACCTTCTCAATTTTCAATGATTCCTATTGCTCAAAATTTTACTCTTAATCTTTGTATTTATTTTTTATATAAATACTTGATTCTATTGGCTCTTCAACGTACACCATAGGGTTATCGTCGCTTTTAAACACTGCCAAACTTGCATCTACTTCTACAGTCTCCTAACCTTAGAGAGTCTCTGTTGATACATCACTGCTCCCCACATAAAAGCTTTAATCTTCTTATTCACTCTCGAATATTGCTGCCATTCATCACTCATATTTACCTTGCTCTTCTTCAATTAAAGACTTAGGTGATCCTCTTAACATTTAAGAACCGCAATAGCAAATTAATACAACAAGTATTAGAGTCTTCATTGATTATCTATAATATTAATAATTAAAAAACGATAAAAACTAATAATCACTATTACATGCTTGAATTACTAAAATTTACGATATTAATCCAAACTCTCAAAAAATAGTAATATCACATATTATCTTAATATAAATATGTAAATGCTATTTCTTATAAATAAAATTAAGTTGAATTTGATACAAGAATCTATTTAGATTATAACATTTATAATGGATTTTATACAAATTTTTAAATGCTTTCAAATACACATAAATAGAACTTATACAATAAACTTATTATATTTAATTAAGTATGCCCTTCAATTGACATCTTCTTCTTTCTATTCTTTATAAATAATATTAAAAATTGAATTATTTTTCAATACTCTTTGTAAACATAAGATATTATTATTAAAGCTGAAGGGTTTTATATATCTTTGATTATCACTCAAATTATATATAGAAATAAAATTTATGTGAAAAATAAACTATTTTAAAAACAATTATATTTCATTATAAAGTTGTTATGTTAAATCCAGTTTGTCTAACTTAAATATTTTTTTTTCACTCAACACTTGAATTGAAGGGAGTATTCTGAATCTGTTTTTTTGTTTTTTATTGCGTTCAACTGTTGTATTACTTAGTTAGAAATTAAGTGATCTATAAGATAGTTTAAGGAAGGTAAGGATGTTTATAGTAGATTGGAGTTTATTGGAATAATAATTTAGTAACATTAAATTATGGTATTGCAGTTATTTCACATTGACTGTGTATTAAGCGAATAAAATTTATCGTTTTTAATCCAATATTTTAATATAAATCTTTAGCAAAATGAGTACTAGTTAACAAGAATTCTTTGAGTATATGAGTGAGACTCTATAAACATCTTAAGAAGGACTTATGGAGATGCAAAAATCCAACCCTTAAAGTAAGAAGAAAAATCTAATAATTTTTAAGATTTCCAAAAACTTGTAGAGAAGATGAAGCGTACAATGAGAAGAGAGAAGGCAAAATAACGAAAACATAAGGATGAACCTGAAATAGTTTAAAGTAGTAAGAAAATAAAGAGAAAGAAATAAGATGATGATCCCTTAAGAGAGAATGATAAGAAAACTATATAAATGATACGAAATAGAATCAGTGCATAAAACTCTAGAGATAGAAAGAAATAATATTTACAACAATTAGAAAATTAGGCTCAGAAAGAATTAAATTACAATGCTTAATTGAGGAAGTAATTGGAGGAGCTACAAACTAAACATTAAAAATTAACAAACAAGAGCTCAAAAATACGAGATTAATTGTCTATTCTCCAACAACTAGGCCGTTGTTCGAGATTAGGTAAAATAGGTCTCGCTCTCTTGACTCTTGTTTCAGTTTTTTCCGTAATCTCTCAAAAGGAAACCTAATAAACAATCTCATCTCCTCTTGTTAAAGTTGAAGACCTATCAAGTGAGAGTGCAAGTGCAATGGTCCCATTAAATTATGAAAAATCTTACTCTGTAATTGATACAAACACCTTTTTTGAGGAAGAAAAGATTGGCGTTGGTATGTCAGAAGAATCTGAGAATTCTTATCCTTAACTGTTACCAAATGCCTTATATCGGTTGAATTCACATATAGATTACGATTTTCTGCTGTAAAATTGATAAAGTTCTATTGAGTTTATGTATATTATAATAAGAGTATTATATTAACAAATTTAAATCATACCGATCTCTCTTTAGGTGGCTTGTATTACAATCCAAGAATTCTATAAACATCGATTTCTTCCTCACACGCTATCACTTCTCCTTTCCACAATTCCTTATTTTGAGAACCTCTTTAGGTCGGATAGAGACCATGATCACTTAGACTATATCCAATTTTTTATGCCCACAGCCTCATACTTCTGTTGTATTAATCAGAACCAGTAAAATACAAAACTGCACAACCATACTGTTCTTTAGGATACAATTTTAAATCTATTCTACGATGAATTCCGTTATTATTGATTCTTCCGATCCCCATATACGACTCAGTATCATGTTCTCCCCTCCTTGGCATTGTGAGATGATGAGTGAGTAATTTTCCTTCTAACCGTTAAATTAAATTCATTAAGAAACCATCAGCACTCTTTCCATCGCATCTTGTTATTAAAATATCCATATCTCCACAAGAATCCTTTTCTCTTCTATACGAACCACAAGCCGTAGCCTTATATAATCCTGGTACTCCACTTAAGTCATCAATTTCCCTTTTTACTATATCATAAATAATTGTAGCCTCATCTCTTGGAATCCGTTATTCTAATTCCTCTACCAATTGTAAACACACTTATTAATTCCTATTTAACAAATGTTGATTCTTCCTTAAATCATCCAAAGTTTTTATTCCTTTAAAATAAAATGTAGCTGCTGTTGTTGGTCCAATCCCCCAAACTCTAGATAATTAAGTGATTGCTACATTCTTCTCTTATCCTTGCAACTTTTGAACTTTCACTAATTAACCTGTTTAGATGATCTCAATTATTTTATTCTTTATTTTTTCTCCAATCGTTGGCATCTCCTTTAAATCTTCACTTGATCTTATTGGGAATGTTAATGACTTTATATACCCTATAGCCTTTCGATAGGCAATACATCTTCCCTTATCCTTTTCATTTGTATATATTTTAAGTAACTTTTCTAATTCCTCTATAATCTAATTATTATAACATGTTTAGGCTGATCCAGCATCACAAATGAAGAACTCTCTTTTGTTCTCCCAAAATTAAATTTACTGTTTCGAACCTGGATGAAATTACCTAGTCTCTTTTATTTATGCATTCACTAAAGGCTAATCTACATTCACTAGTGCTTTTCCCATATCCAATCCTTAAAAGATATCTATTGAAGGTTTACGAACTTCTGTAATTTAACACTCTTCATCTCCATAAAATTTATTCTATTGAGGAACATCAAATTCTTCTTTTTTTAAAATTTGAAAATTGTCTAATAAAAATTCATAACCGTCATCCACTTGATGATGATAATTATCTAAATCTTTGTCATATTCATAATCCAATAAAAATCGATTCTCCTTGATCATTTATCTTTTGAATTCTTATTTTTTCTTCTCATACTTTTCTCTCATTTCAGGTTTAATAATTGTATATTCCCCGCTTTCCATATCCAATGAATCCTCTGCATCTTCTTTGATTGGAACTGTCTTTGCTAATGACTCTATGTACACAAACTTTGTATCTGTTGATTAAGGACTCACTCTTTTTTGCTTCTGCTCTATTTCTGAAAATAATTGATATTTCTTAAAATCTAACAGATTTTTAGCCTGAAGAGACTGAGAAATCCAATCTGCATTAATGAACTGCAATCTATACTATTCAAAGTCTAAATGCATTTTTTCTAGTTATTTCTAGCAAGATTCTAATGTTGCATCAGAGCCAACAATCATAATAGTTCGAGGATTTAGTTCTATAGTACCTCCATTTCGTTCTATTAAATTTCTTAAGGTTTTGATTCTGTTATTTGTGAGATTGACAGTAGAAAGGGGAAACATAAATGAAATAGCTTTGAACATGTAATTATCTCTAAAAATTATTTAATTAAGATTGTAATCATATACATATAATAAAAATTCTTTAGTTTCATGAGTAAGCAAATCATTTGATTAATCTTATACGTCTAAATTTAATGTTTAAACAATATTTTGATAATTGGAATTAAAAATCGACAGAATCAACTGTTAATTACTTACAACAAGCATTCAACAAAATAAAATATTATTGTCTTGCTTGAATTTTAGACTTGCTTCTTTTGAATCGTTTAATTGAATTTTATATAATGAAAACATAAAGTTTTAGTGAAAATTAGACACCTAATTATGAAATTGAGATCCTTTAATAAACTCATTATAATTCTAATCTTGGTATTTGTTTATGTATTTCAAATAAACATAGGCAAATATTATTGTTTATATGAAATATATTAATAAATATCAGATAAAAGAGCATCTATTCTTTAAGGACAAAAATAACTGTAGATCATTTTATCATGCCCTTTGTTAAGGGGAATTATAGCAATAAAAAAGGTACTTCATTTTTGTTTTATTTTTCCAATTTCAATATGGGTTTACTTTATTACATCCATCAATTAATCATTTTTATTAATACATTTATACAAATTTGTTTTAATTAATGAAAGTAATATAAGATGTAAAAAAATTGCACTAAGAACTCCAAAAGCCTGAAAAGAGCCATAAGTATAAATAAATCATAGAAGAATTATCTGAATACTTTCTTTTTGGAGATCACCAAAAAGAAGAAATATTTGAGTATACTATTAAGATTATTAAGTTATTTGGCTGAACAAAATATATTAAGCTTATTTTACTAGAAACTCAAATCTGCAAATCATCAATTAACTATTTTTATTATTGAGAGGACATCCATGGTTATGTAAATTGTTGTGTCATTATAGCACTAATCTTTAAAATCCACTCAATATAAATTATGTCTTAAGCAACCCAGCTTTGCATGATTTTATTAACCATAACTACGACTTCAATAATCCAGAAATAGTAGATTATTATGTGAATTTCTTAAAGACTATTGCTATCAGAATTAATAGAGAAAATTTTTATCTTTATTTCAATTAGCGATATTGTACCTTCCCATTACTATGGTAAGCTTAGAAATTTATTGACTATCCAGATGAATTAGTTAAGAACACCAGCTAAAATATAGTTCTCAGTTTATCAAAATGTACAATATTGTAGAATATTCATCATAGTGTCATCCGAGCCTAAAAAAGAAAAGCAAACAGAATCAGTTATTGTTAATTAAAATAAAATTATGGTTCAATTTAAACTTTATTTAACCTCTTCACCTTTCAAATAAGTATACAATAAATACATATTTCAAATCTAATAAATGCTAGAGTCTTTCAATATAGATTCAAAAGATCAACTAGATAAACTTGAAGATGTTCTTATGTTTTTTAATGATCTCTTAACCGAATGTCCATTCTTATCTACTCTTCTGGAGAAGTTAATTTTAGATAAATTAATTTAGCCAATCTTAGATAGCCTTTTACTGGGTAGAAAAACCTCTTTTACTCTTGGATATGAAGTAGGACTATTTACAATTTATCTATTCCTTACGAAATTGCCTTTAGTATATCCAATAATGTCTTATTTTTGTGAAGATTAAATATTTATTGATGAGGCCATTCAAAATTAAAAAGAAGCGAAATAATAGTAATAATGGATATATGATACAAAGAATGTGGAGTTAGAATTCTAACATATTTTCTATAAGGAATTGGAAGTTAATTAAGAGATGAAGGAAGTAAAAAATAAGAAAACCAATCTAATAGTAAATCCATATAGAAATCATTTTCTAGAGCTGTTAAGAGTAATTATTATATCATTTATTTAGTCAAAACACAACACAATATTGCATCTCTATCTTTCCATTTGGTTTGTGGCCAAATAAAATAATTACTAAATACCATCAATGCAGATTATCAATGTAAAGATTATTTCTAATTAGTTATTAAATTTAAAAGAGGAAATTGTTTACTCTAAAAAGCTTCTTGAGTTAATAATTCTATTAACTATCAATGAGGATTTGAAGGAGTTGAAACAATTGTATTAACAATTAAAAAATAAGGTCGTATCTATAATTTAAAATTTAAAAGTTACAAACAAAAAATAAAGTGAAGGATTGTTTGTCAATTGGGATATTATAGAAAATTTTGATTGGGATATCTTTACAAATTCTCAACCTGCCTTAAAATTAGAGGATTTGAAACCATATAATCATAATAATAAACTTTCAGATTTTAACTATGTGTATTTGTGGATTTTATTGAAATGCTCAGTTAAAAATTATCAGAAGAAGGGAATAAAAAACTTATACAAAATTAACAAAGAAATCGAAGTGTATTAGGCGTGTGAACTGATACAATTAGCAAATTAATAAAATGTAATTAAAATTAAAGAATATGTAGTATTTGATTCTTGATGTAAATTCAGGTTATTTGATTCACACTGTCCTTTAAAAGAACTCTTAATCAGGAATTGTGAAATTTGTACAGCCTCTAAAAGCAATAGAATGCTCCTTTATGGAAGACGTTTTGATTCTAGAATGCAATAATTTATGCATCAATTAATTTTAACCATATCACTTAAAAATTCAATCAGATGTTATAACATCAGTAATTGACAGAATTTACTAAGCATAACAATCAATGAGTTAATTAATTATTAATAAATTGGAAGCACTTTATGATGAAAAAACTGATTTTTTTTTAATAAATTGATATAACACAAATAACTATATAACTCGATTTTCATAATGATTCTTTTTTGGTATTACTGATCAATAAATCACACAACATTCTGTTGCTTTCATCTTTTATTTGTTATCATAATTTAGATGTTTCCAACTCTCTACTAGTATTACGGTCTATAGTTCCCCCTATGTTATCTAATCCTTAAAACATATCCCGTGACACTTAGATCCTTTCAAAATCGGAAACCCTCTTTTGTCAGTTCTGAATTTAAGTTTTTTAATTTTTGGACTTAAGGTTGTATGCGATGTTAATTAAGTTTGGCTTTAAACTTTTTCCATAATTCTTAATAATTTTTCTCAAGGATATAAATTAACCCTTTTTAATCATCAAAAAGAGGTCCTCAATATATTGATTGATACACCTGCAATCAAGAAATGTTCAGCACTGACATGTTTTCAAAACTCTTTAAAATGAATGTTAAAATTGAATTCAAAGAAAACAAACTCATAAAATAAATCAAAGTTCTTCATATTAATAAGCAGCATTCATCAGCAACTTCCATATCATTTGAAGGCAAATTGAATTGTTTATAACATTCGACGAAAATTATATTATGAATAGGTTTCCCAGCCATCACTTCATCACAAAATGTGATCTTGTGTCCCTTCTATCCCTTTACAATCGGGCAGCCTGTTTTATCTAAGCGTGTCACTTTCGCAATTTTTATTTCTTCTTCCTTCAAACCTTCATTCTTTTCCATTTATTTAGTATTTTATCATTATAAATAAAAGTCATAAGTCATCCTTTAATAAAGTTGATAATAAGTATTAAAATGCTACAAAAAAAAGGAGATCGATTTCAAAATTTATTGTAAAATGCAATTTTACTTTTGATAGACTAAACCAATGGTTATAATTTTAAACATTACTATTTGTTAGAAATTTTTAATTTTAGTAAATTTGAAATGGTATAAATTATCATCTTTTTTGTAAATATGTTTTTGTTGGAAACAGAAGCACTTACAATTATTTTAAGAGATTTAAAATTATGATGTTATTATTTTTGAGGAAATGCTGAATAAAATATCATAAAATTATTAATAAAAATTTGTTAATATATTTTTAATTTGAATTTTGAAATGAGCTCTGATCTATAAAATTAATATGAAAATTTTAAGAAAACAATGAAGAAGGCGGAATACAAAGAATAATTCGCATTTGAATATGTTAAGGATAACAACCCAACTTTTTTTTTGAGAATACTCCACTACATTTTAATCGAATACAATTCAAGCTTTTATAAATGTACCTATTGCTTAAGATTGTTTGTTAGCCTTGGTTGATAAAGGATATGAGCTCTATTCCAAAAATGATTTGAGATTCACAGAATAAGTGTTCAAAATGCTTCAATTAGAATTCAACTATAAATCGTCAATAAATATAGCCTAATTTCTCTCAGAGCAATATTTAGAGCACAAATTAATCTTGATAAACGATATCTTTAATGAAGTATTGTAGAGAACAAAAAAAGAGAAAAAGGTGAATGTTTTCAAGGGATAAGAAAACAGTTCATACATATAAAACACATAAAACACATAAAAATAGCAAGAGTCGAATAATAAATAAAAACCTTAAGTATTTGTGCAACGAGAAAATTTCTAAAGTGAAGATGATGAAGAAGACATTGAACAACCAAAACGACCAGAACCTTATAAGATAACTTAATAAAATGAATTGGCTCCAAGGATAACCCCAAGCAATTAAGAATAATACCAATTATTAGAGTAATAGTGCAATTACACATAATAATGCAATTACACATAACAATATCAATAACAACCATCTCCTCCTCAATCTGATGAGAAAAATGATTCTTAGAATGAAATCTATGCTTAATAATCATTCAAATAAAAAATCAATTAAGTTTAATAAAGTTATCAAACTCAACCAAATATTTAAGTCTAATAAAATTATCAAACTCAACAAAACAATTAAGTTCAATAATAAAATGGTGTGAGTCATCAAGATCTCTAAAAATTGATGTAGGTAATATTGCTTAGCAATGACAACATCAAATCGATTATGCAAAAATTTTCAGAATTATAGACAACTGTAAACATGGCCTTAACAAATTTTGATTAGAGATTGACGAGGTTGGAATTAAAAATTCGTGATTAATGAATTATTATAGTTTTCATATTTATCAGCAAAATAATGCACTTAAACATAATATAATTATAAATGGGTTGAAGAGAGCAGGATTTCTATGATGATATATCTAAATAGATACCTTGATGCATATTTTATTTTTTAGCTTGCAATTAAGATAGATAACCAAGCCATAAATTGAAAACAATCTATTTGAAAATGTATAATTAATATTGATATTGAGGTTGGCAATAATATTAATAATGACCATGCAATAATCTCCCTTAATTGAGTAGTAATTTCCAGTCCTTCTGCAACAAATAATGAAAAAAGTGACATCTAATAAAAAGTATATCCGAGTATATAGATGATCATTGAAATATGAGACTTCAGCTCTTATTGGTGAAATTGAGCAACACTAAGAGAAAAGACCATCAAAATTATTAACTGCTTTAATATTTTGATCCAACTAATTTTTTTCTGGAAAACAGGTTTTTATTGATATGGCATTATTGATTATTCTGTTTTGACATCCTTAAAAGGAGCTTATTGTTAAAGTAAATTGTTGTTGCTTTATTTGCTTTGTCTACTTTACAATTCATTGTTATAACTTTGAATTTCAGGTTAACTACTCTCATATAAAATCTAAATTTTTGGATAGTCGGCTTTTGAAATTACAGGTTCTTTTTGTAACTACTCTAATTCTTTTTCAGCCAAATCATATGTAATAGATTTTATGGTTTTCAGAATTCCTATTTTGCTTTCGCCATCTTCCGAGTACCTCACCAAATTTACAGTTTCTAATATACTAAAATAAACACTACAATTAATAGGATGAACTTGCATATAGCTTTGTTTAATTGAGTTCAGTCCAAGTTAGCTTTTCTAGAAGTTTGATTGTTTAAAGTCTCCTAAAAAACTGAGCTATAAGCCAATTTTCTGAATATCTTTCTACTATTATTATCTCCCAAATTATAAAGATTATCCTTATTTGCTTCTAATAGGTTTGTTATGCTCTTGCTAGCTCTATTAACTAGAGCATCTTGATTCATTCTCAGACATAATTGGTGGCAGGTAACCTGGTAATTCGTGATCTGGTTCATTCCCTTTGATTCCATGCTCCGAGACCTCTGAATTGAGTCTTTGGTTATTGAAATACAATTAGAGGGAATTTTTTGCGGTGTAATAAAACTTCCCTAACATAAGTAGAGTTAATCCTATGATAACGACTACATAGAATAAGATACTCAATACAATTTGACTAACTTATTGTTTTCGTAAGGATATACAATATAAATAAGCTAGAGCAGCCTAATCCAACTTTTGAATTTTATTTTCCAGGAGCATGATCTCTTAAGAAAAACAAAGTTCCAACTAAGCTAAGCACTATCATAACGAAAACAGCCATATCTATGAGATGCATTATTAATAATTTTATTATAGAAGTAAAGAAATTACTTATATCAATCATTTCATATAAAACACCACCCATAAGGCGGTGTTATCTATATTTTTCTTTAAGACCACACCAAACTCACTGCTCTAATCGTCTTTGGGATCTAAGAGGTCTATGTTAATAAAACTTCCACTCAACATGTCTTGAATCAAAAATGGAACTCCAAAACTTATCTCTTTCTTTTATGGACCTAAATAATCAATAAGAAAGCATTTTACATATAATTCTCCAATGATGCTTTGGCTAATTGGAACTTAAATATAAATATTTGGATTCCTCTTCTTTTTCCATTGACAGATTCTAAATATAGCACCTTTATGATGGATTATACAACTCATAGACATTATTCTCTGTTGAGGATATTCTCCAATAATCTTAGGGTATGGTTTGTTTGTTTTTAATTGTCAAATACTTTTCAGTCTCAAATTAATTAGAAAAAGATAGGCAATATCCTGTAAAGTAATTTCGTATTTAAAAGTCTTTTATTAAATGGCAAATTGGTCTCTGGATGGACAAAGTTCTTAAACTACACTTAGGTATTATTTGAAAATAAGATGGTTATTCTGTATAGGTTGATGAACATTTCTCAATGTTGAAATAAAGATTTTTAATGTTATTTTTAAATACACATGGTTAGTTTCCTATTAAATTGTTTGAGCATTTGTTGAATACTTATGAATCAATACTCCCGTTCGAAAATTTCAATAATAGAGGCACTTTATCATTGTTTATGGGTATGTTCTTAGCTAAGTTTTATATTAAGACGTATTCACCAAATCTAAACTCATATTTTTATTCATTTTAATCATCACTTTATAGAATCCATTAAAATTGATTCCCACAATGAGGATCTATGTCACAAAACTCAAATTGAATGCCAGACTTATAGAAGCCTATTAACTTTTGATGCTATATTGACTTTATAAAATAAATGTTTTATTCCTTGTATGACCTTGAATCAGCATTCTATTTCATTTCTATTAATTTTGTGTAATTATTAATTTATAGATGTTTTTAAAATATATTTATTTAATATAGATCATTTTATGCCTAGGTGTTCTCCGATAATTTCTGCAAATTGCTTTTTTGTTACTTTTTCTGGAAAAATAGACTCATCTTTGAGTTGATATTGGGAAGCTGCCATAACTTTGAAAGCATCAATGGCTTACTTTTTAGAAATCCATCCGTCTTGTTTTAAATCAAATAGCTATTTGTTATAATGCTTAATTCATTTTACTGTGAAAATGTTATCAATTTCTTCTGGTTTGAATAAACCTGTTTTGAAACCGAATTTCTATTTTAACTGCAATTATTCAATCAAAAACTTTTTAATATCTCCTGGTTATTCGTATGAGATGGCTGTAGTCAAATCCTCAAACAATTCGATTATTCTATGCTATCTAATATATAAGTCAGCCTTTTCAATTCTATAATTCATTATAATAATTATTAATTTTATTATCATAGCAAATAACTATTTTCTCCTTTTTAAGAAAACCTTCATTGTTTAACTCCTTTATAAGAAATAATAAATCAAGTTGCAAATATATTTCTCTATCATTTTTTAGAAATTTAATTGATGTATAAATGATCTAAGCTCTCCTTTCTCATATATATTATATCAGATTCTTATTAATTCATAATTGATGCAAATATTCTTGCTTACAATATATAATACGAATGCAAGTTGTGAATTTTTATTTGTTAAATATGAATTCTAAATAATTTCATAGAATTCATTAAATATTGTAGTAAATTTTTGGTTTATAAATTCAAAATATTCTATGAAAAAATTTCATAAATAAATTCCTATTTAGCTAATGGGAAGTTAGAATAGAGCAATTGATGGATTTTTGAATGTTTATTAATTATAAGTGATAATTTGATCTATAGAATATGAAAATAGAAGATATTTTAACTACCACGTCATTTAGTTTATATTCTTAAAATTTAAAGAGTTTTCTAGAATAATATTTTTATCATACGTTGATGAAAGCAATATTCTTTGCATTACTAATTGCTCTGTCTATAGCCAACTTCTCAGGAACAGATGTTCATGAGCTTACTTAAGATGATTTCAATGCAAAAGTGCAAGATTAGAAAACCTTCTGGGTCATAGTGGAATATTCTAATTTGAGCTCAGAACAAAGAACTCAAGTTGTTTTGGCTGCTGAAGCTCTCAAGGGAATGATTAATGTTGGAGCACTTTCAAATGGAAGTAGCACAGTCTTAAGAGTCTATTCAAATGGATAGGCAATCGAATATCCAGGAGAATGGGAAGCCTAAGAAATTGTTAACTTTGCTTTTGATTAAATCAGAGATGTATGATTAAATTAGTAATTAATCTTAGTTTGCCTTCAAACGAGTCGGCAAAGTACCTAAGAAGTAAGGAGAGAAAACCCCAGAACCATAGATAGATGAAAGTGATGTTATCGTGTTGACAGACGACAATCTTGATGAAACTATTCTCAATAGTAAAGATGCTTGGTTTGTAGAATTTTATGCTCCTTGGTGTGGTCATTGGTATCAAATCTAAATGTAATCATTTTTAGTAAGAAATTGGCACCAGAATGGGCTAAATTGGCAACAACTCTCAAGGGCGAAATAAAAGTAGCCAAGATCGATGCTAGTGTAGAGGGATCTAAGGCAAAGGGCAAATATAAGGTGGAGGGATTCCCAACCATAAGATTCTTTGGAGCAGGAGAGAAAGTAGATGGTGATTTTGAAAGTTTCGATGGAGCCAGAGACTACAATACTCTTCTCAGTTATGCTCGAGAAACTAATAGAAAATTAAAGCCTCTCTTCTTTGAATAATTGGTCAACTAACAATAATTCACAGACAACTGTTTGAAATCCACTGGCTTATGTGTTTTATTGTTCGTTCCCCACATCTATGATTGCGATTAGGAATGCAGAGATGCATATTTGAACACCTATAGAGAGACTGTGAAGCCATTGAAATCCAAGCCCTTGGTTCACTTTTGGTCTTAAGCAGGAGATCAATATGAATTGGAAGAACAATTTGGATTGTCAGGAGCTGGGTATATATCATGATGATAATTAATAGTTATCCTTCAGTTTTGGCTTTGAGTCCAAAGAAATAATTGTTCTCCAAGATGAGAGGTTCTTTGACTTCAGCAAATGTAGATAGATTCTTGAACAATCTTTTAAATGGTAAAGAATAAGTTTCCAGATTCGGATCAGTTGTACCTATAGAAGAAGTTAAAAATTGATATATATAATAATTTTAAATGTACAAATTCATAAAGCTTCTTTTCTTATTGTTATTGTTTTTTTTGGAGGTCCTTATAACAAATCATTATCATTTCCTACAGATGCTTCTGAAGACAACGTATCATTATCACTCATCACATCATCTGAGGTGTCATCATTTAAGGGTTTAGTCAACTGTTGTCCCTCATCTTAAGGTGGTTATTATCCAGTAGAACAAGTTCTGCAACAATCACTCCAGCCCTTGTATCCATCTCCGAAGAAGAAGAACAATGTTGCTGCAATCAATTACCACAATCCTAAGCAAATCATAGCTCCTCTGAAGGCTTCCCTTTCTTAATCGATCAACTCTTGAGGTGGTGAGCCACTGAGATTGACATTACCACCAAATCCGTCATACACCGATCCTCCCAACAATGGGCCTACCAAAGAACCACAACCCATTGACATGATAAACAGGGCAGATGCCATATCAGTTAAGTTATTTCTAAGATATAAATGCCAAATTATACTTGAATTATGGATCTGTCACAACTGGAGCTAAAAACTCACTTATTTGTGGAATACTGGGAATCATTGAGAATGATTGCGAAACACCAACCAATATCAATCCAATAATAACACTTGCTAGTGTATTACCTTCTCCCCAAAATGGAGCTTCCAACATATTTCCACTAAAGCATACCACCAAAGCCAATGACATCATGAAAGTCTTCTTAACGTATTTTCCAATTTTGGGGATAATGTTAACCATACCAATATAGAAAATAGCAGGAATTGTTAGGATGAAGGCAGCAATATTTTCAGAAATTCCAAAGGATTGCATGTGATTAACAAAGAATGGATTGAAGTAAGTGTAACCTGCTGTGATGGACATGACATTCATTATTGTTACTATGACCTTGATTGAAGTAAATGCTTTTCCAATAGGGAGTTTCTTCTTTTTTTCAAAACTCTTCATAGTGCTATCAGGAGGTAACTGGGTATAAGTAGGAATTTCAGCACAAAGGAAAAAAATGGCAATAACGAAAAATGGGATGGAATATCCGAATGCATAGTTCAAAACACTGCCTATCATAGGTCCAAACAATAATCCCAATCTATATAGATTTATAAATATCTTTACGCAGTCATTGTTTCCATAATTGCCAACTTTTTCTAAAATTCTCCTGGCCAAAATATTGGTACATAAGCAAATGTCACAGTGGAATAGACAGATCGACTCATACCTTAGAAAAATCTGGATATGAGGGACATTGAAAAGAATAAGGCTTTATTGTCTGTCATGAAATTGAGGCATCCGAAAAGGATTTAGACAGATGATTGCACTACAAGAGCTATCATTAAACATTTCTTTCGACCTAATTTAATATTTAAACTATACCCCAAACTTGGATAAAACTTCCTATAACAAAACTAAACAGAATAGAGCCCAGTGGATTGATACTAAACACCAATCCTATTTAAGAGTATGACAGACCAGCCTTGTCTGCAGCCAATCCAGGATAAAAAGGAGCGATTTGTGAAATACCAACATTGATTACAAAATTAGTGATGCAAAATGTCATCAACCTAGGATCGACACATTTACTAAAGAATTCGTATAAATGATTCGTACCCTTCAAATTTAGAACTGTTGTAGGTTGATTCCTTCTTGTCCTCAGGTTCCAAGACCGAAAATGGTTACATTAAGGGCTTCTAATCTCCTTATTAGTCAGATGACATAGATATTAATTTGTTAAAAATTTTATGAAATTCGGAATCGAAACAGTCCCAAAAGAATTTCATAAAATCTTATCTCTATTTCTTATATTGTATATTATATATCACTCTCACAACTCAATGTCTTCCTGGCATTTGCTCCTTCTTTGGTTCCAATTTAATCATGTCGTCAATTCTCAAAATCGTTATAGCAGCCTCTGTTGCAAATCTATTCAATTACTTGCAATAATAATTACTTCAATGCCTTGATTTTACTGACTGTTGGCTCAAGTACTCCATGTCTAAGATTGTGTCTGACTTCTCCTTTAACCAAATCCAAGCCACTATACTTGTATCCCTTCTCATCGACCTCCAATGATTGTGACTTACTGTGTAAAACCCTCAATTTACTGATTAAATCGATGGAATCCTTTGCAGCATTTGTGGCCAAGATCTTTGGAATTGAAGTCAAGGCTTCTGCAAATTCAGCAATAGCAATCTACTCATTGGAATCCAACTTTCTTGAATAGTCATCCAAATAAATGCTCAATGCCATTTCAACTGCTCCACCACCAGCAACAACAGAACCTGACTCCAAAGTTCTCTTCACAACACATAAAGAGTCATGTAACGATCTCTCAATTTCATCAGTCATCAATTCATTGGCACCTCTCACAATGATACTTGCTGATTATTCCTTCTTCATTCCCTTGAAGAATATGTAATCATTATCTCCAATAGCCTCTTCATAAACTTCCTATAATTATATTGTATTCTATTACCTCTGCTTCTCCCAAACAAGTTGGATCAAATGACTCTCCAGTTTCCTCGTTTGCAAATGTTGTGACTACCTTAGCACCTGCAGCTTTGGCAATTCTTCTCAAATGATCCTTAGGAACTCTTCTCAATCCAATGGCTCCTGCTTCTACTAAATATTTATTAGCCAAATCATCCATTCCCTTTGAAGTTAAAATGACATTGGCTCCTGCCTATAATAACAATTGAATTCTCTCTTTCAACACATCCATTTCCTTCTTTCTGATTTTCTCTAAATTATTGGGATCATCGACCAATATTTAAACTCCCATTTACATCTTAAATTTATTCAAATTTATATCCAAACAGGCAATTTTAGCATTCTTTACCTTTGTTACCATTTATTATGATGCTCTTTATAATTAAATGACATATCCCTTCACTAATTCTGATTAATTTGATGATTAACCATGGCTTTTTACAACATTGATGGATTGAATGGGATACTTAGCTTTACCAGAGACCAAACCTTAGGTCTTGACCAATCTAACTGCATCTACGGCCAACTTAGCGAAGATGTGACTTTCTGGACCAATCACTTTACTATTCATTGAAGTTTTGGCAGCATTTATTAATATTTCAGTGTCATCTTCAGTGATTTTATGTACCAAATGAGATTGAATGTATTTTACTGCTTGTCTGGCTGCTAATTTGTATCCGGATATGATTGTGGTGGGATGAACTTTAATTTTGATTAATTCATTAGCGCGGCGAAGTAATTCAGCTGCTAATACAACCACCGATGTGGTGCCATCTCCCACTTCTTTATCTTATAATTAACTCAACTCTACAATGACTTTGGCAGCTGGATGTTCAACTTCCAATTGTTTTAGAATAGTTGCTCCATCATTTGTAATTACTACATCTCCAATCTCATCAACGAGCATCTTATCAAGTCCTTGTGGTCCAAGACTTGTCTTGACAACATTTGCAATTGCCATGACAGCAGTTACATTACTTGTACGCACATCTTAACCTTGATCTCTTTCACCACGAATTCCCACTGCAGACATTTTAATTAATTTTATAATTATTTGAATAATTTGAGAAAATTTAATGCATCTTTTAAATTATTTCTTTTATAGTTCTTATATGAAATTATTTAGAATATAATTAGCATTGAATTATAACACTTAAGTGCCAATCCTATATTATTAATTTAAGTAGTATGATCTATAGTAACACAAAAAATAACAAATGATATCAGAATTTACTTAATATTTTTGATATTTCTTGAAGTTTGGAATAAGACATAATATATTATTGATCATTTATTAAAACGATTAAAAGTCCCCATTTTCTCCACCTATTTTATGAATTCTAAATGTTGGATGGGAGTTAATGATTATGTAAACTGATTGATTGTTTCTTCAATCTCTTGTTAATTCTATTTTAAGTTTTTGATGTCCTAATTAAATTTGAGTAACAATCTAGAGTTAGACTTTTTATTCATACTATTAAGACATCTTGCGATGATTAAGCATTCTATCGATCGTAGGCAGGACACGATAAACAAGATTATCGTCATCTAGTTTAGCCTCCTCCTTAACAATTTCTACATATTGATTGAATTCAGTGTCATCTAATTTGATAAATAAAATACTCTTTACAATTTTAAATTTATTAATTCCAACTCATAAGTTGGAGTCCATAATTGCCTTTGAGAAAGTTCTTCTGAATATTTTTCACTGCATATTTAACATAATCTCTCCTTTTGATTCCACAAGTACCATATCTCATCTACAATGTTTAAACAATTTAAATACTAAGTATGAATCCAACACCAATTAAGCTTGATCAGGCGATGAACACTCTAAGACTTAGTCTATGGCTCCCGAATTACCAATAATCATGCTGTTTAAAATAGGATGAGATTGCAATATCTGTGTCAAATACTCAAATGACTATCTCGTAGTTTTTTTGTATTCTTGAATTTACTGATCTAATTCGGAAACCTAAAATAGTTACATAACAATATTACCTTCTTTTCAAGCAATTTCAAATAAACTTTTTTTCTAAGTCTGGAATTTTTAGCGCTTTGTCTCAATCTTTTATTTTTTGATTCACTATTCAACAAATCGTTATTTGATCCCAAAAGACCTGCCAACTTGCTTTTATCTTGCATTTCCGAATAACTCTCTAAATCCAAATCTTCTTGTAAGTCCTCATCAAGCAACTTGTCTCCTTCCACACTCAACAAGGAAGTGATTTTCTTGATGTAGGCATTTTTAACATTCCCTTTGATTTCCTAGATGGGTTAAGCGCAATCCTTAAGACTTGTTGTTGATGGAATGGTTTTGATCGTTTTATTGACTTTCTTTATTTTCTTACTCTCTTAATTCACTTGTTATTGAATCAAGGGATTCATAAGCATGCTATTAGTGAAGAGACTCTATAGGTCTAACATTCTCTATTGTTCGTGTAATTGTTGCAATAATCGAACATTTTAAGCTAGGAGTTAGTCTTATGTGATAGCCTGTTATAGCATATTCGAAATGGTCTATTATGTGGCTAGGGGATGAAGAAATTGATCGACATCTTCAAATGGTTAATCATTACTCATTATATAATATTAATTAATTAATCATCTTCTCTTGGTATATGACTTGTTGTTCAAGTACTCATTCAAGTCATTTTTGGCATAATTGTTATACTGTTTCTTTGGATGATACACGTTCTCCTTGTTTTCATTATTAAATGGGGATGATCTCTCTTATGGCTTGGTTTTCTTATTTTGATTGTTGTTGCCATTGCTGTTACACTACAAAAACACTTAACCAAACTACTCATTCAATGGTTCTTTCAAGTCGTTCTTATTATTCTTTGAAATGTATGCTCTGCACAATTGCTAATCTTGAACTGGCAATTAATTGAGGATTTGTGATAACTTAGTGCATGGTAACTAGTTGGTATTCTACAATAAGAGCATCAGCTCTGAATTGTCTATAGAGACTAGATTATCTAGATTGTTCACATTGATATCTGATTTCAATGCCAAAGTGACTACTTTGGTGATTATTGGATAAGTCTGCTCATCAAGTGGATGGATCAATAAGGAATTGATGGTGGTTTCCAATTGCTAGTGTTGTATTCTACTTTCATCCAACAATTGATAGAGTCTATTTAACAATGGGATTGCTGATGCTAATTGCTTATCTTAACTATGTAATCTAATGATGATCAATAATAGTTGTGTTGATTGAGGAATTTGATGTTGGAACTAATCGTAAATTTGAACACCATTGTGATACTATTATTAATTTAAGCAAGATTCTAGAATCAATTGTAGTAGGGATTCATCTGGATTGATCTGATAGTGTAACATAGTCTATACAGTTTCATTCAATCTCTTCATGTTACCTCTTCTGCAATGTCCTTTCAACAAAGTACTAAATGTAATTAGATCTGGCTTGATTGTTGACTCTACTAATTCTTGGAATAATTTATCTGCTTAATTCATCAATCCATTTTTAACTAATCCGTCTAATAGGGAATTATAAGTTATAAGATTTGGATATGTTCTTTAATTTTATTTCATTAAATTGAAATATTTCATAGCCTCTTCAGTCTAATTCAACTTACAAAATCCTTTGATTATGGTTGTATATAAGACAGTGTTGATTGGTAGGTTCTGTGATTTCATTTATTCAATGAATTAAAGCGCTTAATCTAATCTATCATTTCGAACACAAGCATCTACCAAACACCCATAAGTGACATCATTGATTGGTATCTTCTTTTGTTTCATCTCTTCGAACATTCTGAATGCTCCATTCAAATCATTCATCTTACCATAGGCCTTAATCAGAATACCATATGTAACTGAGGATGGTTCAATTGATTTATTCTTCATTTCCTTGAATAATTGCATTCCTTTTTAGATCTCATTGAATTTAACGCAAGCATCAATCAATGAGTTATAGAGAATCTCATCTGGTTTGAATTGACCAGTTTCTTAGATTTATTCTAATAAGGAAATGGCTCTTAATAATTCATCTCTGTTTGAATGATTAGTCTTTATGCCATTAACTAAGATACTGTAGGTGAAATTGTCTGGAAAGATGCCATATTACTTTCTCATTTCCTCAAAGTATCTCCAAGCAACATTCATCTTATTGCATTTAACACAAGAATCAAGTAAGGAGTTGAAACTTATTCTATTTGGTTTGATCCCAATTTATTTCATCTCTTCAAATAAATTAATGGCTTCATTTAATCTCTTCTTTCTTCCACATCCCTTAATCAATGTATTATAAGTGATTTCATCTAATTAAATTGATTATGATTGCTTCATCTCATTCAACAATTAAAATCCTCTATTCAAATCACCAGCATTTATGCAAGCATCTAATAAACAATTGTAGATGATTTGATCAGGTTGATTGAATTGCTTATACTCTTCAAATAATTAGAATGCTAATCTGAGATCCATATTATCAGAATTCTTTAACCCATTGATTAAAGTAGTATAGGTGAAATTATCAGGTTTTGTAGATGTGAGTTTGAGATTCTCAAAGGTTTTCCAAGCTTTGTCTTTCTAGTTGTTCTTGAAATACTAATCTATCATTGTGTTAATAGTGACAATTGTAGGTTGAATCTTAGCGTTATCTCTCATAAAGGTAAGCAAGAATTCAGCCATTGTGACTTATTGTTTTCTGAAGGCATAATCAATCAATTTATTGAAGAAGATATCAGATGGATGCAAATTAATGACACCTTCATTCAAAACTTCGTTGAACAACTTCACCCAATGATTGTTTGAATTGCTTAATTCAATTAATTATCTTAGGAGCATGTCACAGATCTTTTAGGCTGTTTTCTCGAATTCATCTTTGATTGATTCATTAATCTCCTTGCTTAACTTGAATTTCAATAGGTCCCAACATTCTGCTACTAAACCCCAATACAATAATTAATGGGCATAGCAATATAATATCAATGGAAAATATTAAATTTAATGGTATTATTACAATTCCTCTTTTTATATCATTTATTCTAACAAGTTATCTATTTCATAAAGAGCATAGTAGCCTTCTTATGCTCCAATTCTGGATGACACACTAAATATCATCTTAATGATTTATCGAGTGAGCAAATAATTCTTACTTGTTAATATAGCTGTTAATCCAACAATCCTCTATTTCAAATATTCCTTCTCTTATTTCACTATCATCTCGATAATATGAGTTATATAATTGGACTTGACCCAATCAAGATCTTCAAATTCATCCAAATAGGAAAGTATATCAGGCACATTATTCGAAGTCAAATATTACTCTAATCTAGATTAACATACGATGGCTTAATTAGGGGATAATTGAGTAGTTTTGACTGGCCCTACTTAAAAGCATGATATCTCTATGTCATCATTGGTAGAATGGCTAATTTCTCCAGTGCTTGAAAGAGTAATAGGTGAATGAATACTTCGCACTCCAAGGTGTTTTTTATCCTGAACTTCTAGGAATCTTCTTTTGCTGTGAAGATGAGTTACGAATGATGTTTGGATCAATATTTTCCTAATTGTGAATAGTATCAGACTTGTTCATTGACTTAAAAAATTTATATTTAAATTAATTGAATTCAAATTCTTTAACTGTTAGTTTTAAATATATTTTTATGCGTATAAAACATTGATATATCATTTTCATATTAAATTCTGATTCCCAAATATATTTTTTGGATCGATTTGTTACTTAATTCTCTTTAAGATCTCAACTCCTGTGTCTCCAATTTACTTTTACATAAATTGCTTTCTCAATTTACCCACACCTATTAATTGAATAATTTCCAACAAATACCATGATGATGAGAGATGGACCCTCCATTTTTCATTATCTCCTCCCTTGCTGCATCCTCAATCTCAGAATAACACTTCACAGGATCTGCAATTCCCTTGTAGCCGAAACCAAAATAAACATAAATTGTTGCACCAGAATCATAAACCTGAGAAATTCTAAAAGACACGAAAGGTTCCTTCTCCACTCCTCTCTTTGAACATTCCTCCACAATCCTTCTTTGTATCTAAATATACTCGAATTCTCTCTTACATTTTCACAAACACTAGGCACATTTTTCCATCCAACGGCAGTCTCAAAGGATTCAGCTATAAATTAAAACTACATAGCGAAATCTCTTAAGTAGGCTATCATGTAGGTTAAGAAGTATCCTCTCTCCCCATTTTCAGCCCCTGCTCTAAATCCTTTATAAAATTTAGCTAACTCAAACACTTTCTTCTCTTGGAATTCAATTTCTTGTTTAGTTCCCTCAAAAACAACAGTAACCAAACACATTTAATCTGGATCAAATTACATAAATTGAGTGACAAAGTATTTCTTGATCTTATCCATGAATTCCTCCCTCTTGCTATGAGGCATAGTTTTCAACGCCATACCAAATTAGAACTGATTATTATCAACCAATCTCACAGATGCAGGCCACACCTTACTTCTGGATAATCGATACATAAATTCAGTGCCCAGAGCAAAATTGTGAAACAAAATAGATTCATATTTGCAAACCTTAATTTAAATTAATAAAATTACCTCAGGTTAAGCCTTAATTTTAATAACTGCTTCAGTGATAATACCCAATGTACCCTCTGATCCTAAAACAATTTAGTTTAAATCAGGTCCACTGCTGACTCTAGGATAATCCAAACTTTGCTATAATGTCCCAGTTGGTGTTACCACTTTAACAGAAAGTACGATATCTTCGATATTGCCATATCTGTTCTTTTTCATGCCTGAGGCTCTAGTGCTTATCCAACCTCCAAGTGTAGAGAATTCAACGGAATCAGGCTCATGACCACAGACAACTCCATAACGAGACAACTCTTTTTCCAAATCTTTGCCTGTAATTCCAGCTTCTACCAAGGCAGTCATATTCTTTCTATCTACCGATCTAACGTGATTCATTCTTGACATATCAACAGACACTATCATTCTCCTTTCCTCCTTGGGACATTGCAGAGCCCAAGTTACATTAGTACCACCACCGTATACGCATAACATCACATTATGTTCCTAAGCTAATTTGACAAGCGCTTCTGCTTATGCGTGTGAACTGATGTAGATAACACAATCTACAATTCTAGCCAATTTGCCATGTCTTAATTCATAAATCTAAAGTATGAATAAAGTATTTAACTTCTTGCATGGTGTGTCCATGAGAATGTAATATTCTCTAAGCATTATCAAATGAGACCTCATTGAATAACCCTTAGATGGCATTGACAAATTATTCATTAATAATCGGGGGATCTGCAGGTATTTCAACTTATGCTTCACAATTCAAACTTAAATCGATGCCAACTTTAGCTTCTGCCCACTCTTTAAATTTCATCATTTTTTAATTGGAAAACCTATATTTACTTCCTGTCAATCTGACTGCCCCATCCTATTCCAAAATGAATTTTGTATCTTTGTAACCCCATCCATTGTTCTTAAACCAATCTAACTTGTATTGGGTCTTCTAATTTGAGATATGGCATAATCAACATACTTGCTCAGGTGGTTGTCCCTTGGATCCAGCAGTTTCTGAAATTTGGGCGTGCAATTACTAAATTCGAATCATAATTTAATTTATATCGCAAAATAGAGTAATGTTAACATATGGATGTTTCAAAGTATATTCAATTATCTCATGAACCCAAGAAGAGGCAAGGATAAGTCTTATTCAAATTGAAATCTAGTATGAGTCATTTCAGGCGGTGTTCTAATCATGCATGGACTCTTGCACAAGTCTACAAATAATTTAAGAAATCAGAAATACCATAGAGTTTCTTGGCTTGCTCTGCTGAAACGATTGAATCTTTGAGTCCATGCAGAATGTAGAGAGGACATTTGACCCTCAGTATTTTATCTTTGTTTGTGAATCTCTCTTTGAGCATTTTCCTAAGTAAGGGGTACTTCTCCTAAACAATTTCTTGTAAGGACAAGAAGGGAGAGATCAAAACCAGAGTGGCTGGTCTAAACACTGAGGCTACATGACATGCAACTCCAGTGCCAATGGATCTTCCCATCAAAATAATATTCTATTCCTCTACGCCGGAATGAAAAGCCATATATTTGTAGATGTATTCGGCGTCTTTCAGAATAACCTCCTCAGAGGGCTCTCCTTGATAAATACCATAGCCAGGGTATTCGACTGCGAGAATGTTCATTCTCATATTGTGTCTGAGGAAGTCTACCAGATTGTAGGAAGACTTGAGATCTTCGCAATTGGCATGGAAATATATGATGGTTCTTTTGGTCATGGTGTAGGATTTCAAATACAAGCACGGAATCTCCTTCACCGATTTACAACTCCTGTTTGATAGTGTGGGAGGCAAGGCTTCATTGTTAAAAGAGACTCGAGGGGAGATGGACAATCTCAATCCACACCTGCTAGTTTGGAATGGAGGTTTTGGTTAGAGGGTTGTAGTTTAAGTGATATGAGGAATTCTTTAAGTGGGCAACTCGTCCACTTGATCGTCATACATGGATTGAGTACTGACATCCTAGACTTAGATGAGATTCACATACTTGGGGGGGAATGTCGTCAGGAGGCTTAAAGGGATGCATTTTATGAAACTAGATTTTGGTTTTGGGAGAGGTGGGTAATAATTTAAATATATCTTCGTAATATGGAATTTTGATTAGTTCCTAGAGGATAAGACAAATAAAGCAACCTTGAGATCTCCTTCTCTGTAAGTGTTTTTCGGGATAGGAAATATCATAAAGTTTAATTCCATTGATTTTATTAATTTATTAATGCAATAATAAGGGTAAGGATAAGGCAGTACCATTTAAGATTTCAACGTCCTCGAAAAACTAGGAGAGGGATCCTTCTCCTCCGTCTACAAGGTAAGGGCAGCCTGATTATGTAGGTGTAACGGAAATCGGATGGGCAATATTATGCAATGAAAAAAGTCAATATATCTCAGTAGACTTATAAAGAGCGAGAGAATGCCTTAAATGAAATTCGTATATTGGCCTCACTTGACTCTCCCTACATCGTTGAATTCAAAGACTCCTTTCTTGATTCCGAAGGCAAGACGCTGTACGTGATAATGGAATTTGCTTCTGGCGGAGACCTAAATAGCTTGTTGAAGCAAGGCAAACTCAAAGGGGGAGTTGAAGAATCTGAAATCTGGAGAGTCCTAACTTAAATAACCATAGGAGTCAAAATGCTGCATGACAACAATATCTTGCACCGAGATTTAAAATTGGCGAATGTCTTTATAGCCAAATCTCCAGAAGGGAACATATACAAAATTGGTGACTTGAACATCAGTAAGGTTACGCATGGAGCCAATGCTCGAACATAAGCTGGAACACCATGTACTATAATAAATCCTATATATTATTAGATTACGCATCTCCAGAAGTTTGGAAGGGCGAACAGTACTCTTGGCCCTGTGATATCTGGTCCATTGGTTGCATCATCTATGAATTGGCAGCTTAACAACCTCCCTTTAGAGCAGCCGATCTCTAATCCTTAAGCAGAAGAATTCAAACTGGTGTTTATGATCCAATCCCAGGAAAGTATAGCAAGGATTTGTCAGAAGTCATTAAATTGATGTTATAGGTCGTTCCTCGTAACAGACCCAGTTCCGATGCCATTCTAAAAAACCCTATAGTTATAAGAAACAGTGGCTCATTGCTTGTCGAAGAGGAAGTTGGAGGAAAGAAAGTGGCGAAACTCTTGCAAACCATCAAATTACCTTATAACCTAAAGTAATTGAAGGGCAATCTTCCTAAACCTAATTACGAAAACAAAATCAAAAGATCAAGTTCACAATCTGGAATCAGAGTCAATACTGATATCAGCTAAACACCTTAGCCAGTAAAGAAATAACCAGAAGAGTCAAAGCCTCCTCAATTATATCAAAAACCTCCTCAATAACAATAACCTTAATCATAAGTGATTAGCAAGCCCCCTATATTAAAACCTCCTATGGCTTAACCACCAAAACCACAGTAACCTCAGACTCCTTAATAATTGTATAATAAAGTACAATAATAAGAATAGAGATTAATTGGACAACAAAAGTAAAGAATTGATTTTTATTGTAGATATCCCAGTCCTGTATATCAACAGCAATAGTAGATTACACCAAGAGCCTAGTCTCCAAGAGGAAACCTTCAGCAGAGTAATTAAAATAGAGCTGCTGGTATGCCATCTGGCATGAGGAGACAATACAGTGCTGGCCCAATTTAAAGAAGATGATTAATATATATTATCTAATTCGATAATAAAATAAATAATATTATAATGCACTCAGAACAAATTTTGAAACAATTCTTAAATGAGTTAAAAATTCAACCCTCAGATCCTCTAAACATTGATTCAGAGAAGTTCTTCAAAAAACAAACAGGTCAATCTGAATTGATTTTGATATCCAGGAATGTCGGGAAAATTAATAAGCGTAATNAGTCAATATATCTCAGTAGACTTATAAAGAGCGAGAGAATGCCTTAAATGAAATTCGTATATTGGCCTCACTTGACTCTCCCTACATCGTTGAATTCAAAGACTCCTTTCTTGATTCCGAAGGCAAGACGCTGTACGTGATAATGGAATTTGCTTCTGGCGGAGACCTAAATAGCTTGTTGAAGCAAGGCAAACTCAAAGGGGGAGTTGAAGAATCTGAAATCTGGAGAGTCCTAACTTAAATAACCATAGGAGTCAAAATGCTGCATGACAACAATATCTTGCACCGAGATTTAAAATTGGCGAATGTCTTTATAGCCAAATCTCCAGAAGGGAACATATACAAAATTGGTGACTTGAACATCAGTAAGGTTACGCATGGAGCCAATGCTCGAACATAAGCTGGAACACCATGTACTATAATAAATCCTATATATTATTAGATTACGCATCTCCAGAAGTTTGGAAGGGCGAACAGTACTCTTGGCCCTGTGATATCTGGTCCATTGGTTGCATCATCTATGAATTGGCAGCTTAACAACCTCCCTTTAGAGCAGCCGATCTCTAATCCTTAAGCAGAAGAATTCAAACTGGTGTTTATGATCCAATCCCAGGAAAGTATAGCAAGGATTTGTCAGAAGTCATTAAATTGATGTTATAGGTCGTTCCTCGTAACAGACCCAGTTCCGATGCCATTCTAAAAAACCCTATAGTTATAAGAAACAGTGGCTCATTGCTTGTCGAAGAGGAAGTTGGAGGAAAGAAAGTGGCGAAACTCTTGCAAACCATCAAATTACCTTATAACCTAAAGTAATTGAAGGGCAATCTTCCTAAACCTAATTACGAAAACAAAATCAAAAGATCAAGTTCACAATCTGGAATCAGAGTCAATACTGATATCAGCTAAACACCTTAGCCAGTAAAGAAATAACCAGAAGAGTCAAAGCCTCCTCAATTATATCAAAAACCTCCTCAATAACAATAACCTTAATCATAAGTGATTAGCAAGCCCCCTATATTAAAACCTCCTATGGCTTAACCACCAAAACCACAGTAACCTCAGACTCCTTAATAATTGTATAATAAAGTACAATAATAAGAATAGAGATTAATTGGACAACAAAAGTAAAGAATTGATTTTTATTGTAGATATCCCAGTCCTGTATATCAACAGCAATAGTAGATTACACCAAGAGCCTAGTCTCCAAGAGGAAACCTTCAGCAGAGTAATTAAAATAGAGCTGCTGGTATGCCATCTGGCATGAGGAGACAATACAGTGCTGGCCCAATTTAAAGAAGATGATTAATATATATTATCTAATTCGATAATAAAATAAATAATATTATAATGCACTCAGAACAAATTTTGAAACAATTCTTAAATGAGTTAAAAATTCAACCCTCAGATCCTCTAAACATTGATTCAGAGAAGTTCTTCAAAAAACAAACAGGTCAATCTGAATTGATTTTGATATCCAGGAATGTCGGGAAAATTAATAAGCGTAATACAGAATAATAAAGAACTATTGTTATTACAAGTGAAAATTTATATAATATTGATAAAAAAACAATTAAAAGAAAGATATAAATTCAAAATATTTTTGGTGTTACTGTCTCCAGATCAAGTTTTGAATTTATTTTGCATGTGCCTACAGAAACTGATTATCATTACAAATCCCAAGAGAACAGAGACATCATTTTATTTTACTTATCCATAGCACTAAAACTCAAAAATAAAGACGGTTTGAGAATATATTTAGTGGATTAAGAAGATCTGCAACCATTTTGTTAGCATTAAAAAACCTCAGATCTTAAGAAATAAGTCTCATTACATCCTAAATCCAAATTACTATTACTATACCCTCACGATTTCTAATTGCAATATATTAACATGTAAAACCAACCTACTAAAAGTTTGAATCTCAATCACAAAATTTCAGTGCTCTTTGTGAATGATAAATTGAAATTTAGAGTTAAATTAGAAGATTATGATAAAAATGCCATCATAAGTGATGGTTCCTTGACCAGAATCCTTTTATTAAGTTAGAAAACTGATCGCTAAAAGGTTCTGGCCTTGAAAACAATTAGGTCTACTGATATTGATGTAGATTTAATGGAATTCTTTCTTAACAGCTATGAAAATGAACCCTTCATCGAATAATTGGAACTATGCATAAGACAAACAGAATTAATTCACTTTCTTTTTAAGTTTGTTAAAGGAGGAGATCTCTTTGCTCATCTTTAAAATGTTGGTGCCTTTACAGAGAGTTAAGTAAAATATATAATAGCCTAAGTTGGCATGGCTCTATAGAGTGTGCATGAAAAAGGGATTACTTATGGAGATTTAAAACCTGAAAACATTTTAGTAGATGAATAAGGATACGTCTATTTAACTGACTTTGGCTATGGAAAATTGAGAGTGTATGAGGAGTATAAAAAATAATAAAGTATCAACTTTTCTCTCGAATATGCATCTCCAGAATATTTGAGACATGGAGATTTGACTAGAATGTCGGATTGGTATAGCATGGGAGTATTGCTTTATGAATTGCTCATGGGAATATCTCCATTTTATAATACAAACAAAGAAGTTGCTATTAAATTGATATGCTAAGGTGAATTGCATTTCCCAAAAGGAATCCCTATATCTATTGAATGCATAGATCTCATTTCCAAATTGTTGTAGCAGGATTCTTCTACAAGAATTGGATTCTCGAATGATTTCAAAGAAATTCAAGCGCATCCATGGTTTTCAGAAATAGATTGTGTTGAATTAAAACAAAAAAAAACAGTGTTACCATATATTCCAAATATCATTGAAGGAACTCTTATATAAACACAATATATAAAGTTGGAATCACTACAAGATGATGAAAAGGGTTGGTACTGAAACTGAGAATTAGTTANAAACAGGTCAATCTGAATTGATTTTGATATCCAGGAATGTCGGGAAAATTAATAAGCGTAATACAGAATAATAAAGAACTATTGTTATTACAAGTGAAAATTTATATAATATTGATAAAAAAACAATTAAAAGAAAGATATAAATTCAAAATATTTTTGGTGTTACTGTCTCCAGATCAAGTTTTGAATTTATTTTGCATGTGCCTACAGAAACTGATTATCATTACAAATCCCAAGAGAACAGAGACATCATTTTATTTTACTTATCCATAGCACTAAAACTCAAAAATAAAGACGGTTTGAGAATATATTTAGTGGATTAAGAAGATCTGCAACCATTTTGTTAGCATTAAAAAACCTCAGATCTTAAGAAATAAGTCTCATTACATCCTAAATCCAAATTACTATTACTATACCCTCACGATTTCTAATTGCAATATATTAACATGTAAAACCAACCTACTAAAAGTTTGAATCTCAATCACAAAATTTCAGTGCTCTTTGTGAATGATAAATTGAAATTTAGAGTTAAATTAGAAGATTATGATAAAAATGCCATCATAAGTGATGGTTCCTTGACCAGAATCCTTTTATTAAGTTAGAAAACTGATCGCTAAAAGGTTCTGGCCTTGAAAACAATTAGGTCTACTGATATTGATGTAGATTTAATGGAATTCTTTCTTAACAGCTATGAAAATGAACCCTTCATCGAATAATTGGAACTATGCATAAGACAAACAGAATTAATTCACTTTCTTTTTAAGTTTGTTAAAGGAGGAGATCTCTTTGCTCATCTTTAAAATGTTGGTGCCTTTACAGAGAGTTAAGTAAAATATATAATAGCCTAAGTTGGCATGGCTCTATAGAGTGTGCATGAAAAAGGGATTACTTATGGAGATTTAAAACCTGAAAACATTTTAGTAGATGAATAAGGATACGTCTATTTAACTGACTTTGGCTATGGAAAATTGAGAGTGTATGAGGAGTATAAAAAATAATAAAGTATCAACTTTTCTCTCGAATATGCATCTCCAGAATATTTGAGACATGGAGATTTGACTAGAATGTCGGATTGGTATAGCATGGGAGTATTGCTTTATGAATTGCTCATGGGAATATCTCCATTTTATAATACAAACAAAGAAGTTGCTATTAAATTGATATGCTAAGGTGAATTGCATTTCCCAAAAGGAATCCCTATATCTATTGAATGCATAGATCTCATTTCCAAATTGTTGTAGCAGGATTCTTCTACAAGAATTGGATTCTCGAATGATTTCAAAGAAATTCAAGCGCATCCATGGTTTTCAGAAATAGATTGTGTTGAATTAAAACAAAAAAAAACAGTGTTACCATATATTCCAAATATCATTGAAGGAACTCTTATATAAACACAATATATAAAGTTGGAATCACTACAAGATGATGAAAAGGGTTGGTACTGAAACTGAGAATTAGTTATTGACAATAACAATATTTTATATATTACAACAATAGATTATTCATTACATATCTAGTTCATCATCAGGCACTTATTTCCTTTTTAAAGGTTAAAAGAATGACCAAAATTCATCTGCTGTCAATGGTGGTACTCTGATTACTTCTAAATTTTATTTTGTATGACGATTTGCTTTTTATCCTATTAAAATTGCTAATCAATTAGATGATGATTTATACTTTTGATGGATTCAGCAGGAATGGATCTTAAAAATTGTAAGTGTTTAGCTCCTAAGAATTGACATTTGAATATGTCTGATGGCAACGGAACTTACATAAGTGTACCACCCATTAAAGGAGATGAAATTACCAGATTAACTTTTAATTGTCTTGCCACAGTTAAGATTTAAGTATTCTCTCCTTTAAATGGTTACCATTCCTATGAAAATGCTTCTGGCATCATGGCATTAATTGGCATTTAGACATATTCAAAATGATGATCTTTTCCTCCTACTTTTTCTGCAATTTCAACAATCTTCTCTAAAGGAACATGAATTCTATCTTCGTCTGGTCTTGCTCTAAAACAAACCCATGTAGCCATTCCATATCTTTTAATTTTACCATCCTAAACACTTTTTTCATATTATTCAAAAGCCTTCGCTAATCTATCATAAAATTTATCATATCCTAAAAATGGCAATTGACTTTCAGCTGCATTATGTAAATACAAAAGATCCAAAGTCTCCAGTCCTAAATGACTCAAAGTTTACTAGAATTAGCATATATATATATTTATTACATCCAATTAAGCCTCCAAAAACTTAGGATGCATACAGTGACATGCTCCAACTACATCATCTTGAGTAATCAGATTTTTATTGATAAGATCTCTTATCAATTAAGTTTCTTAAATACCTCTATCTCCATCAGCTGGAATGTATCCTCCTTTACTAGAGATAAATATCTAGTCTCTAGGGATATTTAGAGCTCGAAGTGCAGCCCCAATAACTCGTTCTGATTTCATGTATCTGTAATTAATTGCTGTATCAATCACATTCACTCCACCTGATAATACACTGTCAATAATAGATCCATAAAGCATGATGTCATTATTTTAATCAGGGGCTCCCTAATACGACCCAATCCCTAAACTGGATAGTAGTAAGTTGTTTTTGTAGTTTGTTCTGAAATGTGATGTGGGAATCTCACTGTTATTTGCAGAATACTATTTCGTTCCATCTGTTGTTGCATGCCCTGGGATTGGTGTATATGATAATTTGTAGATGTCTTTGAAATTTGATTGATATCTAATGATAACATTCTCAATTTACTTCTGTATATAATGCTCGGAACTTAATTCAATCGTATGACTAAAACCTTTAAGTATTCTTAAATTAAACATTCAATATTAATAAAAATGAAGTGAAAATCATTAATGGACTTTAATAGATTCAAGGTTAAGTTTGACTCTTTTTCTTAAGATGTTAGTTTACTCAAAGTAAACACTGTAAACTTAATCAGCATTGTTAAAAAAATCACTTGCCAATTCAAGTTCCTTTAAACCAAGATACGCCACTCCTATATTGTTTAAGATCTAGCCTAATTGTGCGTCAAATGAGCCTCTATAGCATCTGACTGCCAAAGTGAAGTAATCTATGGCTATATCTAATTGATGTTAAACTTGATATACTATTCCAAGTAGATTATAGATTTTGACAAAATTGAAATCGTAGTCATTCTGATAACTAAGTTTAGACAACAAAATACTAATCGGAATGGATTTTTAGACTCTTTAATAGATATTCAGTAGCCACCTCAAATGCTTTAGAGTAATAAAAGATTTTTCCCAAAGTGTAATAGGCCTTCCCAACCTTAATATTATTCTCTATAATATTGTCCCTGTAGATTTCTAAAGCTTCATAGGTGATCAATTTAGCCGGTTCATAATCATCTTATCATAAATAAACTATCTACTTAGAAGTGCATAGACGATTCCTAATTGTAATAGACAATCAGCTTATTGTACTTTCCAATTGAGTCTCTCATATAGAATCAAGGCTTGATAGAAGTTCTTCGCAGCTTCTTGAAATTTAAGCAGAATTCTATATAGATTTCCCAAACTCAACATTAATTATCCTTTAATGTGAAGATCGGCAATGTCAAAATTTTATAGAATCATATTCTATGTTGCAATTGCTTCCTCAATCAGACCTTCTGATTGTTAGACTTTACTCAAGTAGTAAAATGCTTAAATACAAATTACTGATAACTATTTTTCTTCAATTTTAGTTTGAGCTTCTTTTATTTCTTCCTTTGAACTAGCTATAATTTTAAGCAACCTCGATTTTGCTTTCTTCAATTCGTTCCTCTCTAAATCTTCAATAGACCCCAGCAACTCCCTATAAACACTATTTTCGCTTAGCTCCAAAATGAACTAGGATTTTGAAGGCAATTTCGCCATCTTTATCGATTTGAGTTTTTTCACTTTATTTTACATCGTATGAACTTCTAGGGCGACTCTTGGAGGAATTTGAGCACTGACTTCTTCCGGTACCATCAACAGTTTATCTTCAGACAACCTTTGAGTTATAAATCCTTCAAAATCAATCGAATGTCCTCCTGAATTAAGCATTAGTAAAATAGTTTAATACTTGAGTGATACTAATTTTATTAAGGATTGGCTCATTCCTGGATTTTGTCAAGTTACAATCCTATTCAGTTCTCTCCTACCTCTATAACATTATATATTATAATGCCAAATACAAAACTAATTAAAACAGTATATTATATATAATCATTTATATCGTTCAACTCTTACTTGAAGCAAATTATTGGCTAACTCTATAAGGAAATCACAATTATTAAATGAATAATGAGATACAGGTTGATTAACTATTATTGTTTTAAATAGCTGATTCATTTTTAAGTATTAATTCAAACCTGACTTTTAATTCAGTAATTAATAAACACTTTTTTATTATGCAATTGAAAGTTTTTTATGCCCAAGTTGTGAATAATTTCCTCATTAATTTAGATGTTAGAACTATCTCTGAAATCATATTGTTAATTTTAGACTTTAGTATTTTATAATAATAAATCAAAATTTGATACATATCCGTACTTAGAATTCGATTAGTTCTTAGCTATATCAGTAACATTCAGATATATCATTCTTGGTTTAACACATTTTCCTTTACTAAAAGTTAATTTAATTTTTATTCAAAAAAAGAATTACAGTTTGATTGGCTATTCAGTTAGCATTTCGAGCTTTCATAATAATAGTAAACTTAAAATTATAAGAATAATTAATATTAGCCAATAAATAGTTTGAATACATTGAATACATGAATATAATACATATTTCAATTTTCATTATTCATCTATTAATGTATTTTTTCACTTAGTGTTTTTGATTTAATTTTGATTAAACTACGATAGTCTCCAATTCCACCTAAAATAATGGTATTTTTTAAAAGAGATCTCTGCTTCCATTCCCTAAACTTCTGCTAAATAAAGATAATAGACACCTAAGATAATAGTGATGAATATATACCATATCTCCACTATTCAGTGTTGTTTCTCTAAACTTGGGTTCCACTTGAGAATATTTATTACCATAGACCTTTTAATGGATATCTTTATCTACAGGTTCCAAATTAACCACTCCGTATTTGATGGTCACAGATATCCTTGTCAAACTCACAATCACATCATGAAATCGGTAGCAAAGGACATTCGAGTCTACTAATTCATAAATTGGAATCTTCAAAGCCTTTAAGAACTTCTTCTTATTGTTGACATCCAACAAATCTGACTATTCTAGACCAAAGATTATAGCTATTTAAGATGACAACCTCCAAAAGAGTTTATAACTTATGAATCCTTCTCCATCCTCATCAAACTATGACCACAATTCCATCACATCTAGTAATTAATATTTGGATATGGCACTCTATTCACTTTTATGATATTGTTCATATGCTCCTAAGATGTTTGCAACCAAGAGATTCAAAATCATTAGTGAGAATACAAGAATAAATGAAATAAAAAATGGGTAAGAAAGGTTTGACCCACACCCATTAAATCCAATCTCTTGAAATTCTTCATAAGATTCAATATTTATGCAGGCTACAGCTGGCGATTATTCCAATGTAGTTTCCTGCATTACAATCCACCATTTCTCACCTGTCGATACTTTAATTAGAGTCATTAGGGCACCCCAGAAATCCCTAAAGTGCATATCAAATCCATTGACTGATGATTAAGGACGCAAGTAAGCAAATAAATCACAAGAGACAATAGTGTAACAATATAAGACTACTAGCATAATCAAAAGCATTGAGGCTGTATTAGGTAACACAGCAAATATGGCATGGAACAAATGCTGAATTGTCTTGAAATGTTAAGTTAGCTTGTAAATTCTAGTAACTTGGAATGCCACTGAAACCACATGGAGAATATGATAGTCTAAAAAGCTAGAAACAAAACTTAAGAGTATTCCACAAATTTCATAAATTTTAAACTTGTAATCCGTGACCTATACTGTGGTTATTAGTATTTCAAATAGTTGAATAAAGATAAAGACCTAATTGACTTAATCCAAGGCTTATTCATATTCTGCTTCCATTCTTGCATAGTATAAACTCAATATAATGATGTTGCTTAATATAACGATTAAAAATGGAATCTACAAATATTAATTTAACCTATATAGGATATTTAAAATAAATATAGTGGGTGGCTTAAATTTCTTCTTTGGTTTCAAATGTAATATTTACTCCTTAATCTGAAACCATTCTCTTTATTTGTCATCCAATAAATGTAGATTCTCTATTTATAAATATAAACAATATCTATACGTGATTCTTCTCTAGTTTTTATGTAGGTTTCGACAACTAAAGTGACAAACATTCCCAACACTAAAGTATTGCCAATAAAGAAAAACAGTTGATAATATATTGACCAATATCTGTTGGTGTAATGATGTGGTTGTTTATCAATCCCTGCAGCATTCCATGCAGGTGACATCAATGGAATCCATTCTTCTGATGTGGCAACACAAAATAAGAGATTTATTGATTCAAATAAAGTGTCGAAATTTAGATTTCGATTTATCCAACTCCCTCCTATGTCAAAGCAATCGATCTTAGATTTTAAATGTAATTCTGATGCATTGCCATCTGGAAGGCTGCAATAATAGAATTAATCATTTAATAATTGCATTCCAATTAAGCTGTACATTAATAGTATGAGAAGACTAAATAGAGCCAACTAAATCATCTTAGTAAAAGCATTAAATAATGCTTGTAGTGCTTATTTTAAAATAGGGTATTAATCTGCGCCTGTTTTTAAAAATGAAAGCACTCTTAGAGAGTCGAATAGAGTCAAAATAAACAGAGGAGGATTTCCCAATCCTATAGAGATGATATTCACTATAATATTTATTATGGACAAGATGTTAAGAAACGATTAACTAATGAATTTAATGATCCCATAGGCCACGCAATTAAGAATAAGTTCAATCATGAAGATTGCTGTGGTAACATATTGAATTACATCCAAAATCATCTAAAAATTATGTAGTTTAATTACCTTTTCTTGACTATGAGGATCTGTAAGAGGATTTTGTACAGCACTTTTCACAGCACTTAAACCTACGACTAACAAAAGGCAAATTCTAAATAACTTGTGTTCAACTAATCTTCGATAAATTTAACCTTTGTTTTAACTGTTATTAGGCTTAACCGGAATTCCCTTTTGACTGATCTCTTAAAGAGGGGCTTTTGAATCATCCTCGTTCTGAGACTAAGAAGAAGATTAAGCTGATTCTTACTAGAACCAGGATGTTTTTATGTACTGCCAAGCTCTTTATAAATAGTCGGTTTGTGGGTATTTCTGATCTAATTCATTTAACTTCTTTCCAAATTCATTTAAGAACAAAGCTCGTAATAATCTCATAAAAAGAGTATGACTCAAAAAGAACACAATTAAAAAAAAGATGAAGGATGATACTGGCTTATACAATGCATGTTGATACATTGTTACATGCCATTCTTCTGCGTAAAAGATGTTAAATACAGCCATTAAGGAATTCCCAATCCCATTAAAATGTATTTCAATTTCAGTGGATCCTTATACATAATGAGCGAATAATTCTTATCCAATAATAGAAATTAGAAATGCAAAAATGACCCATAAAATTATAAGATGTCGAATTTTGATTATGGTTTCTATTAGACATCTAAGCAACAACCTAATAACTCCAAAGTATTCTACTTTGTATATTAACTTGATAACTCTAAATGCCTTAAATGCTTTAATGATGATAAAGACATTGCTTTGAAAATTCAAAAACTCCAGAATAATAACTGCAATTAAACAAATTGATAGGATTACATCTACTATGATATACAATTTTCGTCTTGATTTCTTAAAAAATATCAATTTTAAGAGCGTTAATATAATTATTAAGAAGTTCATTATCATATCTGCATAATATTCTTTTGGGTGACGTTTTTCAACTTAATCTATACACAGTACAACTGTAGAGGCAATGATAAGGAGCTAATCAAATTATTTAATTCTAGCAATAATACAAGATTCCTCTTTTTCCTTCAGTGTTTCATTACTTAAAATCTCTGCAGGAGCTACCAAATTTACTCTGTTTTATGATGAAATTTAGGTAATCATGTGCAGTTTGTGGAAATTAATCTAAGCCTTGTTTTAATTGTTAATTAACGTAACTGTTCTTCTCCTTTAAGTAAATAGTTCAGATTTATTGGATTTTATACTATTTTTGATGGCACTACTAACAAGAAAGGATTCATATAATGTAGCCAACAATAGATCAGATAAAGTATAATGTCTAGTATAAATGATTGAAATACAAGATAAATAGCATAAAAATGAAGTAAATTGCAGTAGCAGGAGGTGTTACAGCCTTCCAAAAATAAAAAGTCGTTGGTGACCAACCTGTTGCATTGAAAAACATGAATCCACTTAAAAATGAATCATAAATGGTATCGAAATGATAGTAGCCGTAATAAAAGTCTAAATAATTTAAATCCTCAGAATTAAACTGGTCAATACATTCGTAACTTAATATTGTTATAAAATATACCCATCTGGACATTCCCATTCTCCACACAGACTTCTAATGTTCAAATCAATTATTCCGTTTTTGGCACATCTACGTCCTGTAACTCCTCTTAATAAATGTAGTCCAATAACTGAAAATCCAAAAATTACAATCACAACTGGAATTATTATTGTATGAATTGTTAAAAAACATGAAAAAAAACTTTCGACTCGTTCTCGAAAGTATTGAATTTCTTGCAAAAGCCTCACCAGTCTCAATAAACGAATAACTCTTAACAATTAAATGAATGTTATTGACTAATCGAAATAAATTGACCATGTGCAAACAAAAGTTAGAAAGTTTAGACAACTCCATATATTTCTTAGATATGTTCCTTTCCCAAAAAATGCGCCGTAACAAATGCACTGAATAATTATCTCAATCCCAAAAAAAGCATTGCATATTGTTTCTATTGTTATTGAAGCTATGTTCCTGCTGCTTAGATTATCAACACTATCTCTAATTTAATAGTCATATAAACAAAATGCTATAGTATTTACAATCACCATTATAATCACCAATCGTTGCAAAACATGGATGTTTTCACATAAGAATATGCGTATCTTGTTTTCTTTACTAAAGCATCCCAATGATGTTTATACATGTTTTTAATCTTCAATGGGATGATGTTCAATTTTCTGCATATATAACTATAAGTTTCTATACTTGATTTTTAATAGTAACCAAATCGGGGTGTAATTCTAAATATTGAAAAGTAAAAGGCTCGTATTCGAATCCTAATTGTGTCTCTAAGCAGTCTCCCATTCTTTTCTATATTGATTTCTCTATTTCTTGAGCACCAATAGGAGGCAAAGTAATTTTTAGTTATTGAAAAATCATTAATTTATATATATTATTCAACTCTGATACTTATAAGACTCCAACCAAAAATTCAAATTTATTTTGATATACTTTCTCTTTCTAAATATTTCAAATTCAAATAAACCAAGAGTTAATTATTTTATTTTTTATTAATTTTCATATATAATTATCAAAATTCTATAAGCGCCTCACTTTATTCACATCATCCCTATGTCAAAACTATTATTTAAAATCCTTTTTGAAACTTATATTAATTTTTTTAAAACTCCCCTTTCCAAGGTCAAAATGATTTTAAATTCAAAACCAAAACCCATATAAAAACGAATCTTTAAATAGAACTCGATACCCATACTACCCAAAATTGCAAAATTAAGATGAAATAATAAGAAATAATCTATACGTATAATTTAAATTAATCTTCATTTTCCTTAGTTTTTTATTGCCTCCTTCCTACCTCTACTTTTGAGATAATAACATATTATTTGAAACCCATTTCTGGGATTTGACCATTGAATTAGTGTTTGTAACCTAACTAAGGGTATCCCTACAATTTATATGGAAATTCAATACCATCAGGGTTTCTCATCTTAACCAATCACCCATCGCAACTATTTTCCTCTTATGTTAATTGATGCCTTACCTAAATTCAAGGCTTCTTAGATTTAGTTAGTTCTTCTTGCTATTTTGCAGAATTTAGTTTTATTTGTATGTTTCTATTTGATTAAGACGTTGACTTTAATCAATATGATTATATAAATTATAAAAACACATTCAGGCGAAATCATTTTTAACTCTTAATAATGAATCGTTAAATTTGCAATTATCAATGAGCCATTTGATACAAAACAATGATAATTTATTATTTTTCTTCAATTATTTATGAATATCAATAACATATGAAACTTCTTAAAATTTTCAATTATTTTAATGGAATAATTATTTCTAAAATACAACTAAAATTTATCATTTTATATAAAAGCTTAGAACATAATATATATCTAATTCTGAATTTTCAATTGATTAAGCTGCCTTTCATAAAATATAAACTCAATACTATTATATAATATATTATAAAATTCATTTTTGCTTTTACCAATTTGCTTGTTACCAATTAGGTTAATTTTTTTTCCACATAGGCCAAGCAGGTGCTAACACCTAATATATTATAAAATTTAGGGTATACTAATATACAAAGAACGCTTGCTCCAATTGTAGAGTATACACATACAGAAAATCTCTCTAGGAAGAATGCAATAATAAATGAAATTATCTAATGATATGCAAATTTTCATTACAGCCACTGTTAGAATAATGATTTTATATATCTTTTTCACGAACAATTGAGATTCAAAATCCATTTCATTAAAATAGATATAAAGTGATTTCCAAAACGTGTCAGATTATCCTTCAGCCATTTAATTATATTAATTATTATTTTTAATTATAAAACCATAAATAATGAAGCATAAATATGAAGCAAATATCAACAAATCAGCATTATAAATATGTTAATATTATAATAATGTTCGAATATCTTGAGAATAACAATGTTATTTTAGAATTGAATCTTCAGAATTGTATAATCACAATTTATTGGTTAAGCTTTACTTTATTTCAAATTATGTAATTAAGGTAGCTAGGATCTTATAGGAATCTACTTAATAAATTGTGATTTAAACTACACATAGTTCCTTCATATAAAAAGTTTAAAATTAGCATAATATTAAATTTATAATTTCCTTTAAAATAATCATTAGTGTACTCATCATACCTATTTAGGGTCTACTTTTACTTCTTCTTCTTCTTCCTCCTTTGTCATTAATCTGTTTTTATTAGTGTATTAACTTTAATATAATAAAATTCTTACTGCGGATTTGATTCAAATTTCAATCGATTTTCCTACTCCAGAATCCTACTGAATCTTGTAAAATCATATTCATTATCAGAAATATCTTCTGCATTATCTTATTCCCTTTCATTAATATTAGATTTTATTTATTTAGTGTCATCATCCTCTACAATTTATATTTAATCTTTCTTTTCATCTTATTGTTCTTGAGCTATTATTGTTTTAATTTGATCATTTGTTTATGGTTCTGATTATGAATCAATATTATGATTTTAGATGGCAGATATCTAATTATCTATTTACTTGTTTTCTTATTCAATTTTATCATAATCATCCTCTATTTCACCATCATCAGATGATTTATTTGGGTTATAATTAAAATTATATTCTTAAAGTTCATTAATCTCTTCCATTTCTTATGGCTTTTAAATAATTTATGATGATATTTTCATACCCTTATCTTCATCTAAATTCTTAATTTGTTTGGCAATTTCTTAATTTTCTATAACATCTTCCTAATTATTTTGTGGATCATTATTTCTATTTTTCCAAATATTATTAGATATTTATCTTTATTACTAATCTATATTCTATTAATCGTCAGTTTTAACACCGTTTCTAGTAATTTATTTTGAATTATAAAATCGAATTTATTAATTTCTTTCTAAACTTTAAGTATTTCTAAATGATTTAAATTTATTATCCTCATTCCCATTTTATTCTATTTAATTTCTATATATTCTATTTTGATTATCATTTTATTTTCTTGAATTATTATAGAAATCAAACTATTAATTATTTGATTATCTTGTATCTCTAAAATTTTCATTTCTTCTTTTATCATTTTAATCCCAATAATTTCTTCCTTAATTTTAATTATGATGATTTATTGAATCATTATTTCTGAATGTCTAAGACCTACTATCTTCATGTCTGTCTTGAATAAAAGATCTATTTTGTTTATAATTTCTTTTATTATCATCTCCTTGGAAACTAAAATTATTATAAGATTAATGTTATTTATCATCTTCCACATCAAATCTCACCTAATTTTTCCTATGCTATTCTTTTTAGTTTTTCATCGTATCGTTATTCTCTTGCTATTTATGCTTCCATTCTTAAGCATTCCCTTCATCAGCTTAACTTGTATATTGTCTTTTACATTCTTCTTATCTAGAATTCTTAAAATCTTCCCCTTAGTTATCAAAACTTCTAGGGTTATCTTAACCTCCATTAAATCTTTATTAATATGGTTATTATCTTTTATTATTATTCCAGTAATCCTATTATTTTTGATTTCTTTAATTGTCCCATCTACTTGAATTGTTCTCATGTGGGAATCTAGATTAATATTATTGTTGATTATTTTCATATCTATCATCAGACTGGTCAATAAAATTCACTCTTCTATTTTCTCGATTTGATGGTTCCTCTCTATCATATTATCGATATGATTTCCCTTGTCTATCATTCTATAGACCTTTATCATCTTCCTGATCTTGATATTAGCGATTATTATATTATTATTTTTTATTAAATCTGTCAAATTTATCTTATCTATAATTTCCATCTTAATTCTCTTAAAATTATTGCCATTTCGGTCTATCATATCTATTTAATTATTTATCTTCTCCATATTCTTATTTATCTTATCCATTTTAAGACCAATCTTATCCTTGCTACCTAAACTATCTCTCTTACCTACCATTTTCATAGTGCCTATCTTTTTGATCATTATTATATTTATTACTCTGGTCAAATGATTATTCCTATCTCTATTATCTGTTATCAAATCTATCCTATTTTCCATAAAATTATTTCTTATCTCCATTTTGATAATAATTTTATGACTTCTCATTGCGATAATCCTTATGATTTCCATAATCTTTCCATTAATTTCTACCTTAATATGAATCTCTACCGTATTATTAACTCTAATCTTAGAATTTATCCTTAAATCTAAAATTGCTATTTGATAATTAAATATTATTACTAATTGGAATCTCCATTTGAACCATCCTCTTTTTAAATATTCGAATATTTTGAATAATTGTTATTTTCTCCTTAGGAACCTCTATTGTCTTAAGGATATCTATATAGTATTACATAATCTTTACCTAGATTTTTAGTTATCATTATGATATTGCTCTTGTGAATTTTTTGAAAATTAGAAATTACCCCTCTAATTATTACTTCTTGATTATTACTGCTTAAATCTATCAAATTCAAAATCGTTCTGCATTTAAGGGACTAAATTATAATATAATTCTTACATATTCCAATTGCAAAATTTTGTAATGCAGAGTCATCATATTTAAGATTAGCCACTTGAGCCAATTTCAAGAGTTCCTTGGCCATCCTGGGTTCGTCTTTGTCATAAGCCAAAAAACTGAAGGCCTTTCCTTTCTTTTCGCCTCTTCCAGTTCTTCCTATTCGATGAATGTAATCGTCAAAGTATTTTGGAAAATCATAGTTAATTACAACAGTGATATCTGTTACATCTAATCCTCGAGATGCTAAATCGGTTGCACATAATAAGCGAGTGTAACCACTGCGAAAGGCTTTCATGATCTCATCTCTCTGAGGTTATGTTTTATCACCATGCAACGCTATTGTGTAATATCCTTTATCGGCCATATTTATGGACAACTGTTCACATCGCTACTTCTACTCTGAGAAAATAAGGACTTTGTCTGATATTTTTAATGTGTCCAGAATATCAAGTAGTTGTTAAAGCTTGTCTTTCTAAAATAGACAAATTATTTCTTAATCAATATTTTTATTTATTGTTAAATTCGATTTCCCGATCTAAACATAAATTGGGCTATATTAACAAAAATCAAATGCTAAGTCTTTTACAGCCTTGGGCCAAGTGGCTGAAAAAAATACTGTTTACCTATCTATCCTAATTTACTACACTATCTCCCTAATTGTATCTTCAAAACCCAACTCCAAAAGTCTATCTGCTTCATCTATTACTAGATAACTCACATTAGCTAATGTTGTTGCTTCTTCTCTTAAGAAATCTAAAAGTCTTCCTGGAGTAGCCACCAATATATTTGGACACCTTCCTAAGTTATAAAATTGGTTTTTCCTATTATTTATTCCGCCATAAATGCAGAGGGTTTTTAACCGATAATTTTACGTAAATAATTAAATTTCTGACTCTATTTGCATAGCCAATTCTCTAGTCGGCACTAAAATTAACATTTATGGTCCATTTTATTTTTTTGCATTGTTTAATTCCTCAGTTATCTAGGTTGTAATTTGGATTAATCCTGGTAATAAATAAGCAATAGTCTTTCCTGAACCTGTCTATGCAATCCCTATTACATCATATCCAGCCAAAATTATTGGAAATACTTAAATTTAATAATTAATTTATTATAATACCAACTGATTGAATTATTGTTGGATTCTTAAATTTTAATTATTCTATGGATTCTAAAATTGGAGTTGGGAAATCAGCTGAGGCCCAACTTAAAAATGGAGGAGGAACCTTTTAGTTCTCAAACGTTTTAATAATAATTTCTTTTTCTCTATAAAAGGCTTCAATTCTTTCTTCAGTCATCTTATAATTGTCATTAGTAGTCTTAGGAAGCATAATTGAATCTTATACGTGTAACAATTCTTTGCGAAAAGGTTGAAGATTTTAGGAATCCATTCCAATCTTAGATTCTCTAGTCTCTTTCCATCTAGGACGTACAGATTCTTCATTGTCAAGTTCATACTCATCAAGATCGTTGAAATAATGACTATTCATGGATATTTATATTAATGAAAAAAAATAACCCTGCTTAAATTTTGGCATAACATTTTATATAGAAATTAAAAACTATCATATTAATTTTCTTATATTTCTAAAGTGATCTTTTGTTTAAAGTATCAGTTATTTTGTTTTTAATTTTGGCAATTATATATCTTACTGAATTTCTGATTTTAGGGGAGATTTATGATTTAGAGGAGATTTTTAATTTAAAGGAGAAGACAATTATTTTCTTAGCATTGGTGTAATCATCCTGGATCCAGTATTCTATTTGTACTCTTGAGCACTTGGATAATGCTAATGGTTATTCGGTTATAATTGATAAAGATTATTAATATATCTAATATTCTCTTTAGATTATTAGTCATTCTAAGAATTATTCCTTTCCAAAGAATTCTAATGGTTTGATAATTTATTTTTTATTTTAAACTTTCTACTGGCTGGACTGTTTGAATCATCTGATCTGTTATTTGAAATTGCTCTATATCCCCTCGATGTCTGAATTTTACTTATCACTACACTCGAATCATTTATTTCTGTTTAATATCTTGGTCTGGGTAATCGTATTTCTTTGTAATTTTTTGTCAAACAAATAGTCCCTAGTAATTTTTAATTGCTATAAGATATTGAGACTGAGTTCTATCTATTTCTTATTTAAATTAAGTTTAATAACTCTTCACAAGAAGCTCTATTTTTGGAAGCTATTTACAAACACTTTGCAACAAATTCACTCAATTCCTTGCTATACCTTGGATTCAATGGATCATATTATCCTTTAGAGATCTTCTTTTGCAATTAGAATAAGTCATTTGCAAGAAAAGGTGGCTACAATTATGCCATCTCATAAATCACACATCCTAAGGACCAGATATCACATTTTTAATCATATGGTTAATCCATCCAAACCTCTGGACTGGCGTAATAAGGAGTCCCAGCATATGTATTTGCGAATTAATTTGCTTTAACAACCTTAGCAACATTAAGATCACCTAACTTGATGTGTTTGTGATCTTGACTCAAAAATATATTTGCACACTTAATGTCCCTATGATAAATTCCCTTACTGTGCAATTCGCTTAATCCTGAAAGCATCTCATATGAATATGTCCATATCAACTCCTCATCTACATAAAACCCTTATCCTTTTTTTCTTATATACTCTAATTTTTATTATAAATCTCCTCCTCCTGCATATTCCAGAACTATAAACAAATTGTCCCCTCTTATAAAAGCCTCTCTATAACCAATTATATATGGGTTTTCCAAACTCGCTAAAATTCTGACTTCATTTAAAGCATTATTCAGTTCCTTTGTTGCCAATCCTGACATTTAAACTTTTTTCATTGCATATTCTTAACCATCCGATTTTCTTTTCACTTTGTACACAGATGAAAAGGACCCTTGGCCTAATTTTTTAATAATTTCGAAATCAGAAACAGACAACCTATTCATTAATAAAACTAAATTTTGAATTTTATGTTTGAATTCAAATATATCAACTCCTAAATTATTATAATATAATATCATAATATCCTATAACCAATCTATAGTCTCAATAGTATTCGCTCACTGTGTTCCATTTATAAATTCCATATCAGAGATAATCAGTATGAATAAGATCCTTAATTTTAAATTCTACTTTTAAACAATTAGATTTTTTAATAAAAGTATAAAATATCTGAATTTGATGAGCCAAAATAATACCTCATAAGTTGATTAAAATATCTTACCTTCCATCGATCATAAACCTTATAGCGAAAACACTCAATGTAAAAACTAATTATAATTATAGATATCACTGATAATATTAAGCAAAAGTACAATGAAATCAATAAGAAAATTTAAGAACCTTAAGTTTAGGAGAAATTGGGATAAGTAACTAATGTACTTTTTACTAGAACAAAAGAATTTGGAGTAATAAATACAAAATATTCATTTAGTATATTACCCTAGATTATTTTGTTAAGACTTTTGAAATCACTAAAACTACATTTACGGATCTACATCAACTTTATCATAAATGAATTTGTTATTTTCAGTTCAACATTATTTAAATTTACCAATATACATAAAATTATAAAAATGACAACCACAATTAATTATAAAAAAAATAATTATCAAGCAGATTTAATTTATTATTTCTAATTAAGATTGAATAAAGTCTTAAATTGAAAAAATCACAAAAATACTCAAATCTCAATTGAAACGTGACATCAGAGAAACTGAAAGAATTTTAGAATTATTTTAACAGCTTTGTATTATCTTCCTTGAGATTACTGTAATTAGGCTACAATCTCATTAAAGAAAACTAAATGGCAACTGTCTCTGCATCAATTTAATTTTGAATTCAAGATTACTATTCAAATAAAGAATTCTCGTCCTTATTTATTAACTCTAATTAATTAAGGATCTCTTGAAATTCAACAACATTAATTTAAAGTCTAAAATGGCAAGAATAAATATTAAATGATTTTAGGTCTAAACAGAAATTGAAAAAATCGAAAAATCATTTAAATATCCTTTTGATTTAAAAAAAAATGATATATTAGTGTGATCATGAAACATAATGAATTCTCAGAATAAAATAATTCAAGAGGCATGATCAATATTTCATAAGATTTTAGTGATAATTCTTATTCTATAATAAAATTGGTGTTTAAATAAAATTTGTTTTTATGTGTTCAATCATGTTTAGTTTTCTGTATAAATATTCTTCAAAGGAGAATTCTAGGACTCCAATTGAGTAAAAGAGATCAAAACTAATATTAAGTATTTCTGAACTGATCTTGATTCATTCAGAACAATTATTAATATAATATAGAATATCTAATATTTGAGAACAATTTTATAGTAAAAACGACAAAGGGTTGAATAAAAATGAAAATCTAAATTTGTATTTATGAAAGATTAACAGAGTTAATCAGAATATTAAGATTTCTTAATTTAAAGCTCTTTTTTGGCAATTATAAACATTATTAATTTTAGATTATATAATTTACGGAAATGAGCAATAACAGCACATAAGAAGCAAATTAAAGAATCTCACCTTCAATAGATCATAAGCCATATAGTGAAACTACTCAATGTAATTAGTAATTTGAATGATAGATATCACTGATAATGTGAAACAGAAATATGATGAATTCAATAAGAAATTCTAAGAACCTTAGGTTTAGGAGAAATGGGGATAAGCAAAGCATATACTGTTTGAAAGAACAAAGGAATTTGGAGTAATAAATTTTGTAAATGTAGTTTCTTACCTTTGATTATTGCATTAAGACCTTTGAAATTACTAAAACAACTGTCACAGATTTATATGGAGTTTACAAAAAATGATTTATAAAACGTATATTTAAATTTTACACATTTTCATTAATAAATTGATCAAATAATTATCGAAAATTAACCACAACTAATTATAATAAAATAGCATTTATTTGTTAATTCCAACTCAATTTATAAAAAATAAGCAGCTACGATTTGTTTATAGTTGTACTTATTTTATTCATTGACTGATCAAGTTTTAAGATTTATTTAACATTTATTTCAATAATTAATAAATTATTTTATAAAAATATAATTTCAAATTCTTTCGTATGAGTAATCACGAACTCTCAGAAGAGAATAAACCTCCAATGTTACTATAAGTGTGGAGTAAATGTTCTGAGTTTAGCGAAATTGATTTAGAAAATAGATAATCTCCTAAAATTGTGAAATTAAGAAAATTGTAACAATATATTTGATGAGAATAGGAATTCCACAATAGAGAACAATGAACAACTTCATCAAGTTATTAATAGACAAATAGATTTAATTGTAGTCAAAGAAGAAAGTCCGAAATTAGAGAGTACTAAATGGCAACCATGCAGTTGTACTAAAACCAATTGTTTGAAAATGTATTGTTCTTGCTTTCATAATGGATAAACATGTGTAGAATAATGTAAATGTGAGGATTGCAAAAATATTGACGAGTACCTGAATTAAAGACATGAGGCAGTTGAATACATCAAGAAAAAAGCTCATAGAAATAAAAAAGTTACGTAAGAGAAATTATTTGAAACAAAAGAGGTTTGGGGATGTAATTGTAAAAAGACTAGATGTCTAAAGAGATATTGCGAATGTTTTATTAGATAGAAGACTTGCACAGTTGATTGTAATTGCAATTATTGTGAAAATGGCAAAGACGAGGATTTATTTGAAGAAATAAAACGATAAAATGAATAACCAAAGCAAATCAAAAAAAATAGATCTGAGAGATTGTTTAATAAATGATTTTTTTATGTGTTTTTAATTGGCTTTTTTCTAATTATATTCATATAAAAAATAAAAAATCTATGTCAAAATTAATTGGATATTTCTTCATTTCCAATTAAGATTTCTATAAAATTACTTCTTTAAGAATTATTGGGATTCAGAAATAACATATTTTGTTTACCTGAATTAAGTATAAATTAATAGAATTTTTTAGGTAACCCAAAACGTGAACTTATATTAATTATATCTACTTATTCAAAATGACTATGCAAAAGAATTCAAATGCCCTTATTAGCTTTAGGAATAGATTCATTGTTGCATCCAATTAAATATTGATTAACTATTCATAAAAATAGAGTTAAGGGATAAATTTAAATAATATATAACTTTAGTATTCATATTTGAAGGTTAGGTCTAGGGGGGTTTTAGTTTTAAAGGTTATTTTTGGGTTGTTGTTTTCGAAATACAGATAGATTTTATTGTATTTTTTATTAAATTCAATATTAAGCATTTAAGAGCATGGAAATTGAATGGATTCATGAATATTTAATTTTATTTATTATCATTGAATACACTCATGAATTTTGACAAGGAATTAATGAAAACAGAGCATTTAACAAGAATCTAATCTACAGCTTTTCTAATTTATTAAGTCAAAATTTAAGATAAGAGCTATTTTGGTTACTTTCTAAAATAGAAATACTAAAATAAATATCACTTAAATAGATTTCTCGCAACTGATATGCAGTAATAAAATGAAATTAAATATATACGAAAATTGAATACAAAAGAAAGGGAAGGATTTTATATGTTTGAGACATATAAATAATATACTATTCTGTCAGAACTTAAATAATTGCAGGAATAGGTGATTTTAAAAATCTGCTTGGACACTCTAATGGCCTTATTTGCTCTTCATTAAAGAGGAATTTTGGGTAGGTGTTTTAATGTTAACAATATATTGTTTGTTGAAAATCAGCATTCAGTTCTGATGGAATATGGATTCTACCCTGATTTAGAATATTAAGTTCCAGAGATGATTTACAATAAGACCTATAATGAAAAAATAGATATATTTTTGTTAGGAAGAGTGCTGTTTTACTTGATGGTCGGAAATGATTTGCCATAATTTGATATGAACAATTTAAATGAGGTTTCATCTGATATCAACTTAGCTATTGCATCAACAAAATATTCAGATGGCTTGAAGAGTTTAGTTATATCTATGCTATCTATTGATGTAAACAAAAGGATAGATTATTAGCAATTATTTGCTAAATTTAAAAACAATTAATTTTATTCGCTCTAAGAATAGTTTTACAAATCGAATACATTGAAAACTCTAACAAAAAATGCTATTTAAGAGAGAGAACATGATGATATCAAAACATCTGAGGAATCAGAAATTTTTGAAATTGAATAAACTTAACAAATCGCAGTAATATATTATCCTAGTATTAATAGAAACTGATAACAGATTAGAAAATTAAAGTATCAGAAATTTAAATTTCGGATAAGAGCACCATAGATTAATCTTAAAAGTATTTCTTAGAGAAGTGTACTTTCAATCCTCCTGATGATGAAGACTATAAAAAATACACATCACTTAGTTAATAATAGATTATTAGCAAAGTGAGTGAAACATAAAAGACAGCAACAATAAAGCAGAATAATGAAGAAAGTAAAATAAAGAAGACAGTCCTTGAGAATGAATAATTGTTAAAAGTGTTACCATTTCTGAATTCTGACCCCACCTAAGATATTTTGATTTGGAATCAAATATACTTTTATCTGTATCGCTTTTCTCTGATGGACAAATTGGTAGATGAATTGCAATCACAGTTGTAAAGCAAAAATAATTACTTAATTTCGATTGCTCTATATGGAATGAAAAAGGGTGAATTGATATTAAAGAGAGAATATCAGAATTCTTTAGAAAAATGCTAGAATCTATACTATATACCAGTAGAAGAGTGGGAGAAATTTAAAAACTCAGCAGAGTATAAAAAGATGAGCAGTAAGATAAAATTTGATATTGATGTGAACTAACGTCTATTGTAATAGAAGGATTATGTTTAGTTGAAGAAGGTTCTGGATTAATACAAGAATGATGGAGTGCTAAAGGATTTATACAAATTTATTGAATAATATTTGAATGATGTAAAATTAAATTAATATTAATCTTTAGAATTCAGAACTGAACAATTTTGAGTCTATCAAGCTTTAGTACAGATATATCTTGACAAATATTTTGCCGCTTTTTGAGTCTTCAGATGATAAATAGAATACTTATATCAAATTGTTAATTATGATGTGCATTTTGATTAATAGAATTTGTGATACGCAAAGTATCCCACAGCATTTCAAGACAATTTGCAAATTTCTGAAAACTGATTCAATAAATTCAATAGTGGAAATTGAATATTTTCTAAAGAATGGCACTAAATAAGATTTCATAGCTTAATTTGTTGAATTAAAGACATGTTATTTTTCAGGTTGAAGAATTCATGATTGATGTTATCAATATTACAATTTAATATTTTAGTTATTGTGATAATAAAATTTTGTTTTAATGCTTTTGATGACATATATATACTTCATGGAGCTGGTAGATCTTTTAAAGGCAATTCTCCCACAGTTTGAGTTTTTTGGTATTCTTATTCCTCATTTCTAAAATAAAGTGAGACTTCTACCTTTTTAATCCGAAGTATTATTTGGAAATCAATTAAGAATGATTGCTAAGGAATTGGGTTTTCAGATTAGGATTCCAGAAAGCGTCCTCTTTGTATAGATACATAAGTTCTTGTTTGTTCAAGCAAGAGACTTCATACATGCCTAAATCCTAGAGTGATAAAAATAGATCATTTACATTTTGTCTCATGTTCTAAACACCTGATTTGGTATAATAGGGTAAGACTTCTAAATGATGAGTTTCGAAGACATCTTCTCTAACAACTCCGAATGAGCCCATTCTAGTAACAAAGACTAATTCTTTGTCTTTGCTGTACTGTACTTTAGTGACATAGTTCCTACCGATATCATTCATGGACATATGATGGAAATACCATAGATAGGCAGAAGCTGCAGTGGCTGCCAAGACATTGATTCTCATGTAATCCATGTTGTAGATGGATTATAAATGATAAGGATAGAATGAAGCATCGATTTAATGATCAAACATTAAGTTGGTCTTGTAGACAATATTGTATGGCAACACCCAGCAAATCCAAGCAAAGCTGAATGTTCCAGTCCACCATACGAATTTCAACCATTCTCTTAATCTTGTGTTTTCATAAACTACTTCTCCTTCTTCGAAATTCAAAGTGGGATCAGGATCAGCTGATGGATGTTGGACAAATGGTTGATCATTGTAACTTGGATGATACATATCACTTTCTAATCTAAATAATCTTTAGAATGGATTTGCTAAAAATTCAGGATGTCCCAATCTATCTGCTAAATATGGGAATCTCAAATGATATGGAGTTTCCACATCATATTTAGAACCTTTATCTGGATGGAATTTCCTGGTAACTGGTCTTGATTCCAATTCTTTTTCGTGTCTTTTTTCACTTTCTGTCCTTTCTCTGGGAGCAATAGTTTATGCAATCCATCGTTTTTCATTTCTGAACACATTTTCATATTCCAACTCTTCATTTTCTAAATTGCCTGTCTATGCATAAGGCATATCAATTGGAAAATAATCTCTTAATCCTCCAGTGATGTTCTTTGTTACTCCGGATTTACCCTTTAAATAAGGTCTATCCAAGTTCTTGATTGCTTCATCCACTTATCTTTGCATAGTCACATCTCTCTTCACTCCATCAACGAGCATGTTGTGAGTGTCGACTGTCAATCTCTATTTGTAATCTTGTCTCTAAGCAGGAATGTAATCTTCATGGGCAGGATCATAATGAGTGACATGATATGGGAATGCTTTGTATTCTAATTTATCGGCTAGTCGTTCCAAATGCTCTTGCATGACATTCTTTCTGTCTAATTTCAAAATAGATTATATTGGTATACCTTTTCTTCTTTGAATAGCATTCTTTACTACTTGACTTGCATGAAACTATGGTCTTTAGTATCTCATTGCAATGAGTATCATTTTAATTAAAATAATAATATGTATTCAAATCTATATTTTTATATTTTATAAATAACTTAACATGAATAATCCCCTTAATTTATATGCCATTGACGTGTTTATTATTTTAGAAACTATATCCAATAACTGATTTTATATTCATTAAATAAATATTTTTATAAATTTAGAAGGATGGATATCAAAAATGAATTATATTACGAAGATACCCACAGCAACGACAATGCTTACGATCACATTTTAGTTTTGATTCATGGAAATCTTATATCTTCTAAATATTGGAAAAGATTGATACAATAAATTCAATAGGTCAATTCCAAGATCCGTTGTATAAGTATGGATTTGCGAGGATTTGGAAGATCCCAAAGTAATTAAAATGTAGATCAAATTACTGACTTATCTAACGATGTGGATATTTTATTGAAATCCCTATTATTAGATAAGAATGATGAGTACTATCAAAACCATGTTTATTTGGCAGGATGGTCTTTAGGTGGAATTGTAAGTATGCAATTGGCAGTGGATTACCCTAACAAATATTAAAAACTCATATTGATAGCATCAGGAAGTGTATGTGGTTATGCATTAATGAGAGAAGATGAGGAAGGATAGGTCAGATGTCAAACAAAATAATAAGTAAAAGAACATCCCAAAGTTGCATTACAACAATAAAAATTGTCTGATAAGGATAGAGAATTCATGAAGATGATCTTTGATAAGGTATTGTTCAACAGTGGCAAATATCCAGAAGAACAAGAATATTAATAATTATTGGATGAAACATTTTTATAAACCTAATATACTAATGTATGTTGGGCCTTGAACCAGTTTGACATTTCGTAAGTTTTATTACTATTTCAAGTTCTGGAGGTGCAAACAAGGCTTCCTTGATCAAGGGTCCTGTGTTGATTTATCATGGAGAATTGGATATAGTGATACCTAAGGTTTTCGCAGAAGGCAATATTAAAGAGATTGGAGAAGAAAAATGCACATTCATCTTAAGACCAGGTGTTGGCCATATGCCTCCGATTGAAGATGACGCAAATTTGGCTCTTGAAATTAGTCGTTTTATAAATTGATTGTCTAAATAACAAGTATATTATAAAAATATTTGATAAGCTTATTTATTTTAACCTGCAAAAATAACCCATATCATTTTTTCTTGTGTGATTAAGTTTTTAGTTTTAGTTATCTAATATCAAATAATTCTGCTAATTGAAGAATCCAATCATCAATTTTTTTAATTTGGATTTGTACCTCCTCGTTTTTATCCGTAGGGTCAATATCCAACCACAATTCTATTCTGATTCCATTACCTTTAGGGGCATTTATTTTATCTAGAATTCTTACTCCATTAACCTTGATTTATTCCAAATCTTACATGCCTTAGCTCCTCCTTTTATTATCCTATAATCTCATGTATTATTTCAGTATAGAGTTGATTGTAAATACCGATTAAGGCAATAGGGACCTCAAATTGTATGTCTCCTCCTTTTTCGTTTTCAGGATCTTCCCACAAAGGGCTAATACCATTTTTGAAAAATTAGATAGCTTCAATTTGTGTCTCTATAGCATTGTTCTTAAAATTTTTGAATCTATCATAGAATCTAGAATTGATACTATTTTTATTATTGTGGCTCACTGAATAAATCTGTTAAACTCTAATAGATTGTTTATTTCATTATAAATGCAAATTCCTCAACACTTCTGATTGAGCATATCTCAGCTATTGCCTTTTTGTAATCTTCATCTTTATATTAGGTGTATTTCTCCGAGATGGTCCATTTATCACTCAGTTAATGAAATTAGTCACTCATTAATATTTTATTATGATTTTAATTATGAAATTTAAACACTATAAAAAATATAATTGTAAAAATAATAAATTAAGATATCAATCCGAAACAATATATTTTTTATATTCTTCCAATAATCCATGTATATAATGAAGTTCTGGAATCCTATCTAAAAGTGATTTAAAGCTTTATTAAAAATCGAAATATTAACTTTCACTGATCCTAAATCTTCTATGAATTACTTCCAAGTCAGTCCTCTTAAAAAACTTTATGGTATACACCAGCAGATTCAACTTGCTCTTGATATTCCTCATCATGTTGATCTCCTCTGTCTAAACCTATTATGTATCAATACCTCATATATCACATTGAGTTATCTAGAATAGAACTCATTCTCCAAATTATATGCCAATTCATTGATCAAGAGATCTCTATCCTTGGTTTTGAGAAATGACATTCTAGGATCACTCAATATCAGAGGTTTTATTTCATCCCAATCCTCATCGAAGTCTTCCAAAACAATGCGATCGTTAGTGAGTTTCGCCACTTCAGCCATCGCCTTTTCCTTCAACTTCATAAAGATCTTTTCAGTAATTATAGTTTTGTGATAGTGAATTTCCTCGAGATCATCCAATGTAATTGCTTTTACATTGTATCGAAAAAAGTAATGGAATATATTTTCACAATGACATGTAAATTTTGCCTTACCCCTTCTTTATATTAAATCAAATAACACAGGTTCTTCCAAACAACTTCTTACAAATTAGTCTATGAATTGATTGTATCCGTAATTGCATATATAATCCTAGAGACTATTTTTATTTATGATAGCATATTTGTATATATCCATTCTTCTTAGCAAAGCACTGGCATATTTAAAGGGAACTTTTAATTCTTAAAGAGTTAAAGCGAGATAAAATTTGAAATTAGTTAGCTATACATTTGTTAATTCATATTTGACATGTCTCTCTCTTAAAACTTCATTAGTATAATTTGGAGAGTCCATATGGTAAATCAATTGGAAAAACAATTTTGCAAATTTTGAGGCCTGAGTTGCTCGATCTATTCCCACAAAGTAATATTCCAATGTTATATCAGCAAAGATTTTGGCATACATTTAGTTTGCGCATAACTCTATACCATCTTAACCACCATATACGTCATATTCCATTTTTTCATTCAAAATATAAGGCCTAACATTTTCAATTCTCTCACAACATTTGAATAACTATTCGACTGGTATCCCCATCTACATAAATCTATTCATAAAATGATATTTAAATCTGAAGAAATGAAAATTCTTTAAGTTCAAACCCAAATGAATACTCCTTATCCTATTCAAATCTAAATAGATTTATTGATCATATCCTGTTGCCAATATGTTCCTAAAGATTTGTTTTACATGGTTTCCTGTCTTATTCTAAAACTTCTTTGCTAAATCAGAATCTTATGTCAATGCTGAATATATTAATTCAGTTTCAAAATCCAATCTGGCATCAATCCCTTGTGGTTTTTAAACGACTCTCCTTTTTCTATTTTATCATTAAATTAAATTACCTTGCCAAATCTTTCAGATATCCTGAAATGATCTATTGCTGCGACTTCTAGAGTTAAGGACTGTGAGGACAAATTACGTCATTTTTTATTTTCTCCGTTCCCTTGACTAAATCAACAAACAACTGATGATTTCGTATTAAGTTCACTTTTTTTTACTGTGGACTTGATCTTTAAGATGTTATCCGAAAATGCTAACTAAAACTGCTTTTTTCATAAGAAACTATATGATTTGAGGTTTTATATGAAGGACTATCCACAATTTATTTAAATTTGACACTATTCATATCTTAGTCATATTGTTAAGTTTAAATAGCTATCATACCTTAACTGCGACAAGCTTGAGGCATATTCAATAATATTATTATTTTATACATGTCGTATATTCTAGGCTAATTGGATATCTTTTAGTTGTGAACTTTCGTTATTATGGTGTATAATGCTTCCAAGAGTTTACTGAGATTTTCTTTTATTTAAGATTGGCAGGATTGGCTTTCTATCAGTTGACAACAGTTCTATAAATTCTCGGAATTAACAAGTTTTAACTGACTTTGAGTGTTCAGTCTCAGAAAACATTATTATAATTATTACAAACATTCATTATAATCAAATATCAAATATGGTGTAAAGTTATCATCAAAAATCAGAAACAATATGCTTTTTATAGTCTTCCAATACCTTATTTAACCATTACAATTTAGGAAAATTTTCAAGCACATGTTTAGTGGCCTTATATATTAATGGGACTTTTACTTATTAAAATTCAAAGTAAACTTATTCTGATATTTTTAATCTTTTGTGAAGCACTTCCAACTCTGTTTTCTTATAAAAATGAATTCCATAAAGCATTAAATTCAATTTGCATTTCAAATTTTGGGCTACACATGTATCATTGTCCTATTATAATAATTGACTTAAGAATTACCTCAAAGACTTTGTTTAATTGAGGTCTTTGTTGCATTTCAAAAGCCAAAGTGGAAGCAAGGTTATTGATAAAAGTTTATCCTCCCAATTATTTCACGATTTGCTTTTTTGATTTGTTCATTATAAATGGTTTGATTTCCTCCCAATCTTCTTCAAAATCAGAGAGTATAAGAGAGTCCTTTGTAATTTTCATTAGAGCTTAAAAGGTGTGTTCTTTAATTTTTGAAAAAACCTTCTCTGAAATGACTGCATTGCATTTATGTACTTATTCAATGTCTTGATCTGTTATAGATTTGACATTGTCACGAAAAAAAAAGTGTATCATATTTTCACAATGAGCTGTAAATCTATACTTACCACGCTTATTAAATAATTCGTATAAGATTGGTTCAGTTTAACATTACTTCACCAACCCATCAATAAATTCTCTATATCCAAAAGCATTGATCGTTTCTTACAAACTCTCCTTGTTCAAAATCGCATATTTGTAAGTGTCCATTTTTCTCAACAATGATCTTATATGTTTGAATCCTATTTATTGCTATTGCAAAGTCATTGAAAGATAAAATTTAAAATTTGCAAACTAAACTAAAGTTAAATTATATTAAATATGTCTTTCTCTTAATATCTCTAGAGTATAGTTGGGAGAGTCAGTGTGATCTATCAATTGTGCAAATAAACGAGAGAATTTCTTTGCTTGAGTTTCCTTGTCTATCAATATGAAATATGGAGAAAGTGTATAATCTTTGAATATTTTATCATACATAGATTCTGTGATTTTCTTAATTCCTACATCCTAACCATAGATTTCGAAATCTAGAGGCTATAAATTAATTTTGATTAGCATACCTTATTTAAAACTAAAGGTTTGAAGCTTTCTATTTTGTGACAACCCTTAAAAAATAAATCTAAAGGAGTTTCCATTTCGAGAAACTAATTTATGAATAAGTATTTAAATCTTAAAAACTAATCATTTTTTATATTTAATTAGGAATGAATGCTTTTTAGTCTTCCAGGGTCCATCATTATTTCCTTGTCATACCCAACACCTAATAAACTGCGATAAACTTCTTTCAAATGTTTGATGTGTCTTCCTTTGTATTTTTAATATAAGGTGTAATCGGAAGTGATCTTAGTGAAAAGAATGTTTGCCTCATAATCCAATCTCGCACTGGACCCAATAGGTTTATGTTGTAATTCCTAAATTATGTATGAATGATCAATTTACATCATTTTCATTTGACTTTTAAAATTTCGTTTGGAAAAATTGGGTAATAATCTCTTCCTGCGTTAATTAGGGCAGTGAAAAGTTGTTAACATTGGACTTTTATTTTCTGTTGATTTATTCTAATTATTCATTACAATTTCTCAGACTATACATTCCAGTTTTTCTCATTCGATGTTGGGGTTGAAATTTGAAAAATCCATTTGTTGGCATCATAGGAATGTTGAGCATTGGTATTTATAATGATTCTGATTTAGTTTTCTTAAATTCTTGTTCTTTACTACAATAATATTAAATTGTACTCATTGTTAGTTTTTGTATTGGTGATTCTCGCTACTTTCACTATTTCATTTAAAGGTATTTGCTGATTTGATTGCACTTGTCTAAAAGAAAGAATCTCAGGTGACAATAAAGAACTTAATTGTTTTTCCCATCTCCTATTTTTTTGTTAGACAACTGTAGGTAATGAGGATTTATGAACACTCTATCTCTGAATAAGAAATTCCTTAAAACTAACTTTCTTCACAGGTGAATCATTGCTTGGTTCTGTCTAAAATCCAAAAGGACACCTTGGACTACTATCCATTCTTATTTATGTTATTAATAAAATTATATACGAATTTACCAAAATTGTTTGCTCCTCAATAGAATATTTTTGATACTCATCGTACTACTTAGCCAAAAATTGAACCAGTATTTCTTATTAAGAATTTCCGAAATCATATTTAGAATTTTGCGTTTTCTATTGCATTTTTGTCCTATAAATTGTGAATTTGATTACACCCTAAAATCTTAATATAAATCAAAAAAACAAAATGAAGATATATTTAATTGGATTCACTTTGTTGGTCATTGCAAATTCAGTCACGTTATAACTAAGCAGTGTGTATTAATGCTCATGCGAAAATCTGTTACAATAAGCAGATTGCTTGAGCGATTATTGTACTTGGGATCCTAATGGATCGACATGTACAAACAAAGCGTGCTCAGTATTCAAAGAAAATGATTGTAAAGGAGTTCCAGATCCCTTTAACTGTGTTTGGAATAGCAAAACTAGTAAGTGCGAAGATTTTACATCATGCTCTGATTATTCATACAAAATGGTTGAAGGTGATTTATGCTATGACTTGATAAAATGTTAAGTGGATGTTGATACAATCGACTCAACAGCTGGAACTGTAAAATGCACCGATAGAACTTAAGAATCAGCTTTGAGTATTGGAAGTTGTGACAAAGTACCTTATAGTGAATGTAACTGGCTTGTAACTAGCGATGGAAAACAATGTGTGAAGAATGTTTCAGCATAAACTTGCGAAACTAAAACAATAACTCAATGTTCTGATTATACAAGCATAGATGTTTGCAATACAAATTCCTGCTACTGGGGTGATTCTTGCAAACCATTAACTTGTTCTATTTTACCTGAGGATGCTTGCATGTTATTTTTCTCAATTGATGCAAAATAAGTTACATTTTGTAATTGGGATGGAACCAAGTGTTCAGATGTAGATACCACAACTTTAACTTAAACTTAATGTTTACCTTATACCCTTTATTCCTATGCTTGGAATCCAGATACCAAGAAATGCGAAATTTGTTAAGAGCCCAGTTCTAGCTCAAAATTCATTCTTTATGGATCAATCTTGTTGGCTATATTGTTAAATTGAATAGAATTATATCAACAAGATCATAACAATATAATATTTAAATTGAATATATATGGCCATCATCTTAATTTCTTTTCTAGCAACTCAAAAGCGCTCTTTAAGGTTTCAACTTCTTAAGTTCTATATTAATTTATAATTGTAAATAATATACCTCTTTTGTTTTCTTGCAGAATATGCCAAATTGTACTAATCTTATTATTATTTAAGGTTGGTCAAAACTTATTCAGTTTAAGGGATGGTGGTCTCAAGTTAAGCCTTTCTTTTTTCTGCAGTGACTTTTTCATTTGATTTCTTGGCAATTGAAGTCTTGGCGGTGGAAGCATCAAAACTCAATTTTTTGGATACTTCTGAAATTTCATTGAGTAAAGTTTAATAAGTCTATTATTACACGGTCCAATTTTGTTCTGATTGTATCAATTGTTATTCTTATTATGATTGAATGTGTTCCAACTTAAGGATGATATTTTAGACTGTGGCTTTATCAAACTTTGAAGTGACTTCTACCAATAATGCAACAGGATGCTTTGAACCCAATTCTTATTTCATCACATTCACAATTTCTTATTTTTCAATTAATGATTATTGAGACAATACAGCATCTGTTAATTTGGATATGATTTATGTAAGACCATTAATTGATCTTCTTGCTTATGAGGATTCGTTCTAAAATTTTATTTGAGGTATTTACTTCAAAAGCAGCTCCTTCATTTGCTAATGAATCTCTTAATTAGGTGTCTCTAGCCCCTAAATCTGATAATTGTTAATTCAAATTAGCATAGGTTTTAGAGATTGAGTAGATTTCTTCGCTCAAATCTCCAATTAAGGTGTTTGTTGCTTTTAATTAGTTCACTTGAGCTTCTAGTTAGGATTAGGATATTAATATATCAGCTTCGAACTTGGCATTAGTCTGAATAATATATAAATAATTACTTGAGCAAGTTAAGTATCATCCATCGTTTATTCTTTTCTTAATTCGCTCAACAAATCGCCCAATTGTTCTAACACCTCCTCTTTGGGTGTTTACAAAAGAGACAATTAAGCCAAATCTCCTGAAAGTGGAGCTGCCAAAGCAAGACCAACTACAACAAATATAACAAACTTCATTAAAACGGGTAATATTAATAATATAATTATGAGCTCAAAAAAATTATTGTATTAAGAAATAGATGTAACATATTAACTAATGACATAGTATACAAAACAATAATTGAGTCTACAGATGTCCCATTAAAAGACGACCTTAAAAGAATTCAGTTCATATTTAAAAGATTTCTAAGCCATTCTGAAATCCATCTCAGAATAATTAATAAAATTGACAAGAAAAGAATGTAGAATCAAACCTAAAATTAGTTACTTGTAGAGAATTTGAAAATAAAACCATTAAAGAGTTTATCGATAAAAATATTATCTCCACATCCAAAATTAGTGACATCCTTGGAGTATTATCAGAAAATGTTAATCAACTAGAATTAGATATTTTTTAAACCTACCTAGAAATCAAGCAAAACAAAGAAATTGTAATGTAGAAAGTAAGCTTTATACATATTTTAGTGTGATCAATAAAAAAAAGAAAGAGATTAATTAGTTAGCTCAAAAAATGTTGAAAAATAGTAAATAGATCAATTCTCATAATCTGCAATCGTGGTCATGTAGAATAATATTGAAGCTGCCATCATCACAGAAAAGAAAAAAAATGCCAAAATTATTGATTCCTTCAAAAAATTTTACATCCAACAAAAAGAGTACCAATTCACATCTAAAAAGGCATGCGGAGATTATTGGCAAATAATTAATGTTATAAATACAATTTTTTGATACAGTCCAACCAGAATAACAGACCTTGGAAAGAATGAAAAATCAATTATAAGCCTAATCTGTAACCCAAAGTGGTAAAGCACTCAATACCTCTGGAACAGGACAATCGAAATAAAATGATAATGCCTCCATCAATGAAACTGATCTCTTATAGTCTCACAAAGATAAACTCCTTGAAATCAGAAAGAATTATGCTACTTGTAGTAATACCAAATAATTGCCAATTATAATTAAAGATTAAGTTGGTATATTTAACAATGAAATCCCATATAATATGTATTTAATTTCTATTTAACAATTAGGGATCTCGCAAAAGAATTTTAGCAGCAAGAATTCTATTAATTCGCCTTATTAATGATGCTCAGATATAAGTCTTAAAATTAAGACTGGCCACTTCTTATAACCCACACAAAAAATAAATTCAAAATTACTTTGGCTTCTATGAAACTTTTGGAATTATTTTCAACCGCCATTACTTCAAACATGGAATCATCTGTTACTAATTCCATATATATTACGTTAATCAAAGATGCCTTGATGGTCATCAAAACACCCTAATTATACAACGAAATTAAAAATAATGAAAAGCAATATGTGATTCTAAAAAAGTTACTATTGTTTTCCACTTTAAATTAGTATTGGGTCTAATGCTTATTATTATAGGCATTTCACATCTAAAATTCCTAATTAGAGCAATAGAAAAAATATTTTACTAATCTGCTAAAATAGATAATAATAGATGAAAAAGATATGACTCAAGTAAGTTTTGATTCTCAAGTAGAAGAAATCTCGTATCCATTAAATCAATGCTTATTAGAGCTTATTCTATCTGCAATCATATAAGCAACAACTGTGGATATGGATTTTGTTCCTTTAATATACTAATTCGCATATGATGCACTAAAACTGTCACCAGCACATGTCAGCATTACTTTACTCTCTTTAGTTTATCAAAAAATACTATAACCTGCCTTAAGAATAAAAAACCTAGACATCAAAGACGCTGTTGTTATTACCTAATAGTTGACTCAGTAATTGTGGGATATTATAAATAAAGAAAAGATAATCAATTAATCCCAATTGCAATTTGTTCTGAAATAGAAGAATTCGGATAGATTATATAAAGATTTATTAGGACTTACAACTAGTTTTTGGTCCTAATTACCCAGCGATTAGTCGTTCCTAATTGCATTCATGAATTTATTTTATATAGTTGCAAGTATTTCGCTTGAGTTCACAGAATGCTAAAATACAAATGATTTAATACTAAAAATCATGGAGTAAACAGGTCATCATTATTACAGTATGATCATTAAAAGGGAACAGTTTTAATAAAATCAATTAACTGAAAAAACCTTTAATTAAGTTTCCATTCTGTTATCCTTAATGTGTAAGGAATGTCTTGAATTAAAAGAACAGTATATTGATTACTTTTAGAAAGGTATTTAGCACTTATTGTCTGATAATCAAAACAATTAGAATTTGTTTTTCCTTCATTTTATGACTGGTGCATTGTCAGAAATATTCTTAATCCTTCAATAAGTTGAGCTCTGTATCTAAAAAGGGTTAATTCCTGAAGATAAGAACGGAAAGTATTAAATGGTTATATATATTAAGTGCTTTTTCCATATGTTTCGCCTTAGCTTTAGTTGATGATCAAATCTTACCTAATAATCTAAACTCCAAAGCAATCTAAATTATTGGTCGATCAATAGAATTGTGGTTTCAATAATCTCAATAAAATACCATAAAAATTTTACAATCATTACTTTCTAAAGAAAAATTTCTTGATGAAAGTTTGTCTTTTAAAGAGCTTATGCAACAAACATAAACAAAAAGTATTGAAGACTTTTGCTCAATTTTATTTAAATCCTTGGAAGCTTTATAATAAGTGGTTAAATTTAAGAATGATAATCTCTTTAAAAAAACAATTAATAGCAAAATGGAACATATACTCTACACTGCTATATTAATGTATTTGGAATAGATGGAATAAAATCTTCAACAAAGAGCAAATTTAATAACACCCTGGTTTCCTGCAGTTGCAAAAAATAAATAAAGCATCCCTCCTGATTAAAAATAATTAGCCTAACAATAAATTCACCTTGTTATTGAAATGATGATGCGAATTTGTAATCTTAATTTTTTGTAATAATAATTCTAGCATCTAAAAGAATAATTAAAACTTGAAGCTCTAGATCATCTTACCAGCGACTTCAATACCAAGGGTAAAGCAATTTGCAAAAGTATTTCAAAAATTTTAATCAACGAAATTGTTTCTCCTAATTTATTTAGTCCTCTCCATTAAGATTTAAAATCAATGACAGATGCAAAGAGTTACTAGTAAAAATCAGAATGGTCTATGCTTCAATAAATAGATGAAATAAAGGATTTTTTTGTAATATTCAATTAGAAGTTGCCGGCTAACTACTTCCCTATATTTTATGATTTTTTTATTGGCTCATTTTTTGATGGTACTTATAATAATATTCCTATAGTTTTATTCTACAGCATTTTTGATCTTAACAAATTGTAAAACATAAGTTAGGATGTCTATTTTGAATTGCTTAGCTTAGAATTTCAAACTTTATACAACTTTTTAGAAAAATAAATTTCCAGCAATGTCTTACAAATGAGAATTAAACAATAGCTGGCTGAAATTAAAGACATTTCTATATGGTTTAGTCTGTAAAATAAAGATTTAATTTCAACATTTGAATAATATCATTTGCGATAAGACAATAAAAGAATTTGTTCTGCTCTTTATAGATTAATATTGCTTCGTAAGTAGGATTCAAAAATGAAGGATTTAGCAAAAAAATATTAAAAAATATATGAATGAATAATTTAATTTATATTACATAAGGCAATTCAATCTATTTCATCAAGTTAAATTTGAATTTTTTACTATTGCTCTTCTATTTATTCAATTAGCTATGATTCAGTGAGTGAATTTTATCTTATTTGTCTAACTTTCATATTATTAAGTAGCTCATTCATTTCATTAAGTTGAGATTATTTCTAATCAATAGAGGCATCTAAAAATGTAATTTCAATTTCTTGACTATTTTATTCGATATGATTTTATTTTCTAACCTACATCTCTTATATCTCAGATTCAATAGCGTTGATATTTTTTTGGAAGAAGTTAATCTTGCTCTACAAATGAATAGGCAATTATTTTTTTATTTCTTCTCTATATTCCTACTTTTTTGCATCCTCTTCTTCTTTGATTTCTATTTAATAAATATTACATGATACTTTATCTTTCTATTTATTCTCCTTCTTTTCCCAGTTTTCCCCATGCATCTACGATTCTTCTTTCATTAGGAAATACAGGTTAAGTGTCTAAATATGTTAACTCAGGTAAATTGGCGAGATAATACTAGATTTACGTAGAATTATTACTTTTCTGTAATTTTGAACTGATCGTATGTAATTATTTCTCTATAAGTAGAGACACTTTAATTTTGGCATTTTTTTAAATATTAACAACAATGGATCATCTTCATGTTCTCCTTCAAATTCAAGCATATTATTGGATAAGTCTAAATTAGATATTTGCTAGTTTAGTTCTAATTCCCAAATATCAGAAACTGATTTGAATTTGTTTGTTGATAAATCCAAACTGGAAAGCTTTTAGAGCTTCTGCAAATTTTCTACTACTTTAATACAGTTATGAGATAAATTTAATGTAATCAATTCTAAGTTTTCTCTCAATCCTTCAATCTTTTAAATCAGATTATTTTATAAGAATAAATGTGTGAGTTATTATAGATTTTCTAATCCCTCTATTTTTGTGATAAAGTTATTCTCCAACCAGAGAGTCTTAACATTTATGAAATTGTCCAAACCACCAATTTTTCTGAAAGCTTTAACTTAAAAACCTAAATTACCTTTAAAATGTAGATATAATTTTGAATTCAACTCTGGATACTCATATAAGCCTTCCTTTTCGCATATCTCGATAATATTTTGCTCATTCATAACTAAATTGCCCTCTTCATCTCTTTCAAGTTATCTTTTTTTCATTTTTATTTATATATTTAAATTGATAATAATTTGTTTATTTATACAATTAATCTAAATCACCATAGTTCTTTAATGAGTAACTTTTATTTCTCCATACTTTATATTTTTTCTTCAGCTTCATGCTCTGTCCAATTACCATTTTTTCTTAGTATCTCTTTAATCAAGTTTTAGACCGAATTTCCCATGTTTGTTGATCTACATTAACATTATTAATTACCCACATATATAAATGACAACCTTATCATTTAATATCTAATTATATAACTCTTCAGAGTTGCGTTTAAGCAAATCTTACACATAACATTTCTATTCCTAATCCCTTGAGAATGCTGTATAAAATCTATCAATAGTTTTTGATCTTTCAAACTCTCTTAGTTAATCTTTATAAATGAAATCTCCATCTTGGTGTTTACATCCAAAATATAGTATATATTCATTTTGTCTTTGAGGTTGATTTTATAAAAAGATTTCTCTTTCTTATAAAAACCCAATAAATGGAGCTATTCCAGTTCCTGGTCCTACCATTATTATTGATTTATTTGGATCATCTGGTAATTTGAAACTTGATTCTCTGAAATCAACTCTAACTCTAACGCATTCCTAACATAACTATAAATTTTACCCCTTCTAAGAGTTTCTTTTGTATATTTAAGAAATACTATGAACATAAACCTAATTTTTCAGTTCCATTTGGTAAAGTATCAATTAATAAGCTATCAGCAATTTCAACATATTAAGGGTTTTTTAAGTTTGATGATGCTATTGTAAATAATCTTGGGCTAATTCTTGGACACAATTCAATAAACTATGCTAAATTTAATTTGATATTGTTTTCTTTAATCAATTAAAAGATTGTAGTTTTCATATTATCAACTAAGTCCTAGAACCCTGCTTTTCCTTCTTCTGTTGTTAATTGAATTAATTTGTTCTTTAATTGTTCATCATTACTTGAAATCTTTGACAATTTTGTTAATGTGTTTTTCATTAATTAACCATTAAAATCCACAAAGTGCTTTAAAATCTTTCTCACGTTCAAAGGAGAAGGAAAAGGCAATTTTGCTCTATTATTCTATTATAATAATTCCAAACTATAAACAGTGTCAAGATTTTCTCCTAAATAATTTGCAATTTCGAGAATCTGTTGATCATCATTTTCAGGATAAACTCCTAAATTCATTGCTGTTTTATATTCGATTCCTTCTCTGCCTGTATCGAATATGATTTAAAGTGTTGAACCATCCTTTTGATTTTACCTTAATTAAGAAATTGAAACTACTTGGCAATCTAAATATAATATCAAAAGTTTACATTTCGCTTTTAAAAACTATTTGGTTTAAAAATCATACTATCCTTACAAAGCTTAATCAAAATTAAGCTCTTCATTATTACTAACCACAAGCTTGAATGTCGACCCAGTGTTTGTGTTGTCGTTAGTACTTTCAGGATTTTCTTGAACTTCTTATTAAACTTAGCAATTTTTTGCTTAATCAATCAAATCCTTTAAAGAAATCTTCAATTCGTTCCACAAGTCTTTTTTCCAATCTATGAAGTCATCTTCTAATGTACTGTTGGCATCTCCTTCACCATACTAGTAGCATCTCACACCTTTTTAGCTTTCCAAAAGATTGTTAGTAAGTTTTCCAATTTTATTGTAATGTTCATATTGCCTATTACCAAGTCCAAAAACAGCAAATTGAAATCCAATTATTGATGGTTAAGGCTCTTATAACCAGCTAATAAATTTTTTTGCATTGTCTGTAGGGTCTCCCTCCCCATGAGTAGCCATGCAAAAGATTCCAACTTTTCCCTTTTTCATCTCGTTCTCAAATTCGACTTCATTCAGATCTATCTCTGTTGTAATAAATCCATGCTCTTTTCCTTCTTCAGATAATTATTTGGCAAATCGAGCTGCTGTGCCTTATTGAGATCCAAAATAAATTGAGATTGGAATTAATTGATCTTAACATTGGATTTTCTTTTCTTCGCTTCTGATAACTTATTAAGTTTGTTGATTCTATTTTGATTCTAATTTAGACTTCAAAAAGTATATGACAATGCCCACTAGCAAAACCACAGGTGCTAATAAAATATATTGAAATTCCATAATAATTACTTAATTAAAAATTTATCTCAATTTCTTAAATTTATTTGCTAAAATATTAAAATTAAACATTCTGGAAAGCAATATTATATCAGAATTCTTTATTTAATAAAAAGTAGTAACAAGATTCGAAATTCTACATCAATAGATCAATATGAATAATAAATTTTTAGTATTGGCAAAAATTACATTATCAAATTATTTTCTATTCTTATTTTTTCTGTTTTAGCATGATGAAGATATTTTTTGAATAAAAGAAGGGTATTAATTTTTTAGAGATGATTGAAAATTTATTACCATAATAGTAATTTAGCAGGAGCAGCATAGTAATGGAATATGTGATTTTTAAGTCTATGCTCAGGCATAAACATAGGCTTTGTTGAATTGGAATGAAAAATTAAATTTTAACATCATATTAATTGACTATTCTTAACTTTCGGAAATAATATTTTTTTGAAAATGTAACATGATTAGATTTGAAGATTGATAAGTGACAATATTCAACTTTGGAGATTTATAGATATAAAGTTGAATTGTGTTTACAGCAATCTAGCCTATCTACGAATACTAATTAAGCTACAACAGAAGTGATTTGATTTAAATGAATTTTTTGTCCCAAAAATTTAAGAATTACACTAAGAAAGAAAAAGAGAATAATTTTTCCAAGAATTTCATATCATTTTGTTATATTAATAAATAGTTAGATCTAATGCTGAGATTAATCACTGGATCTTGTCAATTTTTTACCATAAAATAATAGAAGATTAAAGAAAAAAAATAAGTTTTAGGAAATATTGTCGCTTTCCACTATTTTTAAATTTAATTATGACTAATTATCAAAGGTTACAGTTTTATACCATCTATAATATATTCCTTTCTGTCTCATTTGAGAATACATCATTTAGGATAAAAACTTTAGAAAACCGATTTGATGGCCAATTAGTGTAACATATATTCCAATAATAAATTGAGATATTTTAGATTATAGATTTGATAAGTTTTAAATTTCTCTGCTGAAATAATTTAATAATTACAAGATCAATATTTTAATACGCATAAATTTTCATTTAATTAATTAAAATTAAAAAGTATTTAAATCTAATCAAAAAATTATACAAATATAAAATAGTCAGTCAATATTAAGAAAATGGATTTAAGATAATATGAATAACCAGTCGATAAAGCATCATCCAATGCATTCATAGGTGATTCACAATTTTTGTAAAATATTTGCTATATTTTTTTTATGAATTACAATTCAAAATTTTTACCTGATAATTAAATTTTAGGAAATAAAAATAATATTAGAGAATACATCATCAAAATTTGAATATCGTATTGTAAGCTGATAATATATATTAGTGTATCATTAAGTAATAGTTAATATTTTAGAATTACAAATCCATAAAGACATAAACATCGGAGTAAGGATATCAAATATATATAATAGGTCATGAAAAACTGTATACTTAAAGTTTGAAATCTTAACAATAATCGTAAAATTTTCGATTAGGTACAAATAAATATAAGAATCTTTGGACCACTTAGATATCGCTATAAATTTTTTGATGTATTAATTCGTTTTGTTTGTACTATTCGTTTTTTTTCAAGTTCCAACTTAAAAAATCAGAAATTAGTGAACAATTTTGCTTGATCCTCAATATCAGAAAAATTATAAGAACATTGTTTTCTTAAAGAAAACTTAATTAATTCATATAATATCTTTGCTTTTAAATATATTTAATTTTTTCATCATACAAATCTATGATGATTAGAATAATCATCCTCCTGTTCAACTTAGATTGAGTCAACATCAAAACCAGATTAGATCAAATGAGCTTTTTATTCTTTTAAACTATCCTAAAATAATTTTTATTAATGTTCCTTTCTGACTTCGATTAGAATTTCTTTAGCTCTTTCTGGGAGTAGTTTGGTGTAGTACGGATTTATTAATTATAGATGAGAAGAAAGTATGTGAGTATAAAATCGATTTTTAACTTAATTGTGCTGGACTAAATACAATAAATATTACAGTTCTCCTAGTGAGGCACTTAGCAATCCTTGACCATTTTGAACCAAAGATGAGATAATTTTCATAAATTATCTAATCTTCTTCTAATGAGAAAGGGTTCTTATTTAGATTTGGGTTCAGGCAATTGTTGTACCTCTCCATGCATTACTTATTGGTTTTAGATGTAAAATATTTTGAGATCTTTTTCCATTTTCTTCCATACAAACCTACTAATTTTGAAAGTAATTAATCATCTTTTAAACTCCATTTCTAAAGTTTTTGCTTCTCCCTTTTAAAGATAATAATTACATTCTTTCCATTCATCCTTTTCCACCTTTAAATACAAGAATTTGGGTTTCTGTTTGAAAAGCTTTGGGCAACCTAACACCAATTTGTTCCATATTTTTGAATGGCTGAAATTAAAATAGCATCTTCATTTGAAGTCCATCTTCTCCTCGATGTTGCGGACATATCAGAATCTTACTTCATGTAATTGATTGCTAAATTGCTCTGTTAATCAACTGACATAATGTATAAAGTTATTTAATAATAAATGTTTTTTATCTGCAACCAAACTTAATATTTATATTGTCATTATAGTTAGCAAAGATTTTAGGTTGTTGCAATTACATGCAGTCCTAATACTTAGAGGAAAATAAAAATATTATTTTGATGCATTTTGAATGACAAAAAGAAATAATTTGAGACATTTTGAAAGTTGCAATACTAATAATTATTAAACTAAAAGATAAAACACACTGATCAAGATAATGAATGGGTAGATGCTTTATGAAAAGTTCCAAATAGATGCTGATAAAATTTCTAAAGAGGTATATGTANTGAAAAACTGTATACTTAAAGTTTGAAATCTTAACAATAATCGTAAAATTTTCGATTAGGTACAAATAAATATAAGAATCTTTGGACCACTTAGATATCGCTATAAATTTTTTGATGTATTAATTCGTTTTGTTTGTACTATTCGTTTTTTTTCAAGTTCCAACTTAAAAAATCAGAAATTAGTGAACAATTTTGCTTGATCCTCAATATCAGAAAAATTATAAGAACATTGTTTTCTTAAAGAAAACTTAATTAATTCATATAATATCTTTGCTTTTAAATATATTTAATTTTTTCATCATACAAATCTATGATGATTAGAATAATCATCCTCCTGTTCAACTTAGATTGAGTCAACATCAAAACCAGATTAGATCAAATGAGCTTTTTATTCTTTTAAACTATCCTAAAATAATTTTTATTAATGTTCCTTTCTGACTTCGATTAGAATTTCTTTAGCTCTTTCTGGGAGTAGTTTGGTGTAGTACGGATTTATTAATTATAGATGAGAAGAAAGTATGTGAGTATAAAATCGATTTTTAACTTAATTGTGCTGGACTAAATACAATAAATATTACAGTTCTCCTAGTGAGGCACTTAGCAATCCTTGACCATTTTGAACCAAAGATGAGATAATTTTCATAAATTATCTAATCTTCTTCTAATGAGAAAGGGTTCTTATTTAGATTTGGGTTCAGGCAATTGTTGTACCTCTCCATGCATTACTTATTGGTTTTAGATGTAAAATATTTTGAGATCTTTTTCCATTTTCTTCCATACAAACCTACTAATTTTGAAAGTAATTAATCATCTTTTAAACTCCATTTCTAAAGTTTTTGCTTCTCCCTTTTAAAGATAATAATTACATTCTTTCCATTCATCCTTTTCCACCTTTAAATACAAGAATTTGGGTTTCTGTTTGAAAAGCTTTGGGCAACCTAACACCAATTTGTTCCATATTTTTGAATGGCTGAAATTAAAATAGCATCTTCATTTGAAGTCCATCTTCTCCTCGATGTTGCGGACATATCAGAATCTTACTTCATGTAATTGATTGCTAAATTGCTCTGTTAATCAACTGACATAATGTATAAAGTTATTTAATAATAAATGTTTTTTATCTGCAACCAAACTTAATATTTATATTGTCATTATAGTTAGCAAAGATTTTAGGTTGTTGCAATTACATGCAGTCCTAATACTTAGAGGAAAATAAAAATATTATTTTGATGCATTTTGAATGACAAAAAGAAATAATTTGAGACATTTTGAAAGTTGCAATACTAATAATTATTAAACTAAAAGATAAAACACACTGATCAAGATAATGAATGGGTAGATGCTTTATGAAAAGTTCCAAATAGATGCTGATAAAATTTCTAAAGAGGTATATGTACAGTTAAGATATTTAATATCGCAATGGGGGTACTATAATAATCAAAAGAGAATTTAACTTTATCAAAATGTTGGAAAAATTAGGGAACTTAAAAATTCGATTTTCACAGCCTCATATTAGTTCAAGCAAAGCATTAAGAATATAAAATTAACAAAACAGGGGATATGCTTTTGTAATTTTTAAAGGAATTGGGTTTGTGTTATCGCTTGAATTCATTTCATTTTGGAGGTTAAACTCCTTTTCTCAATTTTGCAAATAATATAAATGATAATAACTTTTCAATAAAAAGAGAAAAATTTGTTGTCAGTAATCTAAAGTGAGATGAAATGAAAAAAAATTTTAGACTAAAAATATCCCTAATAATCAGTGTTTTTGTAGAGTCCTCTCTGTCTTGGAATTTCAAACAACTGTTAAAGATTTCATGAATCGATTTTTAGACCTAAAGAATATTTCCTTATTTATCAGTTTTTATTTCAATATTATATATAATATAATTATTTACTTAGAATTGCAGATAGAGATACATACTGAGAGGTTTGGGTATATGTATTGTTTTTACCTTTGGAAAACTAAAAAAAAGAAATTGTATAACAAAAATTGGCTATTAAATTGATATTTATATTGATACATTTTAGATAAACCTTTGTTTGTTTATTAAATATATTTATATTAACAATATTAGATACTGCTAACCTAATTGAATTAGGTGAAATAATGACCAATTCAAGCATTTAGTACTTCAACTTTCCCTGTTCGAAAGCTTAGACTTAAAATGAGAACATAACTCTGTTTGCTATACCAAAAAACAATATGCATAACCTCTGTTCTCATAGTAGAATTCATGTTGAGTTAGGAGTAACAATGGGTTTCATGAATTCTTGATGTTATGTAATACTAATTTAACATTTCCTAGATTAAGTTAAATGCCCCACATATTCAGATTAAGTTTATGAATGTTCATCATCTGCATTCGTTTTTTTATTTAACAATTAGACCAGCTATCAGTTACTGTTTCTTCTCACCTTTGTGTCACATGCTCATGACTGAATTAAGTTTTTCATATATGCTAATAATCTTAAAGTTTTATTGGGATAATAATATATGGTGTTGAGACACAAACGATCAAAAATTGCTAATCAATAATGTATGAACGTGATGCCAAGTCTATACTAATCCATTTATTTGTGGTAATTAGAGCTTAAGCTGCGTATGAGTTAAAGAAGGCAAATAATTAAGTTGAGATTGTGCCCAGATTTTTCCAATTTATTTCGATTATTGCCCTCTTAGATTATTAAGTATTGCAAATAGCCATACAAATTTCTTTACAACAGTTGTCAAAGACTAACACATATTTCTAATATGTTTCAGATGCCTTGTAAAAGTCAATTTATAAATTCTTTTCGCATTAGTCCTTTTTTAATTGTGTTCTTTGAATTAGCTCTACTTTTCCTATTGTCAATCTTGCAGATTGGCCTTTTATTATTGCAACATCATATATAACTCACCGTGTATTAAAAGAAGTGTTTGAAGTATTGCTTAGCATGCCCAAAAATTTCGTTCTTGAGCGTCAAATAGCATATATATATTACATTACTTCTCATATGATTATTGTTTAACTTAATTGCGCTGGTAGTATTAAGCTAATGACAATTATAGTAGTACATTTGCTCAGCTTCAGATTAATTAGTAATTTTTTGAACTCTTTAAATGCTTCTTAAATTATAAGATATTATCATATCCTTGCTGTTGAAACTAACATAGAGCTTCTTTCTATTTAAAGCCGAAGTAAAATTTGGTCAATCATGCTGCCTAATTTAATTTATTGCGCAAACTACAGTTCACATCAGGATATTTATGAACCACAATCTAACGCTCCCTTGTTGAAATAGGTACTATATATAGCTCAAAATAAATAGTTAAAATTCTTCTGTTAAGGTGCACTGAGAATTCACCCTATTTTCATAATATTAGGAGTAGACTGTACATCAACCTCTAAGAATTGTACATAGAATGGGATAAAGAACATTCTGTTCTCTGAATTGTAATTAGGGTTAACCTTATCAATCAGAAATAAAAAGCAAACTTGTTAAAATTGACATTTATATTGTATTAAAAATAATTAAAGTCTAAGGAGAACCTCATTTTTCTGGCTTCTTATATTTTGGAAACTAATTTAAATTTTACATTACTATATAATCAGGAATGCAATTTTAATTTGAGGAGTATGTTTGCGTATCTCCCCCAAAATATTTTGAATCCTTTAATTTCAATATAATTCCAGGTTAGAAACTTATGGATTTTATAACAAATGGAACGTTCTTAGAAAAAAGTGTTTGATTCCCTGCACAAACACTAAATTTTTCTCCCTGGAAATCGCATTCACTAAAAAAATCTACACAGGGATCTAAGATTTCAATTCTTACATCTCTAAATCCCCATGATTCTATCCTTAATAATTAAAATATACCATCGTTAAGTCCCTGATCTAAATTACTATATAGAGAAATTTTTGTGCTGCTTCTGCTAGCATCTTAAATAAATTTATATGATTTTGGATCAAGAATAATATAACCTAGGTTACTTGTGATAGTTCCAATAAAAGGACCATATGTAAATGAGTCGACCGTGAGATCATCAATCTAAACAATAAACGGCTCATAGTCCCAACTGTTAAATTTCCCCATTGTGAAATTAAATCTCATTTTTTTTTCTTAGGGATAATGTAATTATAATATAAGTTTGTCGGAGCTTCCTCCGAATTATCCCATAAACCATTATCCTTCACATGGAACAACTCTGTTTTGAAGATTCCAAAGATGTGTTTTACAGTCTTATCCATAGGGTTCAACGCAATTTTGGTAAAAGATGATTGGATATGTAAAGAGAACTTTGATAAATGAAATTCTTGCCATAATAAAAATAATAATGGCATAAAGGAATTAACTTAAATTTCTATTAAATCTAAACAAATTTATTTGAGATGAAGAAATAATCGATATAAAATCGTTGCAAACGAATATGCCCACATTGATATCATCTATTATTCAACATGAGTTTGGTGACCTCTCTAAATTAAGAAAGATAAAAAATTCTAATGTTCTATCTTTATCGTTTATACTAATTACGGGCCAAGTCACTCTGGGATATACCCAAACACCTTTTTTGACTTGCTAATTAGGAAATTTTGATACCCAATCAGCTTATTTTGGGCTTGACGAAAAGGAAACGAATCCAGGTCCCCATAGGAAGACCTTCTACGAGAAGGCAACAAATCCCGGTCCCTACAGGAAAACCTTATGTACTTGCCCAATCTTTTAGCCTAGATCTCAGTCTAGCCGTTGCGCGTTTGCCCAATCTTTTAGCCTAGATCTCCTGTCTAGCCGTTGCGGTGCAAATGGTTTTGGATACTATATATATTCTATATATAATAAAATTGCAAATGGTTTTGGATACTATATATATTCTATTTATAAGTGGAACCCGACTGTTTTGCTTGACTAGGTTCTTCCTTTTGCTATTTCCCCAAATGTATAGGGTTGGTTTTTGCTGTTCCCTCCCTAAATAACCCACTTGACCAGCACTACGCCAAGGCAAAAATCCAAGGAGGAGGCGAATTCCGGAAGACTTCCATTCCCAAATACTTTTTTTTGATTGTTTGCCCACTAGGGAAAATTTGATCCCCATATATTTTTTGATTGATTAAAAATTCAAAATGATAATTTATTTAGGTATAAAATTATTGTTTAAAACAAATTAATGTGAAATGGCAACATATCTCAATAAATATTAATTGTTTTAATTTTTCCTTAAGAGAAGGAAGGTATTCCAAAAAAAAATCAAATGTACTTTTGGCAGATTAAAATAATAATCATAATAATATTTGATAATAATGAATATATTTAAGGTTTTCTGAAATCAAATATCTAATTTTCTACTAAAAAAAATACAATAATATTAAATTGTTGTTGTTTATTAAATGCCTTTAAATTAAGCTCAATATCGTTTCTATTTTAATTCTTTTACCAAAATCTAACTAATTTAGATTTAAATAATGATTGTAAATCATATCATCTATAATAAAAAAACTATCCTTTCAAGGCTAGAGCTCCTTAAGCTTCTAAATTGGGTTTTTAGGAAATTTTTAGAATGGTGGAGTGAGAGCTAAGAATAGTGAAATGCTTTACTACTTTCTGGAAGAACATTTTATTAAATAGTTGTAGGGTTATCTTATCTGTCAAAAGAGGATATTAAAATAATTCTTCACAGAATGGATATAACGAAATTTATGTTAAAATAGAAAGATATCCTTTTTGTTAGAACAAGCTGCTCTATCTCACTTACTGTTTGTGCCGTAACATTTAAACTTTATAAGAGAAAATAATACATTTCTGCAATAAATTTCAAAGTTATAGAGAAGATATGAATATCCAATATTGGGTAATTTCTTAAATTCATAATGAATAATAAAATTGAACTATTTGATTGATATTAAAAGAAATCAACTTGAGGTAAGATTACATAGTTCTTATCTGAGTCATTAATAACTGTGAATTATTTATATAAATTTTGCAAAATTATCGTTGAAAGTAGCTCCTTTGGA